GCAGCTGTAGTGTTTGCTCTGAAGATATGGCGCCACTATTTATATGGTGAGCGATGCTATATTTATACAGATCATAAGAGTTTAAAATATTTACTCACTCAGAAAGAGTTAAATCTAAGACAAAGGAGATGGGTTGAGCTTCTCAAAGACTATGATGTGATTATTGATTATCATCCTGGGAAGGCTAATGTGGTAGCTGACGCACTTAGCCGAAAAACCTTTGCTGCTATGAGAGCGTTAGATGCACGACTATCAATGGAAGATGATGGTGCATTAATTGCAGAATTGAGATTGAGACCTGCCCTATTGGATCGTATCAAGGATCTTCAGAATAAAGATAAGAAGTGTTTAGATAGAATGGAGGAAGCAAAGAAAGGGGAACTGATAGATTTTGAAATTAAGCCTGATGGATGTTTGTATTATCAGAATCGAATTTGCATACCTGATGACGAAGAACTGAAGAAAGATCTTCTTTCTGAAGCTCATTATAGTCCTTTGACTATGCATCCAGGAGGAAACAAAATGTATCAAGATTTAAAGAGTCGGTATTGGTGGGCAGGTATGAAAAGAGCTATCACTGAGTTTGTTTCTAAATGTCTAACCTATCAACAGGTAAAAGTAGAACACCAAGTACCTTCGGGGTTGTTACAACCTATCTCAATTCCTCAATGGAAATGGGAACAAGTTACCATGGATTTTGTGACAGGTTTACCTTTGACACCTAGTAAGAAAGATTCGATCTGGGTGATAGTGGATAGATTGACAAAGACATCACACTTTATCCCGGTTCGAGAATATTATTCTATGAACAAGTATGCTGAGTTATATATCAGAGAAATAGTACGACTTCATGGAGTACCCATTTCGATAGTTTCCGATAGAGATCCGAGATTCACTTCGAGATTTTGGAAGTCCTTGCATGAGACATTGGGAACCAGACTAAATTTCAGCACATCTTATCATCCGCAGACATATGGTCAATCTGAAAGAACTATTCAGATACTTGAAGATATGCTAAGGGCGTGTGTTATTGATTTTAAAGGATCGTGGGAAAAGTATTTACCTTTAGCAGAGTTTGCTTATAATAACAGTTATCAATCAAGTATCAAAATGGCTCCTTTTGAAGCGTTGTATGGAAGAAAATGTCGAACACCACTGAATTGGTACGAATTAAAAGATCGAGATGTAATTGGTCCATATCTAATTAAGGAGGTGGAAGACAAAGTGAAAGTAATCCAAGATAATCTCAAAATAGCAGCAGATAGACAGAAATCTTATGCTGATTTAAAAAGAAAAGAGATTAAATATCAAGTGGGTGATAAGGTATTTCTTAAGGTGTCACCTTGGAAAAAGATTCTAAGATTTGGACGAAAAGGGAAATTGAGTCCAAGATTTATCGGACCATACGAGATTGTAAAGAGAGTTGGACCAGTAGCTTATCAGTTGGCGTTACCTCCAGAGATGGACAAGATTCATAATGTATTTCATGTATCAATGCTTCGAAGATATCGATCAGATCCTTCACATGTAGTTACACGGGAAGAAATTGAGATTCAGCCAGATTTATCATACGAAGAGGAGCCAGTAAAGATTTTAGCACATGAAGTCAAAGAACTAAGAAATAAGACGATTCCATTAGTAAAAGTACTTTGGCGAAACCATAAAGTTGAGGAATCAACTTGGGAACGAGAAGAAGACATGAAGAAAACGTTTCCTCATCTATTTAATTCAGGTATGTAAATACATATGGAAAATTCGAGGACGAATTTTATTTAAGGGAGGAGGAATTGTAATACCCCAAAATTTGACCAGTGACTAAAATGTAAGTTTTGAAAGTTTAGTGGCTAAAGTATAAACTTTGAAAAGTGTAGGGACTGAAGGTTGTAATTTAAAAGTTATATATTTTATGCATGTAAATGAAAAGTTTGGATTAAAACAGAGATTTTAGTGGGGATCATATTTTTGGTACGAGAATTTTGATAAAAGATATAAAGCAGTAAATTTCAGTATTGAAATCAGATATTCGGATCGAGCTGAAATTTTACAAAAATTTGAAGGATGTTAGAAAATGGTTGGAAATATTATTTTCATATTTTCGATCAGAGAAATTTGGCTCAGAACAGTGCAAATTTTCAGATTTGACCAAACAAATGGAATTTTAGTGACTAAAATGCAATTTTTAAAAATTGCATGGTCAATTTCGAAAGTCAAAGTCAAGTTGTATCATCTTTGACCAAGGAATATTTTAATAGAAGATAATACAATGGCATTTGGTAATTTTCAAGATTTATTAAGGGTAATTTTGGTATTTGGTCCAAAAAGGAATAAAAAATTCATTTAATTAGTTTTAAAGGTTAATAATTAGAGATATTTTTGGAGAACCATCGTGAAACTCTTCTCTCTTCTCCAGCTAGCTGCTGAAACCCATAGACAAGGTGAGTCAATTTGTTTTCTTCTATTTTTGATCAAATTTGGTGAGTTTTGGGATTAAATTGTGAAATAGGAAATTGTTCTATCCTATTTTCTCTACAAGATGGTATAATTATTTCTTGGTTTCATGCTTAAATGTGAAAATGGGTATTTATGGTGGATGAAGAGGAAGTGTGATTTTTATGATTAAAGATCAATTCTTGATATTAGAAGTGTTGTAAGAATTGAAGAAGAACCAAGGATGCAAATTAATGAAAACAGTTTAGATTTTGGAATCTGGCAGTAAGTTTGAAAATTCACCAGAAATTCTATAAAAATTATTTGGAGATTATTTTTATATATTATGTTCATATATCAATCTAGTTTTGTTTAAAACAAACGGGGATCAATTTCAATGTGTATACAGAAAGATATGAACTTTTAACTGAGGAAAGGTCAGAAAAACGGACAGTATATTCTGCACAAAACAGATTCTGTTGATCAACTTTGAAAATTCACTATAAATTGTACATAATGAATTAGAAGGAGTTCTTTATATGGATAGATTCGTATTCGAGTCTAGTTTTCAATGGAAGAAACGGAATTAAATTCCAGTGTGTATATCAACACAGAATACTGATTCTTTAAAGATAGTGCAAGTTGTCTGAATATGGAAATTTTAGAATTTAAGTTGAAATGGATTAGAAGATGAAGAGTAATTTTTAAATGTAAAAGTATCATTTGGGTGAGTTAGAATAATTCTGGAAATTCTGGAAAGTGTGCTGATTTTGGAGTTTAAGTATTAAGTTGGGATTGAATTTCAAGTTTATCAAGTTGTAAGGTTGAAATTGAAAAGCCTAAGAAAGTTTAGGATGAAATTGTAAGCATTTGAGTGTTGAATTATTGATTTGAACTTTTATTTTAGTTGCTGGAAATTTTATATATTTGATGGGAAATAATCATAATAGTGAAGAGCTATTATGAAATTAAAGGAAAAGTTAAGTTGAATTCTAGAAAGAATTTAAAATATGTGGTTAGATTTTATAATTCGTAAAAGTTGAAGAATCATGCTGAAAATAATTATTTATGGAATTGAATAAGTGTTTCGATAAGTTTGAAGTTATAATGGAGTTATGAGTATGGTTGTTATCGATTTAGTTATCGATTTTACTATATAGATTTTCAAATGTTAAAACGAGCTTATATTAGTACGATACTAATATGTAGTTCGAACAATTTTTGTTTTATAATTTGGTATTGTCAGACTACGTTAAATCTAGCAATCCGAACGATTCGAAAGGAAAGGACAAAGCTCGTGACTAGGATTATTATATACAAGTTCTGTAGTGAGGCAAAGGTGAGTGCAGTTATTTATTTAATTATTTTGATCGAGGACGACTTGCGATAAGTCAACCTCATTCCAATTTATAGTATGATTTATAAAGATTATTTTCATAATATTTTATATCAGTTTTATGAATGATTTAGGGTATGAACTGCCCAAGCATGATATTTTGATTATGGATTTAATTATGACACATGAGCCCATTGTATGTATAATGAGAATTATGGGTACACTTGGCATGCCATTAGTTGAGTATTATCAGCTTTGGTACATTCGTGTATCAATGTTATCATATCAGCTTTGGTACATTCGTGTATCAATGTTATCCTATCAGCTTTGGTACATTCGTGTATCAATGTCCAGCACCGTTGGTGCTTATTCAGGTTATGATGGCACTGAAGTGCATCATATCTCAATATCAGTTACGATTTGCACCGTGTTGTGCATAGTGCGCACCTTACTCACGTATCTTATGTTCTTATAAATATGCATTGGGCTATGAAAATGAATATGCAAGTTGTGAATGATTTTCAGTTAACAGAAAGCATGATGTGCTTATTTTATTAGATATGATTTATCAGAATTTTCATGAGTTCATGATTTAAAAAGAAATTTCAGGTCTTAGTGAAGAAATCGACTTGGATAAGTTGGTTTGCCAGTTTAATGTTTTAAGTTGAATTATTTTATTTACGTCTATGATAAATTTCAGATTTTACTCACCCTAGATTATTATTGCCTCACTAAGTTATACTTAGCGCGTGATGATTTTCATGCGTAAGTTCTAATAAGGATAAGTACGATCTGTAAGGAGCTATCGGAGCATCTTTCTGGAAAGACATACATATCATCAGTATCAGTAAGATGTCTATGACGTTTCTTTTGACTTATAGTGGCATGTATAATTATGTCAGTAATTTCTAATTATCGTATTTATTTTAAATAATTTGTAATAATAAACTAGAATTATTTTAGTTTATTTTACTTAATTTAGTTTTATCGGTATCTATGTATGACAAGAATTTACTACATTATTATGTTTTTAAAAGATTTTACGAAAAGATATGGTTTAGTAAAATTACTGAATAAATAATGAATTTATTTTCCTGTAATAAAGAAATAAATTATAAGCTAAAATATACTTTAAAATATATTTTTAAAGTTAGAACCAGAGTGTTTTCAAAAGAAACAAATTTTTACGAAAATTTTAGTTCAGAAAATGTTTTCAAGTTGATGTGACATCTTTGACTAGTATATTGAGACATATACGGGTTAAGGGTATTACATCGATCGTCCCGGAAAAATCTTGCTAGCAACAGCTTGTCCAACAGCTTGTCCAAACCAGCTTCTGAATCATCAAACAAGGAGGACACTGGAGTAAAACCAGAAAAACCTAAAACTCAGTTATTTGTAAAGATCAACATGGAAGGAATCCCTATTGGAAGGAAAGTAAATCTCAGCGCCTATAATAGCTATGAGGAACTCTCACTTGCTATAGATGAACTGTTCAGTGGTTTGCTTGCAGGTTGGTCCATAAACCAGATAATACTAAATATCCATTCCACCATTGTTATTTGCTCACTTTTTCTCAACACCTTGCTTTATGTCAGATTAAGTTGACTGGTTTGTTTTACAATTATATCTTAGCTCAAAAAGATCCATCTTCCACCCAAAACGAAAGCTCGATCGAGGAAGCAGCCAAAGCAGATGCGGGTTCCTTAGCTGCAAGTGGGGAATATACTCTAATTTATGAAGATGATGAAGGAGACAGGGTCCTTGTTGGAGATGTACCATGGCAGTAAACATTTTTCAGTTATATTATGCCTTAGATAAACTTAAAAAACATGAAAAGCCTTGCATAAACTTGAACCAAACTATATATATACACACATAATTACCATTTGATCCTGGAATTCATATTCTTGACAGCATGTTTTTTTCTACTGCAAAGAGGTTACATGTACTAAAGAGTTCTGAAATTTCAACTCCATAAAGTAAGTTGTATGCATCCTTTTATTTTAATTTCATTAAAAAAAAACTATAGATTTGAGAGGTGTCAATTCCTGTTGATCAACTCTCTAACAAGTCTAGGAAATTTGGCTGCTTTCAGTTTGCAGCAATGAGAAAGAAAAGACCCCATTTGATCCTGCAGTTCATATTTCAAGGTAACTTTGTAGAAGATGGTGAATTTTCCTGTATCTTTTCCAAGTGGAGGAGTTCAAATCTATCATCTGCAATCATTTTTCATTGAAGTTGGCATATGAGTTATTATGATATGCTCATAGAATAAGTTTGAGAATAAATTTTGATGGATTGCCTGAGATGTATTTCAATTTTGATGTTGCTCTTCCCTTTTTTGTACTTTTACAGGTCAACTAGGTGTTTGGAAATGGAAAGTTTGATGGACTTGATTGTCTCTAGCTTGTAATTTGACTTTAGATTTTGTTCTAAATGATGTTAGAAACTTAGGATGATTTAGAAAAAGGTCAATTACGCATTTAGTATTTAAATTATCAATTTTTGTCTGTTTTAGTATTTAAACTTTTAATTTTTTTAAAATTATATCTAACTTTTTAGTTTTCATTTCATTTTAGTACTCCGCTATTAAAAAATTAACGTTAGATTTGAACGGATACTAAAATGAAATAAAAACTAAATTTTAGGCATGATCTTAAAAAATCGAAAGTTTAGGTACTAAAACAGACCAAAATTAATCGTTTAAGTACTAAACGTGTAGTTTATCTTTTAGAAAAATATTAAATTTCACTAGTAAAAAACGTTGTTTTTTTATTAATTTAAAGTAAATACAAGACATTATTATTCAAAGATAGTTCTAAATAATTTGACATTGAACCGCGCACCCTTAATATTTCTGGTTCTAAAACCCAAAATATCAAGAAATAAAAACAATTTATTTATCACCGAGGTCACTTGTTTCGTGCACTCATAAACGATATTAAATATTTAAATATATTAGTTTCAAAAAATATATATTATTCGATTTCATATGTTTTTGTGTAATGTATCAACAATAATATTAATCGAGTTAAATCCAATCGATCTATTTTAAGGTATTTAAATTTATAATTTTTTTTAAATATTACAGACAAATGCACATTGAATTAAGATTATAGAAATTTTTTATAAATATCTTTTAAAAATAAAAATAATTTACTAAAAAATCAGGAAGGATAATTTTGTTCCATAAAATTTATAATAAAAAATCTGGAATCAGACCGAGGTTTTTTTCCATTAAAGATTTCGGGTTTTTTATTTAGCTAATTAGGACACTATTTTTATTTTGGATAATACGGTAAATGTAAAAGTGAAGTTAGAACTCGTCACATCAAAGTGATGAATTATAATAAAATATATATTTTTTATTAAAATTTATCACATCAAGATTAAAATTTGAATAAAACATATTTTTTATTCGAACTCATCATCTCCAAATGACGAGTTTCATGCACTATAGAAAATGTCGTAGATGCCAAAATAAAAGTGTATGTAATCTATTTTGCAATTTTTTTCTGGGCTGTTATATTGGGCCAGAAAACCAGCAGACCGACCAGAAAGAAAGTTCAAAGTTCCTTTGCCCGCCTGGTTTGGCCTTTTAGGGTTTATGGTGTACTCGGTGTTTTCATTTCCTCTTTGCTTCATAAATTAAAATCCAAATCTTTTTTGGCGTTTGAAATCCTTGCTTTTCACTGAAGATCGAGGTAAAGAAAAAATCTGTAGTTTCATTCATGCAGTATAATAGAGTTATTTGCTTTTATTTTTCCAAATAGTTTCTGGGTTACGTTGAGGCTGATTCTTCATTATTTGAAAAGTAATGTTTTTATAGGGTTTTACTCTGTTCTTGTTTTGATCCTTGGGTTTTTTACCTGGATTGCGTTTATGATCTTTTTCGTTGAGAAGATTTCATCTTTTATGTTACTTGATATTATTCCTGGGAATTTTTGCTGTTTTATGTGTTCTATCATGCCTTTGTTTATTTTGTTTGGTTTTATAGGTCATTGAAATTGATAATCACCATTAGTTCGTTGAAATCAATTGCTGAATCGTTCTAAACATATTGAAGCTTGTAATTTGTTTTTGCTATATTTCTTGGTTGTCTGGAAATTTGAGCTATATTTTTACAGTTGAATTTTGTAGGGAAGTTTGGAAATTAGGGTTTGTTAATAGAAAAGAAACCGTCTTTTGCAAACCATGGGGACCCCAGAAACATCTAGAGAGCCATGCCCTGATCGAATTCTCGATGATATTGGTGGCGCTTTTGGTATGGGTGCGGTTGGGGGTGCAGCCTTCCACTTCATAAAAGGCACATATAACTCCCCAAGCGGTGCTCGGTTGATCGGAGGAACTCAAGCGGTGCGCATGAATGCCCCTCGTGTAGGTGGTAGCTTTGCTGTTTGGGGTGGCCTTTTCTCCACCTTTGATTGCACCATGGTTTACCTTCGACAAAAAGAAGATCCATGGAACTCGATTATAGCCGGTGCTGCCACTGGAGGGTTCCTTTCGATGCGTCAAGGACTTGGTGCTGCTTCGAGATCAGCAGTGTTTGGTGGGGTTTTGCTTGCTTTGATTGAAGGAGCTGGGATCATGTTGAATAAGTTCCTCAGTCAGCCACAGATGCCTATTATGTTCGAAGAGCCAGCACCCAATGTAGCCGGCATGCCTGGATATCCAATGGGACAATTGACAAATCAAACCTCTGCCCCTGCATCAGTTGACAGCTCGAGACAGGGTTCATCTTCGTCTTCATCCCGGTCATCAAATTCTTCGTCTTCATGGTTTGGAGGTCTTTTTGGTGGTGGAAAGCAGCAGGAATCAGCAACAGGTAGTGGAAGTAAAACTGAGGTTTTGGAGAGCTTTGATGCTCCTCCGGTGCCATCGTTTGAGTACAAATGAAATGGTGGCTAGCCATTTTGGTCGCTCTTAGCTTCTGAGCCTAACCCTAAGTACTTGTAAGCATGCCCTGTTTTACATGGCTTAGAAGTGTTTGAACTTAATTTCAGTATATTGAACCAGTAGTTGAAGTAAATATTCCTCGCTCTCTGGAGTTTTTGCTATCGATGTCAATCAACTTCTATCAAGTGGTTGGAGGCGCGACTTCTACTGTGGTTGCATCCTCGTCTCAAGGTCACGTCGATTCGTCGAACAGCTAACAAGGCAGCGCATACACTGGCAACCTGGGCTCTCACCTCTCGTTCTCATTTGTATTTTGATTCTGAGTGCCCAGCTTTTCTTTGGCAAACTGTTATTGATGATTCTATCTATGGTTAATGCTAAAAGTAATCTTTCTTTCAAAAAAATGTATCAAAAGCTTCTACCCAGCTTAAGCTTAAGCCAATCCAGAGCTCTTCAAGTTCATCACCAAAAGGACGTAAGTGATGACGAAGGATGTTACATGCATCACGGACAGATGCATTAAGTTCTTCGTATTTCGTAAACAAGTGTATCTTCATTATTTTAAAAAAATTATAAAATTTAATTTAATATACTAAGAAGTGAAGAAATAAATTTTATATATTAATATTTTAAAAATATATATATTAAAATTTTAGATTTTAATTTTGAATTTCTAGATTCACCACTAATATCATCATAAATTTAATTAAATCGATCCAAAATAGAATTTGATTATAATTTTTCATAACTTTAAGTATGTTCTTACTCGTATTGAACAGCTCTGCTCTAGATTCTTTTGGAAGAATGGTGATGTTGAAGCGAGAGGGGCTCGGGTGGGTTGGAGGACTATTTATAGTCCCAAGTCGGAGGGGGTGTTGGGGATTAGGTATATGAAGAGCTGGAATAATGCGTGTTTGGTGTTTCTCATTAAGGCTATCATACAGAGGGAGGGGTCGATTTGGGTGGCCTGGATTCATGAGTATATTCTACGGGGAGATGATTTTTGGCAGGTGCAGGCTAGATTCAATCATAGGTATCTTTGGAGGAAGCTATTCAAGCTTAGATAGGAAGTCTCGATGGGCCTTGTGATAGATTATGGGGTTACTCTGATGAAGGTCTGGGGGACTGTTAGGCCCAGAAGGGAGAATGTGCATTGGCATCGTTTGGTGTGACATGTTTTTCACATTCCTGGGTACTCTATAGTTGCATGGATGGTTGTCCTCTATAGATTACCTACTAGGGACAGATTGCGGGCTTTTGGAATGAAGGTGGAGGCATCTTGTGGCCTATGTGGTAGGGAGCTTGAGTCTAGAGACCATGTTTTCTTTGGCTGTCCCTTTTCCAATGAGGTTTGGCTCGTCATGTTGAGATTTGTAGAATCTGAAATCAGAACAGTCAGAGGATAAGAAATGAACAAAACACATTATCAAAATCTACACGAAAATGAAACTCCATTTGTACTCTCTGGGCAACCATACACAAGATAACCAAAGAAAAACGCAATTTACCAGACATTAAAATGAATTAAATAATAAAAAATTGCGTGGATTAACAGCGATAAATTCTTAGAAATCATGCAGGAAATAACAACGATGTTGATGATGAAGGTTCGAATATTGTGAAATTGTAACATAAAATATATAGCAACAAAATGAAAGGGACAACAAGGGAGGAAAGACTCAGAACCTTACTCTCCTGTAGACGACATTTTATCAAATCATAGCTTTGATTCAATGATCCTCTCTAAAATTATCTCATTTGAGCACTTCTTAATCATGAAAGATTAAGAAACGTGAGAGTCGGGGATACAGTGACATTGACATCGCTAACTTCCATCACGGACAAATCATGTAGGCGTTGTCTATTCGTGGGGACACGCCATCTGTCATCTTTCCGTGTTTCTATTGGTCCGTCATTGAAATAAAGTTATGGATATTTGTCCTGGTTGAAACGAGAAGTACTTGCCATTTTGCTTGAGGAAAAGATTCAGTGTCGTCTTCTCAAATGGGTTCATAGACGTGGCGTGTGGGTGATAAAAGGTGACAACGCATGAATCCAATGAGAAGGCGCCAAATCATACTCTAGATTCTCCCAATGCCAACGTGTCATGGAAAATTTATATATGAATTTATTTAAATTTTTTACAAAATACAAATATTGTTATAATATTATTAAAAAAAATCAAACTTTTCATAACTTGCGAAGAAATTGGAAAGAAGATAGCCCAAGACGATATCTTTAAATATATAGGTTAGTGTTTCACTTACTTTTTGTTTACATTTTTTTTATTAATATGAGATAAGTACAAAATCATATTTATTCAAAGATAACACTTAATTATTTGACATTAAACGCTCGTACTTCTAGAATTTATGGTGCTCGAACCTGAGACTTCAAGAAATAACAATAATTTCTTTACCACTGAAGTCTTTCGGTCCGTGCTTGTTAAAAGACAAAAGCTGAATAAAAGAGAAAAAAGGAAGAGATATTGCTGAAGCTAAGAAAGAGGTGTTGGATGGAGAAAATTGTATAGTAAAAAGGGAAAATAGAAAAGGTGTTGAATATCTCATAGTAATTTTAGCATACAAATGAATTGTATTGTTATTCGTACAAAGCTTGGATGCAGATGCATGGTCGCAAAAACCAGAAGCATATTTGAAACCATCATTGCACAGTAATCCTCGCAAAAGAAGAATTTAGAGGAATGTATGTGCACTAAGCTCTATAGATGCCGGATGGATCAGCATTCTCAACAATCCAAGGGTGCTCGAGAAGCTTATGTAGTGGTAGGCGTTGTGAAGAATCCTTGACAAGCATCTGTAAGTAGAGCTAAAAGCTTAGGGTATGTATTAAAAATGTTGTTTACTGCAAGGTACAACGGCAACAAACGATACCCGACTAATGAGGTCCTTAGCTGTAGATGAAACTATTGGTTTAGGAGGGAATTTCAGATCCACTTGCACAATCCTGTGGACAAGGTAAAGTAAGGCACACCATTCATATGCATATAACCAAGAGAAGTCATTATTTTCTCTTTGTTTTGTGCTGGAATATACCTTCGGTAAGTGTCGGAGTGTTCCTTGGCCTCAAAAGGAGGAACCCCGTAAAGGAATTCATAGCACAATACACCAAGGCTCCAGATATCTACGCTGGCATCGTGCTCTACACTTTCAACTGTTGAGAACATAAAAGATATGGTGAAAATTAGTTTTTGCCTTGCTCTAATTGTTTACATTTTTTACACAAAATGGGTTTCTAATGGTTTACTACATGCATACCCATTTCAGGAGGGAGATAATCAAGCGTGCCACACATGGTCTGCCTACGGTTAAATGTGTGTACTGACCATCCAAAATCAGCAATCTTAAGTTCACCCTGGCAAGGAATCCCAATTGACAAGATGAGCACTAAAGACTTAAAAAAACATAAGTACAACACAGAGAGTAGGAATCACCTTTGCACCAATCAGCAAGTTCTCAGGTTTGATGTCTCGGTGTATTACATGCTTTCCATGACAATAAATGAGTGCCCGAGCTAAAGATGCAACATACTAGAACAAACAACATAAGCATACAAACCAAATATCAAATGAGTCTTCTTTTTAACAAATCGTTAAGCATTACAAATTATCCGGTAAAACCGAAAAACCAAAGAAAACTCACAGTAGCCGTGCGTCTTTCACTCAAGTATTTACATTTTTGCAGTTCCTTGTAAAGTTCACCCTTGGCTGCATACTCCAGTATCAGGTAAACCCGTTTCTGTAAAAATTGGTATTCAGGAAAAACAAATGTTAATGCATTTTAATAAACTTATTTATACACAAGGAATCGTCAATATAATTATATAGGCCACTATACCTGATCATAGAAATAACCATAAAGCCTCAATATATTCGGATGACGCAAGTGGCTTTGTATTTCCACTTCGCGACGTAGCTGATGTTCAACTTGAGACTGTTGCAGTTGGCTTTTAAATAGGACCTTGAGTGCCACAATATGATTGCTCTGTACCAGAAGTACATATGGGTCAGCCTAATACAAGATTTACAAATAATAATATTATAAATGTCCATGTTATAACTTTGGAATTTCCTAATTATGACCAGATAACAATAACAAACAAGAACCTTCAATTTTCCTCGCATTTCTTAGCAGATAAAAGGATCCATGAGGAAAAGTGAAAGAAACAAACCCTCTTTTCTCTAGCTAAATAAACGTGACCAAACTTTCCTCGTCCAAGGGGCTTTCCAATGTCAAAATCGCTAAGCGTCCATCTTTTCTTTTCGCCAACGGGAGCCTCTGAAGAAACCTGTCAAGATTTTAATATGAACAAATAAAAATAAAAATATCAAATTCCCAACATTGTCTCAAAACAAGATAAAAAAATCAATAATGTTCCGTTCACAAATTTTCAAAACCCGCTAATCCTAGATACCAAAGGGAACGGAATCCAGACATGAGACTTAATAAAATTCCCAAATCTTCCATTAGAACCCTAGAAATCAACCCTATTTGGGAATTGAAAAAAAATACGGCGAAACCCTTCTCAAAACTTTCTTCTAGAAAAGAAAAAGACTAAACAAATCGACCTTTGTTTGGTTCTTTAAGGACGAAAATAGAAAAAAGAAACAATTTCTCAAGAAAAAGAAACAATAAAAACAAAGATGGGAAAGAAAATCTTAACCTTCTCTTGCTGTTGAGAGTTTGTCTCATCGATCGCCATTTCTATAGAAAGAGAGAGAAAGAGAGCAAAACAAAATTTTGAAGGGAAGGAAAGGGAAAGGGCGGTGAGAAAAAGACCGATGGGAAATTTATTATTTGATGGAGAAAACAAAAGAGAAAAATGACAAAAATAAAAGACCTGTTACGAATATGAACCACGGGTTTTGATTTGAAGTGGGATCGGACAAGACCCCATCCCCAACGGTCGAATTACTCAACTGTGCCACGTGGAATGTATATTTAAAAAAAAACCTTCTTGACATCCGAGGATTCGAGGAGCGTATCTTAATTAGCCAAATAATAGCCCAAATGGTAGAAGGATAACTTAAAACATAAGGATTTAGGGTAAAAAAATTTCGATTATAAGATATTATTTTATTAAATCTATTGATTATTAAAAATTATAAAATAGTCCTCCGACTATATAGTGTTGTTGTGTTAAGTCCATCGACTATTAAAAGTTACAAAATAATCATCTGACTATTCATTATGTTTCAAACTCTTCTTTTTCATTAGAAAATGGACGATATTCTGAATTGAATGTTAATATGTTGACTACGATATAAAAATTGATCACATAATCTTAAACAACTATTACATCCTAGTCATCATATTAACGTCTAGCTCAAACAACCGTTAATTTTTAACGGAAAAGTATGACTTTGGAACATAATGAATAGTCAAGTGACCATTTTGTAACTTTTTATATTCAAGGGACTTAACCTCTATTAAATGATCATTTTATAATTTTTAATAGTCAAGGAACTTAATAAAACAATATCCTGTAATCCGAGATTATTTGTGTACTTTACCCATATATTTAATGTGATTTAAATGAAGAATAATAATTAAATCTATAACTTAAACATAATATAAGATTTAATAATAAAATTTTGTTTAATACATTAAACAACTACCACGTAGGTTAGGGTGAAATTAAAAAAAAAGTTGATGGAGAAATTTTTAAAAATTTAAAAATACTAACTAAAAATACTAAATTAAAGTAGAAAGAGATCAAAATTTAATATGAACCATAGTGTGAATCTATATGGCTGAACTAATGCGAAGAACTATTTCAACAGTCAGTGCATCGAAACGCACATCCTCATCAACTAAAATCCATGCAGAGCTGCGCCACAATACTACAGACCAAACCACAACATTACACTACGCGCCTATGATAAAGGTGTATTAAATACTACACTTGGGAAACGGTTAAGTTCTAGACTACAGTGTGGGAAGATGTGTGCAATGGCATTGTTTGAAATGGGCAAACGATTAAGTTCTGGACTGATGCATGGTTGGGTGATGCAGGTCCCCTTGCAAAGTATCTGTCGGTCACTTTACACCTGAAAAAGAATATTAAAGTCTCTGATTTAATTGATTTGCATGGGGAGTGAAAGTGGGATGTTGAAATTAAATCCACTGCTAGCTGGAGTTTAAGGCGTATCCTAAAAATGAGGCCCGAGGCTTATCATGTTCTGTCTTCTGGTGCAAATAAAGTGAGTGATATATGGGATACTATTCGAGTGAAAAGACCTAAGGTATCTTTGGTTCCCATTACATATTCCTAAACACTGTTTGATAGTTTGGATGGTTTTGCTTGACAAACTTCTTACAAAGGAAAGATTACAACGCATGGGGCTTATAAATGAATGTCAATGTGTTTTTTATAATGCAGCACTGGAAACAAGAGACCATATGTTCCTTAAGTGTCCTATGGCTGATTATCTATGGAATGCAGTATTCTCCCTTACTAGTTTGCAGTATAAAGCTTTATCATGGGAAGCTCTATTAGTCTATTTGCTTGGACTAGTTCAACTTGGAAAGGTAAATTCCTGCTCACTACGATCATGAAGATAGCTTTGAATGCACTTATTTACATATTTTGGGAAGAAAGAAACAAAATGTTATTCCAAGGTCGATCAAGAAATATTGAAGAAATGTTCTATGCCATCAAGGATATTGTTAGTTTACAACTAAAGGGTAGAAATATAAATAAAATCGATAGTGTTAATATTATTCTCTATAATTATTGGGGTATAGTTGATCGTTGATTCTTTTTATAAGTAAGATGATATAATGTAATCAGAATTCTGATTGTTTTTGTATCAGTTTCTGCTCTTTGGATAATAAAATTGAATTATAAAAAAAAAGGAAAGAAAGAAAGTGGGATTGGTTGAGAGCAACGCTTCCTCCTTCTTTACTTATTAATGTTGCGGCTATCAAACCGCCGTTGCCGAATGGGGGTGGATATTCCCGGTTGGAAATGGGATAGCAAAAGACGGTTTACAACGAATAGCCCTTATTTAAAGAATTTACCAGTTGGTGTTCACGATGAACGGTCAATATGGAGTCTTATTGCAAAGTACACAGATTTACCTAGAGTTAAATCACTGCTTTGGACCATTTTTAAAAATTGGCTTCTATCGAATGAAGAAAGAGTGCGCAGGTGTATGGCATCGGACCCGAGTTGTGCAATCTGTGGGGCGGCGGTGGAGTCTGCTTCTCATATCATTAGGCAGTGTGTGGTTGCTTGTGGATCGTGGAATTCTGTCATTAAACCGGAGCCAATGGGGGAGTTTCTGTAGCTTAACATGGTTGACTGCGTTGCGGAGAATTTAGGAGGTAATCCTCGTTTTCTATTGGTTGAAGTGGATTGGGAACTTTTATTTGGGAATATTGTTTGGTGCCTTTGGAAGAGAAGGAATGCTTTGATCTTTGATTTAGGTTGTTCTTTTTCTGAAAGTGACCTCCATGAAAGTTGGTGTTTGACTACCGGGGCTTAGCGTTCAAGGGAGAAAAGAAAGAAGGTTACAGCCGTAAGGGGTTTACCCATGGACAGGTCTAGACATTGGGAATGTCCTCCGGATGGGTGGTTTAAACTTAATATGGATGGGTCTCGTAGGTCGGATTCAGGAATGGCTACGTGCGGCGGGTTAATTCGAGACCATTTGGGTAATTGAGTTTCGGGGTTCATGAAGTTGATTGGGTATTGCACAGACTTAGATGGGGAGTTATGGGGTTTATTCGAAGGTTTACAGATAGCATGGGGCTTGAGAGCTTGGAGGATTAAAGTTGAGACAGACTGTAAGGAGGCCGTTGATTTACTGAAGAACGCCTCTAGAGCAAGAGGTGTTTCCTCCTTAGTGCCACATCTATTTAATCTCTGTCAGTGAAATTGGAAAATTGGTGTCGATCATGTGCGTCATGAGTGTAATTCAATTGCGGATCAACTCGCAAAATTGGCGTGGAGTCACCAATTTGGTTTGGTGCTGCTGCAAGTTCCACCAGATGAATGCAATGATATTCTTATCGAATCGACTACTGAAGTTTTTGCTTTGATCAACAGGCTGTGGTTGATTTAGCTTATATTTCTTTCATTGTATTAAGAAAAAAAAATACTACACTTCACCTTCCTCCTTATAACGCCACCCTCACAGCTCTTCTTCACCTCCACATCCCTCTTTCATCTTCTCACACTCCGTTTTGTCCTTCTTTTGTTGATATCTCTCAGTGTACGATTGGGGTTTTCCATAATGTCGAATGATCAAAAGAAATCCATGACTCAGAAGCTGTACGAGTCAGCTCCATCATCTCGGCAGGCGGCCAAGTTTTTAACGGCGACCACGTTCAGTGCAACGTTGCTTTTCTTGTCGGGGTTAACCTTGACCGGGACTGTGGTTGCCCTGGTTTTGGCGACTCCGGTTATGGTCCCGTTCAGTCCGATCCTGGTCCCGTCTGGGATAGCCATCTTCCTGGTGATCGCTGGGTTCTTGTTCTCTGGTGGGTGTGGCGCGGCAGCAGTAACGGCGTTATTGTGGATATACAAGTACGTGCAAGGGAAGCACCCACTGGGAGCGGATAAGCTTGATTATGTAAGGAATATGATGGCAAGTATGGCGAGCGGTGTGACGGGGAATGCCAAGGAGAGTGGACACTATGTGCAGCTTAAGGCTCGGGAGGTTGCTCGAGGCCAAGGATCTTGAACTAATTAAAGTGTTTACTGTCAACTGTTTACTTTAAGGCCTGGTTCATTGTTTTTGCTTGATCAAATTTGCATGCATGCATTTTAACCATTTTGTTTTCCTGGGCTTTGTTGCTGTGTTACGATTGAAGAGTTCCATTGTAGCTCAGAATCTCGTTTCTCTGTTAATAAATTTAAGGGTTATTCTTTGTGCCAAAGGAGTTATTATGATTCAAAAACGGCATTGTTTTATTAGATCGTAAGAAATAAACTTGAATAACGATCGACCAGGCAGCAAGTGATACATGTGGACCTCGCAAAGGCTCAACAAAAGGAAGGTCCTGGGTAAATCTGAAAGCGTCATCAACACATCCTCACGTGCCAAGAGATCAACTTTACAGGCATAATGTCAAATAAGCAACTTAATATTTTGCCATCGGTATCTGCCAAACCATCGACAAAAGTTAGATATTCAACCTGAAAGCCTTAAAGTTTAAACCCATCTTGTTCCATGATACTAATAAACGACTAAGCCCCGCTATTCAGCTAAAGCTTGAACGTAATATATTCAAGGTTCAGCTTCAGCACACTACTTGTGAGTTTATTTGAAGAAATCACAGAACTGGGTTGGGCATGACATGAACGTAATTCATGCGTATTCGGGGAATCGAACTCCGACAAGTACCGTGGGAGGGAACTATGATACCGCTGTACTAAATGCGCTCGACTGGCGATAGCGATTATAGTTTGTAATAATTTATAATAACATTTTTAGTTGCTTTTTAATAGAGAAGGTAACCGTCCTAGTGTACAAAACAGAGGACGTTATGTTCCATAAAGCATAGAAACGTGCAAGACATACAGAACGCCTTGGTCCTCGACTGAATCAAGCATTTATGCCAACAGGAAAAGAGTAAAGTAAGCCAAGAGGCACTATGCACAATACCAGAAAGACGTCCACCAATACATGACCGCCATTGTCCGTAATCATAATACTCACCATCACCGTAATAACATCCGTTACGTTCCCGTTCACAATCAACGCAACATAATCAAAAATATGATTACAACCCTAATTTAAATCCCATATTAGATATGTGTCTTCTCTTCAAGCATTTGTAAGCTGTTAGTATACCTATAAGCTCTCCGTAACTCTTCTCTTTTGCGAAACCGCTTTGGCAATCTAGGGTTAAAAGCGCTTCTCTTAGATAGCCATATTGATTTTGTATGTATGTGGTCGTCAAGCTGAAGCCAGTGGGAAAACAATAACAAGGTTAAATTTCAGATAATTAGGTAGGAATCAAATGATTCATCCATCATATGTGCACTTGCACGCAGACATTTATGTAAGAATTTGAATTTATTTCCACCACATATTACAAACATAAGCTACCAACTTTAGTTCCCTGTGCTTTTGTCCAGGATTCCTTACAGGTCATCCTACCCAGTGCCCAAATATAATTTCAATTTATTCACCTCTCTCTGCTAAAAATATGCCAGACTTTCTTACAAGCAACATGAAATAATTTGCGAACATAATTATATCGTGGAATAACAACGTGTTCCAAAAAAAAAATCCTAGGGTTTTAATTTGCTACTTTACCGCCCATAATTCATAGCCCAAAAACCAATAATTTGCGATAGTTTTGGCCAATATCATAGGCAGGCTAATTTTTGTCCCAATACATCAGATATTTTATTTTGAGAACTACGGAATTTACTATAACGACATGGAACTCGTCAAGTTGATATGACGAACTCTAATAGAATATATATTTTTTATTGTAACATATCACTCCGACGCGACACAGATCTAATAAAAAATTATATTTTATTGAAACTCGTCAATTCGATGTGATGAATTTGAATAAAAAATATTATTTAGGCAACCTCGTCATGTGGACGTGACGAGTTTGCCCCGTAGTATAACATTTATCGTAAATCTCAAACTAATTTTGGAAATAACTTAGTGAGTTAATTTTTTTCACCCGAGTTACCTATTAGATCAATTTTGCCAATAATTTGCTCTGCGCTTTCAATTAGCACCTAATCTTTCCAATGAACCCAAAACAGGAACGAAACAAATTATTTTATAAACTAAATAGTATTCGGTGAAGTGGTAAACAACAATAGAACATACATATCAGTTCTTCCATTGTATATTTGATCAATAGATATTATTTTCTGATAATTTTAAAAATAATTGTCTAAAAAATGTTTGGGGTCATTTTGCGAGACAAAATTGCGGAAAACACGGCCAAAGTAGATAATTAAACTAAAGTTAAGAATTAAAGTTACATTAAATTAAATTAAAAATAGGACCTAATTAAAAATTAAGAATTAAAGTTAATATTGGTGATCAAATCGATTAATTCTAAAATCTAAGGGATTTAATCTATAAATTTAATACATGACTATAATAAAAGATTTTAAAGTTAATGCTCAAATTAATACATTAGACAAATTAAAAACAAAATCAATATCAAATTAGATTAAATAAAAATTCAATGAAACAAATCATATACAAATAGTAACCAAAATAAAAAAACCAAGAAAGTATCAGCACCACAAATACGTAACTTTGTAATGGCTTACGCTATAATTACACTAATTTTTTAACTATCACATGTGATAATTTTAAACTCATTTAAATAATTGAATGATATATTTATTATAATTTTAAAAATAATAATTGTTTGGCGATATGACCTATAGTTATACGATCATTTATTGAGTTTACCCTTTAAAATATTCCCTCGAAAGGAATAATATTTTCATATCTTGGAGTCAGGTGATAATTATTTTAATTCAACCATGATTAACTAGAACAACTACGGGTTGAGGAACCACTTTATAATCAAGTGAGCCGGTGCTCTTCTCAGGAATAGAGAACGATGACAAAAAATGATCGGAGAAACAATCCGACTAAATCCTACTGCCAGAATCCCGTCGGGGGTCGTATTGGGCTATCCGACGGCTAGCTTTCCATCCGGTAATTTCAACTGCAGCAATGGACCCAATAGTCCCTGTCCCGCCGATTATCTCGTGTCTCTCCACCGTTGCCTACCGTCAAATGCTTACGAGTCAGACTCGCTGAGTGAGGATTTGGACTTTTCCGTCGATTCATTTTCAGGCGACCACTTCCGGATGTACGAGTTTAAGGTGAGGAGGTGCGCTCGTGGAAGGTCACATGACTGGACCGAGTGCCCGTACGCCCACCCGGGTGAGAAGGCCCGAAGAAGGGACCCCAGGAAGTTCCATTACTCTGGAACTGCTTGCCTCGACTTTCGCAGTGGAAACTGTAAAAGGGGCGATTCCTGTGAGTTTGCTCACGGCGTTTTCGAGTGTTGGCTCCACCCTGCTCGTTATCGTACTCAGCCTTGCAAGGATGGTACCGGCTGTAAAAGACGGGTTTGCTTTTTCGCTCACACGCGGGAGCAGCTTCGGGTGTTTCCACAGCAGAGTACGACAGAGAATGGATCCGGTTCAGGTGATTTGGATCATTTTGGTTCTCCCATTGGTCTACGTCTGGAGTTTGGTTCTTCACCAACTTCCATTCTGGCTTCGCCTCCTTTATCACCACCTTCTGAATCACCTATTATGTCACCCAGTGGCTCATTTAACTTGGTGAGTGAACTTTCTGCTTCTATGCGAAGTCTGCAACTCGGTAAGGCCAAAATGAGTGGTGCTTGTTCCCGGGGACTGCAAATGGGATCGGGATTTGGTTCTCCTCGTGGCTCCACATGCCGACCTGGTTTTCCCAGCTCTCCTTCAACGCCAACTCGCTCTAGCCTTGGTATGTTCGGTATCTGGGAATGCAACGCCGGCGAAGAGGAGTCTGCAACGGAGAGAGTGGAGTCCGGGAGAAACTTAAGGGCAAGGATGTATGCAAAACTGAGCAAGGAAAATTCTCTAGACCGTCTTGAACCCACTGGATCGGGTCCTGATGTTTGATGGGTATCCGAGTTGGTTAAGTGAAACTGGGCATCTATTTTGATTTATTTTTGGAAATCTAAACCAAAACCGGTTGCCTTTGAATCTTCCGACTTATTTTGTGAATATTTACGACACCCCTGATTTGGATATTTGGCATTTGGCAATGTAAATAGACGACGGGACAAAAGTATTACATGTTTTGTATATACACGGAGGACAGGACTTATTACGGCTGCCCGTTTGTCTTGTATTTTGTGACAATTATGAAACGCCATTTTCTTTTTTTTTCCCCTCTTCCGGATATAATCTCTGTAATTTTTCCTATGCCAATCAATGTAATATATCCCTTATTTTTATTCTCCTGTATTTCCCACAATTAAATTTGGGAGCATAGCGAGTTTTCTGCCCTTCAGATCCAACGACCCTCGAACTGAAATAGGGGAAGGTTGAGTGTTATTAGAGTGCCATTCTGGTTCACAATAATTAGAATATATATTAAAGAAGGTTAATAGTAGTCTTTTCATTTCATTTCAAAGTGGGGCTTTTGGGATAACACTTATCTTCGAGTGTAAGCTATCGTATGTCTTTTCTGTCATGAGCAATCGACCGCAACACAACAACTTGAAGGTTATCGATTCGTTGATGCTTTCAGAGTTTTAGGAAATTTTATTTTATTTAACGATAACAACTGCATTTCAATTATTCTAAAAAGAACCTAAATTTTAAAGATAATAAATTTTAAAATATTCATATAAAAAATATTAAATTTAAATACATGAAAAAAATATTTTATTGAGAACAAAGACTGATATCAAAACCTTATAATCTTCATAAAAAAATTGTCTCTTGCGAATGAGACGTTTTACAAAGTGATAAAGAAATGATATTTAACCAAATAATCTGACAGGTTGTTTTACTACACAATTTTGGTTACATCGACAAATAAACTTTTATCGAAAGAGATGATCTGACTATAAGTGATCACAGAGAAACCAATTATAAAATAAATGTCGAAATGATTTTTATGCGAGTACAAAAAACGACCACAAAAATGTGGAATAATATAACAAAAATCATAAGATCGTGTCAGAATAGTAGAGAAAACACGTGCCACAAAAGTAGAAGAAAACGTGTCATAATTACACATTCTTATTCAAAATTATAAAGATTCAAGAAAAAAAATAAAAGACATAATAAAAAAATAAAAAAAAATTGATAGTCACCGACAGTCGGTAACCAATATTAATATCACCGTCGACTAAATAAAAATTAAAGAGAAAAAAATACAAAAATATTGAAAGAAAATTCTGTTAAAAGAAAAAAAAAGACGACTAGCAAGAAATTTTAATTAGCTATACATTTGTTTTTTTGTTTACCATATTCTTAATTCACGCACTTGTGTGTTTTCCGATGGTTCGAGATGGTTTCATCGATCACGTTCATAGGCCTGGTGTTCTTCATTTAAGTTATATCAATCAGGTCTTCCATTTTTAATACGCTACTGAACCATTCTCATCGTTCAATCTCTTTAAAATTTCAATCTTTTAATGGATGTCCTTGTTCCGTATCTAATGGGGTAGGGGAGGTAAGATAGTAGGCTGTCCCTAACATTAAGTTGATAGCAACTTCCGTAAGAGACCTCCAAATTATGAAATGCCCATCATGAGACTCGATCCTATGACCTCAAGATTAAGAACATTGTGCTCTACCAACTGAGTTGGATGATCATTTCAAAATTTCAATCTTTTAATATATTATTGTCTAAACAATCTTCAATCCTTTAATATTTATTATTTTTAGTTAATTGATATAATTTACTACAAAACTTTTTAAAAAATAAACTAAAATTATATTTTTAATTAAAAATTGTTATTGCGCCTAAAATTTTTTGTCGTGTATTTGAACTAGTAATTAGATTGCCACGTGCACTATTTTGAACTGAAAAAATAAAACAAGTCCTTATCTTCTGATAATATTTTAATTTATCCACTTAAGTTAAGAGCCACTTGTATTAGTGATTAAATTTATTATGATGTGACGTGGAAGTTCTTCGGTCGAAGAGAGAGCGAGCACTATCTGTCTTGGTAGGGTCCCATTTTTTTATTTCCACGACTGTTTATTTATCATTTCGTGTGTTTGGTTGGGAAATATAAGATTACCATGGGAATTAATCTATATTCTTTCATTTGGTTGGTCGGGAATGTCATTCTCAATAATCTTATATTATCAGTAGTAAATTTTTTGGGTATATTATCGGGAATGTCATTACCTCCATTTCCTTAGGTATTGTTGGATTACCAGTGTTTTGGACTAAAATACCCTTAAATTTTTTTCTTTTCAAAAATATTCTTATTCTGTCATTGAATAATAAAAATTTTACGAATGATAAATTACAATTTTATCTTTAAACTATTTTAAATTTACAAAAAAAAATCTATAATTAAAATTTTATATGAAGTTCAGGGGTTAAAATAAAATTTTACCCTTTCATTAAACTTTTTTATATTTTTAATTTTGTAAAAAAAATTATATAAATTTTATGAATTTAAAATTTTTAAAGAAAATATATAAATATTTTCAAATTTGTTAAAAACAAATATATAATAAGGACAATTTGGTCAAATATACATTCCAATAATCTTTTATTCCTTTAACCAAACACGGTAATCTTACATTCCTGTTAAACTAACCAAACACAAAATACAACATTCCCAGTAATCCTATTCTCTGGTAATTTTTTATTCTCACTGGTAATATTACACTCCGTGAACTAAACGCTAAGGTTTCTTGTCTTTTTTCGTAGTTCGTATTAACTATATAATTTGTAATTTTATATAAAATTTTAGGATAAAGTAGATAAATATTCTATTATTATAAAATATTATTTTATTAAATTTATTGATTATTACAAATTATAAAATGATTCCTCTAAGAAGTTGCTTTATTTAATTATTCTATTATTAAAAGTTATAAAATGATCATTAAATTATTTATTATATTTTAAACTAATAAATTTCATTAAAATTTTAACGGTCATATAAATTGTATGTTAACATATTGACTGAGATATGATAGTCGTTGGATATTATGAGATCATGTTTTAATTAATAGGTTAACGTATAACTTAGACTACCGTCAATTTTTTAATAAAAATGATGTGTTTATAATATAATAAATAATCAAATAATAATTTTGTAATTTTTAATAATCAAGACACTCAGTAAAATAATTTCTATACTCAAAAGAATATTTTATAACGTTTAATAATTAAAATTTTTAGTAAAATAATATTCTATAATCAAGTAATATTTATGTATTTTATCCAAAATTTTAATTATGAAATATCTCGTAAAGCTAAAATTATCTGATCTGAATTAGTGGACGCTATGGATATTTAGGAGTAGACTCTGTGCTGGCGTGTTCTCCGAAACTAGCGTGTTACTGTTCTTATGTCCGTACGATAATCAAAACCATCACGTTCATGGCCAGCGAAATCTTCCTGCAACTACAAATTGAAGTTGCAATTCTACTATGTAGATTAGTACCTGGGTACAAGGGATGAATAGAGATAGACACTAAGTAGAGTTGTAAATGAGATGAGTCAGATAATGAATTATTCAATATTGATTTGGTCAATTATTAATAAATACTCAGATCGAGTAGATTTAACTCGAGTTTTTAATGAGCTGAAACGAATTATTTAATACTCAATTCGAAAAGTTTGTTAGCAACTTAAAAATATAATATATTAATATTTTATTTTTTAAAAATATTAATAATATTAACATTTATGTGTTGATTTAAAAAAAATACGCATGTATTTAATGTTCAGATTTAAGTTTGAGTTTGAGGCTTCAATCAAGTTAAGTTTAAGATTTTCTTTTTCATTTCGAGCCTTTTCGAGCTAGTCACGAGTTTCAGTTTAGGATTTTAAGTTCAAGTCGAGTTTGAAAATTTTAAACTCGCGAATTTTCGAGTTGATTTGAGCTTCATTTCAGAGTTTTCGAGTCGAGTCGAGCTCAGCAATACTCGAGCTTGACCCAGTTCGTTTACACCCCTAAGCAAGGCTGTCGTGCACTTAAAAGTTTTAATTTTTTATAGCTTTTAGAGTAAACTAAACTGTCAGTATTGATCTATGTTAGTACTTAAACTTTCAATTCTTTCAAAATCATACTTAACATTTAATTTTTGTTTCATTTTATTACTCCGCCGTTAAAATTTTAACGGATGAAATCACTGGCCAACGCGTCTACAGTCGTTGTCGTCGCATTTGTCGATCGATAAAGCCCAAACTTTTCAGCCAACATCTCTTTGACCCCTAAACGTGATGTTAGCATCCGTTTCATTGAAAAATGTTTTAATTTCCCTAATTTGACAATGGGTCTGAAATTGGAGCATGTTGATCAATTCGTCATTCTCTTATAGTCCATGTTTAAATTGGTTGTCCGTCTCCCGGAGCTATGCGTCGTCAACCCGTCTATTAAGTTTTTAATGGTGTGATACTAAAATGAAACGTTAGATATATTTTTTTAAAAATGAAAAGTTTATAACTTAATTTACCCTATTAATAATTTATTAGGTAACTGGTTCCCAGTGCCCCGTTATAATATCCCCGAACTTTTATCCAAAAGCTCGATCCCCTCTTGTTTGGACAATGGATCTTAGTTATTGTAGCAAAATAAGAGTTTCAACCAACGGTTCAAGCAAGCCTCATGGGGGAACCAAGCAGCCTAATACCATATGTAGGGATGGCAACTCAACCCGAATCCGACGGGTTCCGACCCGACCCGACCCGATCGGGTCAGATTTTTTTAAAAAAATATCGGGTTCAGGTCGGGTCGGGTTTTTTTTAAATGCACTGTTCGGGTCGGGTCGGGTTTAGGGTAAAAAAATCCGACCCGACCCGACCCGAAAAATATATATAATTTTATCTTATATATTTAGGGATAATTACAATAAAATCCCTCCATATATAATTTTTTTCAATTAAGTCACTGTTTTCATTGAATTAATTTTTTTTTATTATTTCGGGTCGGGTCGGGTTTCTAAGTCATATATTTCGTCGGGTCGGGTCGGGTGAAACATTAATTCTGTCGGGTCGGGTCGGGTCACGGGTGGAGAACCCTTTCTTCTCGGGTCGGGTCGGGTGGCCCAAAAACCCGACCCGACCCATTGCCATCCCTAACCATATGTGAGCTAATTATTTAACCCGAAACGACATTATATATTTTTTATTTTAGAAAATACGACATTTACTACAATGACTTAAAATTCATTATGTTTAGGTAATTAATTCTAATAAAATATATTTTCTTATTAGAATTTGCAATCCAACATGAGGAAATCTAATAAAAAATATATTTTATTATAACTCATTACTTCGACGTGATGAGTTTAAAAAAAATATTATTTTGATAAACCCTTCATATCAGAGTAACGAGTTAATCCTGTACTGTAATACTTGTTGTAGATCCTAAAATAATTTTGAAAATAACTTAGTAGACTAATTTTTTCATCCTCAAGACTTAGGGGCTGTTTGTTTGCCTCTTAATGGAATCATTCAGCGCTGAATGCTGAATGGTTCATCATTCAGCGCGTTTGTTTCGCACCTCTGAATGATTTAGTGCTGACTGATTCAGCAAAATATTGCTGAATGATTCAGCACAGAAGTACATTCTAAATGATTCAGAGCCATTATCAAACAACATGCCACATTCAGAGCTAATTCGTACAGAGCCAATTCAGAGCTAATTCATATAGAATCTCTGAATCATTCAACATTTGAATCATTAAGTGCTTAATCATTTTAAGCCTTATTGAGCCAATTTTAGGACTATAAACCCGTCCGTGTCCTGGTTCCCAGCCTCAGTCACATCATACATTATCAATTCTATGTATGTTTGTATAATTTCTATGGTATTATAGATACCATTTTAATTGAATTCAATATCACAAGCGACATTCATCCATACGATGAGGTTGGGTCCATTATCAGTCAGATTTTCATGCTGATTTTAATCATGCTTATCAGTTGATTGTCATAGATTTTAATAATGTATATTAAATAATGATGAACATGAGATTCAAATTTAACGGGTCTAGATTTATTCTAATGTTATAGGATCAATTTTTCTTAAAAATATAAGTTCAGCTTGGTTAAACTAACTTTTTTGAAAATAAGATCAGATTTAATTTGATTTAAAGATTAAAAAATCGATTCAATTTTACCTGAGATAATAGTATAATTATCTTTTATATATTTAGATATATATAAATAGGTCGGGTCAGATTAATAAGTGAATTTTTTAATCTAAAAATTATGTTGGTGAAGTTATCCTAAACCTAAATAAAATCGGATAATAAATAGATATAAAAATAATTGAATCAGATTAAGTCGAGTAAAAATTCAATTCGATATAACTAATTCTACCATTGCAGTTATAAACTTAAAACATCCTTTTTTAAGAAATGACATCCATTTATTTATTTATTAAAAAAAGCTGTGATTTTATTAAGTTCAAGGATAAAGTATATAAGCGATTCTTGAACTTAATATTTCAAGATTTTAATTAAATAATAAAATAAAATAATATTTTAATGATGTCTAATGATATAATCGTTGCTTCCATTTGAAGTGTGTGTAAGGTTCTATATCGAGATTGATATGGTTACATATTTTATATGGAAAATGTATGCAAGTACTGGAAGCTACGGATAATGAACCATGGGGACAAGCCCGACCCAATATATGTGTCAGATGGGCCTTAGCCTAGGGCAACATGTTTGAGGGTGCATCAGTTTTCTAGTGCTTATAGTGTGTATATATACATATTTGACCCAAGAAAATTAGCCCAAAACACCTGATCGGTCGATGGAAGGCTTAGGGTAGGCGACGACGACTCAGGATAGATTGAGTGGATTAGCAATTCTAAGCATCGAAAGTCAATTTTTACAAAGTCTGAGTTATCGTAAAATAATAGAGATTTTTGCTTCAAAAAATACACGAAGGCATCATTTTAGGTGATATTTGTAGCCTTGTAGGTTTTGATTTGTATTAGTATTGATATTGTTTGACTATAATTTCTATTACATTTTTGTTTTAAAAAATTATTTATGTTTTGTCTATTATACGATACAAGTATAGGGGCATAAAATTATTATCTCGCCCAGGGCATTAAAACTCATCGGACCGGCCCTGCATGAGACCTCATGGCACTGTATTGGCTGAAATAGCACAGGCCACAAAGAAATTGTAATCATCAACTTTTGCAAACACTGTCTTTTAACATTCTGTTCTGCGTTTCTTTTGTAGGATTGATGTTTGAAAGACATCTAACACTTTATGCTAATTGGATCTGCTACCATATATTGTAGCTCTGAATTCCAGATGGTTATGAATGTGCTTTGGACAAGATTGGGCGAGACTGGAAAGGACTGGCGCTATATTTACAAGGTATGCATATTCTGGCTAACCATGTGATACAAGTAGTATTGACAAGTACTTTCAAACCTTGTTGGCTTATGCTTGCCATGCCTTGAACATTTGAAACTATTTCTCTACCAGGCATTGACTGTTATTGAGTATTTGATTTCTCATGGATCTGAACGTGCGGTTGATGACATAATAGAGCATACCTTCCAGATCTCTGTAAGGCCTGAACCGCTTTGTTTTTCTGTGAGTTTGTTTTACACTTTATAAAGAGGAAACTTGAATTTATCTGATATTCTACTTCCTCTATTTGTTTTACGTATGCAGTCCCTCACAAGTTTCGAATATGTTGAGGCAAGTGGGAAAGATATGGGAATCAATGTCCGAAAGAAAGCGGAAACTATAGTGGGCCTTTTGAGTAATAAAGAAAAGATACAAGAAGCTAGGAACAAAGCTGCTGAAAACCGTGACAAGTAAGTTTACTTTCAGGAAGTGAAATTCTATGCTTTCTTGTGTCATTTTCATTGACTAAACTGTACCTGTTCCTACTTCTAGGTACATTGGGCTGTTATCTCGTGGCATAACTTATAAGTCCGGTGGATCCTCATACGATAGTGGTGGCCTCCATGGTGATGGGGATAGTTATGGAGGCCTAAGTAGCAGAAGAGAAAGTGACAGCTATACTGGCAGTTATAAAGAAAGCAACCGATATGGAGAAGAAAAGTCTAATACAGATGCCTATGTGAAGTCGCATCGAGGGACTTCAAGTGAGAAACACAGGTATTCCTCTAACGAATCTAGACTTCATTTCATTTTGTAATGAACTCCATAACATACATGCTGCACTGCCATATAATTGGTTATAGGAATCACGACTCCGCTGTTAATCCCTTTATTTTAGGTGATGGTTCCATTTTTCAAATTTTATAGTACTTTGATTATGGAAGCTCATAGCACTACTTTGAAAAATCTTATTTTGTAATGTTTGTATGCAGCAAGGACTCGATGAAAAATAATCTCTTCAAAGTTGGATAAACATAGTCAAAGGACAAGCACCCCTTCAAATAATTATGATGATTTTGATCCCTGGGGAACATCCAATTCTAGTAAGCAAAAATATTCCTTCCTTAACTTGATAATGCTTCTTCATAGGTTTTCTTTTTGTCATTCAAACTTAATTTTACATATTTTAAAATCCTGTCTGCTAGTTCATTTTGTTGAAGGTACGTTCCTTACTCTTCAGCAATGGGTCTATGTAGGATGTGTTTATAAATGCATTGTTGATTATTCTTTTGACACAACCAGCGGTTGGAAGTTCTAATCAAGTGGATCTCTTTGGACGTAGCTTGATTGATGACCTCTTTGACGGACCAGCATCAATCCTAGAAAAGTCTGCTATGAATACTGATTCAATGGATGTTGATCTATTTGCTGATGCAACTTTTGTTTCAGCAACAACCAAGTTAGTTCACGAATCAAGTCCTCAGGTACAGGCCAGACCTTTTTTCTTTTTCCTTTTTTTCAATCTCAATTTTTGGAAATGCAACAATGGATTATTGTATCTATGCCAATTGAATTGAGCTTCAAGAAAGCAGTTGTCTATTTACGTAAATAACTAGTTTATACTTTATAGTTTATCACGTAGCATAAAATTCAGTATAATATATTGTTCTCGTTGCCTTGAAATATTGTATGCCACAATAGGGTTAGATAAATGTTGAAGTGCAATGATCTCTTCTTGTGTGCTCTTCCTCCTCTATCCCTTGCTCTCTTTGACCCAAAAATATCTCCATTGATATTTGACGAAGACCACCATTGCAGTTTGCTTAAGAACCTTTGATATTAGAATGCTTTTATTTGAGCATTTAGGCTTTGCTTGGTTTTAAGGATGGAAAGGAGGGCGGATTTTTTTTAATCAAATGGTTAAGATGCTTCACAACTTTCCTTCTTTGCAGCTTATCCATTAGATCAACAAATCTTCCATTATCACCCATTTCCATTCTTCATACCAAGTAGAGCTTCAGAATATTAACACATATACTAATATTGATTGGATTTTCAGTGGATATCCGAGTTATTGGACTAGTTAATTGAGTCAGGGGCATATATTTTCATCACGAGGAGCTGACATCTGTTTCACTATTCTCATTGTGCAGCAACACATCTGTTTCATTACTCCTGCAGCCTCTCCCAGTGATCCAGTTGTGCAACCAGATACAAAGGTAGCAGAGTATGAACCCATGAGTACTAGCACTGTTAATCCTTTTGTGGCTGCTCCACTGGAAGTAATGGTATATCGTGTCATCTTTTAAACAGATAGAACTGCCCTCAATTAACTTCATGCGTACCTTCCACGTGTCCTCCACTCCTTTCTTTAATGCAAAAATAAAATAAAATCCTTACTGATAAAAACATCGGTTCGCTTCAGAACCTGTAATCTTAGAAAGACTTTTAATTGAACTTGCAGTGTGTATGTGTGTGTGTGTTAATTAATTTGTCGTATATCATACAGAGGTGTTTGACTAGCCAATGAAGGAGTTTGGTCATATCTTTTAATCAGGAGCTGCTGAAATCCACTTATTTTTCTCATTTGTGCATGGACAGGTTGATTTATTTGCTTCCCTGCCTGCGAGTACACCTGCAGCAGCATCTCCAACTGTCTACTTCTTTTCCAACGCTGATCCTGTTGTGCAACTAGCCATGGCAGCAAACATTGAGCCAGTAAATGCTGACATTGTTGATCCATTTGCTGCTGTTCCTCTGAAAATTTTTGATGGATCTGAAATTTTTGGTTCGTTAACGACTCATATTGATTCAGCTTCGAAAGCACTGAAACAAAGCCCCACTAATGATGGAAACCTAAATAACATTAGCAAAAAGTCATCACTGGACTCCAAAGCTCCTCAAAAGGATGGTTTTCAGGTTAAGTCTGGAATTTGGGCTGATTCACTGAGCCGTGGAATAATTGATCTCAGTATATCTGCTCGTAAGTTGTCTCACTCTAGTCTCTTCTCTTGCTTATAAATTTGTGTATTTTGAATCTTTTCGACTGTTGCACCGTCATTTGAAACCTTTGCAGCCAATAAGGTTTCACTGGCAGATGTAGGAACAGTCGGTGGATTGAGTGATGTAGATGAAAGAGAGAGAGGACCTCCCCCTTCATTCTCAAACCTTGGCAGCAGTCAACAGTATCAATTCGGTAGCTATAAGTAGTTTTGTTCATCTCCCCTTGGCATTCTCTATTTGAAACTTTATCCAACATGTCGTGCATCTTGGTGTGTTAGTTTTTTTTCTTTTTATCATTATTCTCCCCATGGAGTCTCTCCTAAATTAAAACGTTTGCACGTGAGACTTATTCAAACCGAAGTTGGCACCAAGTTCTTGTGGAGACATTTAGCGTTGCCTGAAACAAGTATAGTCTGTATCTGGGGATCATCCGAATATTAGAGCCAATCAGCAATTGAACTTGCGATTTATGAGACCGTTTCTCTTCTGTTCGTTATACTGTACTGCACTCGTGTTGATTTAAGTATTTTTTTTACTTCATTTCCCAAACTCCAAATACGTGTAAAACTATCAATCGTTCATGTGCATTTTCTTTTACAACTGAAAATAAACAAAACGCTTTAATTATCAACACGTCAACCTTGAATATTTATTTGTCTTATACCTTGTAGATGAACTATTTTTCCCCTATGGGATATAATGATGGATGTCAGGTGTTTATCATGAACATGGATGAAACATTGTTTCCGTTAAGAGTATTTTTTTCCATGTTATTTAAAAGCAGGCCACCTTTTCATAATTTTTTTCAGCAATCACATCAAAGCAGAGCACACTTATACGGTTAAAAACAGTGATCGCTGTACAAAATATAGGAAGGTCGGTCAAAACACAAGCTGTAGGGGCTTCTAAGATCATTTTCATAACAGTTCTCAGTTTTGGCTTTACGAAAAGAGCGCTAAAAGCAGCTCAAATTTAATCCATCATTCTTCCCCTCAGCATGGCTTCAGCTTTCCTCACCTCCCTCACAGGTCCCATGACGAATACCTGCATGCCAAAAATATAAAAGAAAGAACTCAAAACTATGGCAAGGAGATTCTTTATGGTATCAAAGACTTAACCTTGTCGGGTGGACCCTTGGAACCCCCAAAGTGAATTTCGGCACTGCAATAAAATGAAAACACACGTAAAGAAGGGTAAATTAAATTCATGGCTCTATACCCGAGATAGACATGCATGCAATGCAGTGTTTGGCTGGAGATGAAGAAATAGTCGTGTGGTCATGTATGTGTATACTTACTCGCAACACCTCTTGATTGCCAAAATGGAAACCCCTTTTCTTCCAATAACACGTCCCATCTTCCCTTGAGGAACATCGAGAATAGAAAGTATTTCTTCTTCGGGAGCATTCCCCTCCACTATTAAGCTATCTACAGAAATAAATATCGCCCTAAGTCCTATCTGATACAAGGGCAACATTTTTACTTGCATAGTGAAAACAATTTTCCATAGCACTAACAAATAATGTCAAGTTCAGGACAACTAGGAAAAATTCCACTGTCTTATTAAAGCATTACATTTATTTGATATGCCATATACCCTACTTGAAATTTAGAGAGTAGAATCCGCTTATCAGGAATTTATACAGAGATCTGTGGTATGTACCAAGCTATGCGGAGCTCGATCAGTTCATTCATATTTTTCTCAACGATTAAATAAACAAATAAGTATATAATACAGTGATTATAAATATAAGAACCTGGGATGGGAGGAATAGGTGGCCAATCTGCATAGTCATTGTCATTGATGCATAAACATCGGCAATATAATGCTCCACGAACTGCAAGGTACCATAAGGATCGTTCATTCAGTTTCTCCATCATCTTGTGGTAGATGTATAAAAGAAAGCGGACATCGTCTGCAGCAGCACGAACCATGAGCTCAGATAATGGTCTGTAAATCCAAAACTTGGGATCCTGCAGGTAGGCAAGACAAAAATATTAAGCATGGAGAAAGAATGTTGATACAAATGAAGCATCTCCATCTGAGACGCAGCAACAGACTTGCTATCCTTCCTTGCTTGCAAGATGTGATCAAATCTAGAAAGAGCAGTGAGTAGATTGTAAATAAAGCGGAAGAAGGGTTAAAAATGACGTAAAAAGTCACGCTGAACCCAGAAAAGACAACAGGGTATTATTTTTACTCCAAAAGCTCCAGTAGTCTATTTCAAACAATATTATGTTAGTGATGAGGTGTTTACACTAACCTTCCTAAGGAGGATACGAACTTCTTCCTTCTCCTGATAAGATATGCCTATATTTAAAGTATAAAGGCATAGACAAAAATCAAAACAATGCAATGAATGTCGCATGATGAGGAAGTCAAACTTTGCTCTTATAAAACAACCAGTTTCAAATAGCAGGATTACTATAAATAATATGCCATGCAAAATCGTCAAACCATCATTACTTGTGGCAATACCTAACTGCTTGGTCCAACAGTAATAGTACATGTTGCCTAAGTGTAATTAAAGGAAAGACCACCAAAGACGGGGGGTCCTTCAAGGCAATTAACAATACCTATTCCTAAAAGATGGCTAGAGACATCAAGCTAGCGTACACCAATACTCACAGGAAAATAACAACGGAGACAAAATGGATTTAATGGATAAAACCACCTGAAAGCCATTGGATTCTGAGTACAGATGAAGCCTGCAGGACGTCGAACATGGCTACTGCGGGGGGGACTCATTCGAGATGAGAATGGAAGATGGGTAGGAGGGTTCATGATGCGGATAGGACAAACTAACAGCAATACAGCAGAATTGTGGGGAGTTCGACAGGGCCTAAAGCTAGCTAAGTCCCTAGGGGTAAACAATCTTATCATTGAAACGGATGCCAAATGGATAGTCGACTGCTTAAATGATGGCTATGTTGAGGACCAGCAGAGTGATACTCTCACATGGGACTGCCAGAATCTGCTGGCAGAAGGATGGGTCAGCGAAGTCAGACACACTTTGCGAAAAGGAAATAAATGTGCAGACTGGTTAGCTAACATGGCTTTTGCACAAAAGGAAGAGTTCATCAATCTGCCCAGACCTCCTTGTGAGCTAGAGCACTTACTGAAAGCTGACGCTAATGATGTTAGTGTACTAAGGTATCTAGAGTGTGTGGGAATTATTCTTTTGTTCCAAAAAAAAAAGCACGTTAAGGTAACTAAGACCTCATGAGTGAAAAATATATATGTTCATTTAGTACAGTTAAGTGGCAGACAAAGTTCCATGAACAGAAGTACTTAAAATTCAAACAGATACCAGAGCATATAAATACCACAATAGCGTTGATCTGCAAGGAGGCCAACAAATGATATGTGTTCATCAGGCAATCTCTTCCGCCCTTCTTGTTCCTCTAGAAGATTGTAAGCAATCTGTAAGCCAAAAATGAAAAAGAAACCTCAAGATTCAAACCGCTTGCTCTCAAATGCTTAAATGTGCATGGAAGTAGTGGAATGTGGAATGCCATAAGTACTTCAAATCAAGAATTAAAGAAAAGAGAAGTGAAACGGGAAACATAAGGAAAACCTCGTTTAAAATGATCACTATATAGACTTAAATATGCCCGAGGACTCCGCAATTGAAGTACCAACAAACATTAAAATGAAAGAAACACAAAAAAGCATTACCAGTAATTTTACATGCTTTAACAGTTTGCCATGAATAGGTCCTCAAGCTCATAAAGGACGCTCACCTGAGTGTCCATAACATTGTGTAACTTGATGCCAAATTGGAAGTACAATGCCTGTAAAGTAAGAACAAAATTCTAATTGGCCATAAAGTATACTAAATGCACCAATGATTCAAAATTACAATGAAAAACAATTAGTTACCTCACTATCCCGTTTGCAATCGTGAATAACTTTTGTGATGTGAGCAGACTCAAGGGCAGGTTTACAGGCATTTATTAGCACCCCTCCACCCTCAATGGCGTCAACCAAATATATGGCATCCTGAAATGCAAGCTGCAAGAAAACAGTATTTCTTAAAAATCTTAGAAAATAAATAGCACAAGAAAGATAAAAGATGTCACCTCAAACTAACGAAACAAAAGTTTCACAAATAATATCATTCTTGAGTCGAGTTGAAGATTTAGTGACTAAAAAAAACAGAAGTCATTAACTGGAGGTAACCTGCATAACACAAAGAGTGCCATGGCGACAGAGGTTAACACCCTCACAATCAAAGCCTACGACCAACTGACTCTCCGGAGAAGGGTTCAGAAACTCCGCTGGAAGCTGAGAAGCATCGGTCACTATATGGATAGGAACCGGAGGAGCTTCCTCGTTAAACGGATTGCCACCTGCAACACATTCGTCGATTCATCAAAACTAATCCAAAACAAATTCATTAAATGCCTCAATTCAAGAAAAAAGAAAATTAAATTAAATTAAACAGTTAAAAATCAGTGATCTGGAGATTCTGAACCGACTTTACAGTTATTTTCTTCACCTAAACCCGCCGAACGAAACGAATTAGGGAAATAGAATAAAAATCAAATCTCAGGTAGTACACGAGTATAAAACTCAAGTGTAAGCCAAATAGCGAAAAAGATTGCGAAATCAAGAACATAAGACTTAACACGATAACAAATCTGGAAACAGATAATTAAAAGAAAGAAAAAAGATTGCGAAAGCAAGAACCTGAGTCAGATGGGAGAGGAACGTGAGTGAGATGAGGAGGACGGTTAGAGGAAGCCATCCGATCAGACCATCCAAGCAGAGCAACTTTTTTATTTTCTCCTTTTACTTCAATCCCAAGCTTTAACTCGATTTATACAAGACCTTGTCTTTTTTTCCCCTTCCCGCTAAATGATTTTTTCCGGCTAAAATAAAAGATAAGTTCCAGCCTTAATATACGGTTAATGATATATATTATTAGTTTTATTATTATTATTTTAATAAAATCGATAAAAATTAACTAAAATATTATTATTTAGATCGGTTTTGTTATTATTGGGTGCTTTATCGAGCTTGGTAATATATACAGTAAAATACTACCTAAAATATTATTTTTCTACCGGATATATTATCAAACCTGAAAAAATACACAATAATAATAAAACCGGTATGTTTTCGGTAATTTTTTACCAATTTTGTTAAAAAAATAATAACAAAATCGATAGCGTATTTTCTTAGCCGTATATTAGGTTGTCGCACGTAAAACTTTCCCAGAATAAAACGACCTACTTTGACCTTTCAACTTATAAAAAAAATTAATACGACACTTGATCAATGTTTTTTTATGTTGATCATTACGGTGCTAATATAATTATTTACAATGTCGATATAACGATTTATGATATTGAGGTGATAGTCCATAATAGTTGATAACGTGGTAGATAATATAATAAATGAATTAAATTGATAATCAAATATGACAGATAAAATATCATTAGTACTGTGAATCACCGTGTCAACACTATAAATCGTCACACCAGTATCATGTTAATCAAATAACAAAAAATATTAATCAAATGACCATATTAAATTTGTTTACAAAATTAAAATGTCACGTTAAGAGAAAAATAATATAAATACTATATTTATTTAAAAAAAATACAAGAACTTCTGATATTATTTTGTTTATTTTTTTCACCACGTCATCTAGTTTTCAGATTTTACAATAAGCCAGTTTAAATTGGTTTTAGTTTTGACTTTATTGTCCTTTGAATTATATTGTTTATACTAAGTTACTTCAAGTATTTTTTGAAACAATTTATCTCATTAACTATAAATTGTTATTTAATCTATTTCATTCCGTCAACTTTGTTAAAAATAAATTTGACTGATCAATCAAAATACGTCATGTAATTTATTAAAAATCTGAATAAATAAAAATATGTTAAATAAAATAAATCTTATACTATACCCAGAATGTTCCCACAACACATACCCCAACAAATAGGGATGACAACGGGCTGTTTCGGGTCGGGTATTGACCCTGTCCCTATCCTCGTTTAAAAAATTTGTACTCGTCACCGCTTAAAAAATCGCAGGGATTTAAATGGGGATCCCCATCGAGTAATCAGAGAAAACCGCAGGGAAACGAGTATCCCCGTTTAGCATAAACGATTATTTAAATGGATATCAGACCGGATATATATATTTAAATTAAATATATAAATATTATATATATATTTTAATTTAAATTAAATTTATTAATATTATATATATTTCTTAAAATCAACAAACAATAAAGTAATCAGAAAACTCACCTTTACTCCCTTGGTTTACGGTGGAGAAGAAAAAATAAGAAGAATAAGAGAGTTTTCCATATAACTCTCTCCCTACGTGTTTTTCTCTTATTAAAGGGGAAAAATATCTTTTATAACAAATGATCAATTTTCCATTTACTTCATTTAATAATTACTAACAATAATTAATAAATTATTTACAGATAAGTCATTGAACTATTCAACTATTCCACTTTAATCACTAAATTCTGAAGTTTTATAATTTAGTCACTAACTCATAGTTTGGGATGTTACACAGAGGACTTATCAAAACAATATTCTATAATCGGTAGACCATTTTATAACTTTTAATAATTAATGGACTTAATAAAGCGTTACCCTATAGTCGGGAACCATTTATATATTTTATCCTGGATATAATTATCTAGAAATATACTTCAAGATTAACAAAACAAAAGAATGACAAAAATATGGAAAAGTTTTAAATCATTAAAAAATCTCTTTTACCCGCTATGTATATACCCCTCCACTAAACAAACATTTCTAAACCATCTTTACTTTACTACATATTTTTAAAGTAAACCTAGCAGATCTTGGAAGATAAGCAAAGATATCCCACACACAAAATATTAGTATTAAACGGAAACTGTTTCATGAATATTTTGCGATTAGCGGATTAGTCTTGAATAGTAGGGTAAATTACTTATTCAGTACATAAACTATCAATTTTAGTATCTATAATTAAAAACTTGATACGTTTAATACATAAACTATTAGTTTTGGTCCGTTTTAATACTTAAATTTTAAAAAGAAATCCAAAATTTAACGTTAAATTTTGAACGATTTACTAAAATGAAACAAACACTAAACTTTAGATATGATTTTTTAAAAATTGAAAGTTTATGTATTAAAATAGACCAAATTTTATAATTTAGAATTTAGTTAATAAACGCATAATTTACCCTAAATAATAAACAAAAATTGTTTCATGAATAGTACATCCCGTGATACTTTTTAAATTGAGGTCTTTAAAATGTTTTATAAAAAAAATTAATTTATTAAAATTGAAATTATGAGATATTTGCGAATTTTTAATTAAAATTTATTATAGTAAACGATTAAAGATACTCACAAAATCTTCGTTTGCAATTTTATTTGTCAATTTCCCAATAACCAAACGGAAAGTTTGTTTTCATTTGAACGAAAAATGTCGTTAAAAGATTGTACATATAGGGACGGACTTAGAATTTTATGTTAGAGGATAAACCTCTAAAATTTTAGAAAGGGGTAAATTTATAAAATTTCAGGATGACGAAAACAAATTTTTCAATAAAAAATACACAGAAAGATCTAATATAGTGATTTTAAAATTTTCAATCCTTATATATTTAAATTCCTTTTAGTTTGGTCATAAAAAATATAAAAATACTACATATGGTAAAGATATGCCTTGTTAAACGTTAATTTTAAAAATATGGTTGATAGAATGTATATTTATCTTATGTAAGGTTGTAAATAAGACGAGATAGATTGCGAGTTACTCGATCAAAGTTCAGTCAATTTTTAAATCAAATAGATTTGATTCGAGTTTAAAATTAACTCGAATTCTTAACAAATCGAAACGAGTTACTTTATATCTGACTTAAAATGCTTGCAAGTAACTTAGAAAAAATAATATATTAACTTTTTAGATTTTTAAATTAAATTATTAATAATACTAACATTTGATATGTTGTTGTTTTCTTAAAATAAAATAAAAATAAAGTTTTCATGTATTTAAGATTTCAATTTGAGCTTCAATCACGCTAAGCATGATAATATTTTGAGTTCAAGTTTTTTCGAGCTTGAGTCGAGCTTCAATTTTTTATTTCGATTCAAACTTGAAAATTTTAAGCTCGTGAGCTTTCAAGTCAAGCCGAGATTCAATTTTTTATTTCTTATTTGAATCGAGCCTGACAAATCTAATCTCATGAATTTTTCAATCAATTTGAGATCATATTTTATATTTTTTCGAATAGGATCGAACACAGTAATATTCGAGCTCAACTCAGCTTGTTATGCTACACCCTATGATAGAAAATAGATACTATTTTTGTAATTAATTTAGATTAGATACATTTTCCTTAAATAATTTAAATAATATTATTTTTGTAGATTTGGCCTTATTACCAATGTCGTTATTTTCCCTTTATCCCTATACAATTCCCCGTCTTACTATTGCAAAACAAAAACAATAGTTTGACTTTTAAAAAAAAAACTTGGCTTTTAATAAATGTTTCTTTAAAATGGATAAGAATGGATAGGCGAAGTTTAAAATAATAAAAACCATAATTATATACCTTGTGGGCCCACATCCATACGCTTTTTTCTCTCTCTCTCTCTCTCTCTGTGTTTCTCATTCATCCACTTCTCCTCCACTCCTAGGGATGACAACAAAATCAGAAGCCGACCGATTTCGATTCGACTCAATTCGATAGGTAAGAACAGCTGAAATTTTAAATTTTGATCGGAATCGAGCCCGAAGTGTATTCGGAGAAAATCCGTCGTTCAATAGAATTACGAAAATGCCCTTACCATATACAATATTATCTTGCTTGTTGTTTTACGTTTTAACCTACCTTCCTTCCCGTGTCATTCCACTTCGCTTCCCCCAAATTCCACAAAAGTTTCACCTCTTCTTATGTTCCCTAAAATTTACCTAACACTTTATGCTATTTTAGGTTCAATTAAGTGGATTTCTACAAGCCCTCGCTGCCTCTCTGCTTCAACTTTCACTTTACATCTTCGTTGGTTCCTTCTTTGACGAGCTCCGTTTCTGGGTAGAGAAAATCTTACCACTTTGATTTTCCCCATTTTCAGTTATCTGATTATGATTCTGTCATGTATTATTTCTCTTTGTTTTTTATTTTATTGATTCAGTCTTTTTATACATAACTAATCGATCTTTTGAATTGGGTTATTTGATCTGCTTATGTAGATTAGAATTTTCACTTTTTGTTGTTGAATGATTGTTACGGAAAGATATAGATTATGTTAATAATTAGAACATCTTAGAATTAAAGGGTTGGAGATTATAAAGGTTTAATTAAGAATCTGAAGAATATTGAAACATTTTAAGTTATTAAATTGGAATGGATTTTCTTATATTTGAAGAATTTGAATGGCTTTCTTTTATTTTGTTACAAATATTGGTTCTTAGTAGCTTCATTTTTGCTCCTTCGTTTCCCCCTGCACCATGGACTGATTTGCAGCATTTTTCTCTGATTATGTGAAAAATAGACTTGTGGCAAATCTTGTCGGGTTGGGGTCTGTTTTACCTTTAATTTTTGGAATCATGTTCGAAGCAGGTAAATTAATATTAATTCGGATTCAAATAGTGATAGGGAAAGTTGGGAGTATTGGATCAGGTTGGGAGAACAAAATCCACCCAAACCGGTTGCCATCTGCCCATCTCTATCAACTTTGCTTTTACACGCTTTCTGAGTTTCAGTTTCAAATGATAATTTTCCGAACTTGGTAGTGGCGGAGACAAAATTGATCTGCAAGCCGAAGCTGTTGGAAGGAGTTTAACATTGCCTACTTAAAAATTATTGTTCAAATAGGGCAGGCTGTTGGGAATAGTGAATGTCATGTCCATAATATTGAAGAGAAAATATTTTTTTATAGGGTCATATAATAGAACACTGATTTTGAGTGTGGTTTAAGTGTCAAAGCCCTTATTTTTGTGGAAATTTGCTTTTTTTCCTTCAGTCTAATCCTACAGTTTTGCTTTATGGGTTTGTCGAAACTTGATTTTTTAGAGGCAGGTTTTAGTTTTGTGATATTTGCGTGAATTTTGTGCAAAAGTGAATTTTGTGAATTTTTTGGGTTCAAATTTTGTTTCAGAAAAATAGTAATGAAGAGACATAAAGATGATGACATGATCATGGGGCCTATGTTCCCTAGGCTTCATGTTAATGATACAGAGAAAGGAGGGCCAAGAGCTCCTCCAAGGAATAAGATGGCCCTTTATGAGCAGCTTAGTATTCCTTCTCAGAGGTTTAACCCTGGAGTCTTGCTTCATAACCCTAACAATTCAAGCAGCTGGGTTCCTACTGGTTCAAACCAGGTATTTTACTGCAGTTTTTATGTCTCTGTTGTTCTTATTGGTTAAAGGTGTATTATTTTTCTATTTATGTTGATTTTTACATTATCTGTTGGGATTTCGGTGAGGGTTATCTGTGGCATCTGGTTTTTTTCCTCATAGAATCATCTCTTACAATTTTTTTTATCAGATTGAAGAATTATTGCCGTTTCATAGGCATGGTGGTTTATACTATATCTGATTGCTATATCTGATCAATTTTTATAGGGGGGTGGTCTTGAAAAGAATATGGTTGTCCCATCTCGTGCATCTCCTTTGACATCCACTAATCTGGCTGAGAAATTTAGTAATCGCCAGCTTGGGGGAGTAAGTGTAAATACTCCTTCGACCCACATCGAACAGAGGAAGGAGGTCAGGGATGATGATAATTTCACGGTTCCTGTGTTTGTTGAGTCTAAGACAGATCAACAGTATGATAAAACTAAGAATGGCTTTGATAGGGAAAAAATCACTCCCTTGACTACAACTTCTGGCCATCAAATAAAACCCCGAAATATTGGTGATAAGGATCCAAGTCGGAGCAGCTCTTCTGGTGTCAATTTAAGAAATGATGTTAGAAACCAGAATGAAAAGAGCTTAAAAGTGTGCTCAAAGAGGGAGCCATCGGTAAAACTAAAAACTGCTGCGGCTTTATCAACTAGAGAAAAGATAGATGGAGATGTTGAAGAAGCCAATGTCTCTTTTGATGAAGATTGTGGAGATCGTCCTGCAATTATCAGATTGCATGAAAATGATGCTTGTTCAGTGCAAGAGTTCAGAGCTGGCAGAGAACCAACTGATAACAGATGCATTAATGGTGCTGACCTGATGAGAGGTATTGGTGAGGAAATTCTTCCCTGGCAGAGAAGCATGACTTATTCAGAGGGGAATCAGAGTGTTCCTGACGCAACTGATTATGATAGTCAGTGCCGTGGGGGCCAGGCATTTGGCTCTCTACAGTGCATGAATGGAGATAAAAGTGATGATGCCTCTGAGACCTCCATGGTGGATTCTGTTTCAGGCATGGATATTTCTCCTGATGATGTGGTGGGGATAATAGGTCAAAAGTGTTTTTGGAAAGCGAGAAGAGAGATTTCCAAGTAAGTCTTTCTTGTTAAGTATGATGTCTTAATTTATCTACTTGTATGTGTAATAGCAAAACTGTGCAAGCTTTCTGCATTTGTGAATGGCGAAAGTTATGCATGCACGTATAAGAGAAACTTTCTATGACCCTTAGGAGGAGAGGTGGAACAAGAAATCTAGTCTATATTAGATGATTTAGTGTTATGTATTTGGACACATTGCCTTGTCCCATGGTGAAATTCTTGTCCCGATATTTGACATGCATACCTCAATACAAGAAAATATATGCCTCCCTGCATGCTTAAAGTTGAGAACGTTCTATTTGCAACAAATGCGTCTCTTAAGCTGGGATTTTATTTCACCAAAATGAAATATTCTGCATTGAGCTTGCTTCAATGATGACATTCAAAGAATTTCTTAATTCCCATTATTGCATTGTTATTGTTCTATGTGATGTAATGCTACAATATTATTTTCGTGATATTGCATTTGTCATATGCCATTTTAGAGTTAGGAAGATGTTTCACCCCTCAATGAAACTGACAAAGGTGTATGCCATTGTCACAACAATCCCTCATCAGAGCAGAGAACTACACACTCCACCTGTAAAACCACTTTAGTCATATTTCCCTGAAACGAAGAAATTCTTGTTTCTATGAATTGCTTTAAATGATGCCGTCCAGGTGGATATTCCACATACGCCTGCCAGCAATTATGTTTGTTAAAACTGTAATATTATGACCTATGCAGTTTTTTCTTGATCAATTTCTGTTACTCTCTACAGTCAACAAAGAGTATTTGCCTTGCAAGTGTTTGAGTTGCATAGACTGATTAAGGTAAGGTGGTCCTTGATCTTGTGTAGTAGTTTCTGGCGGTTCACATATGGATACACACACACATGTTATATACAGCCAAAAGTGCTGAATGCTTGGTTGAAACAGGTTCAGAGACTTATTGCTGGTTCACCGCATTTCTTGCTTGAGGATGCAACATATCTGAGTAAAACCTCTTTTGAAGGCTCTCCTGCAAAGAAGCTTCCATCAGAGTTTATTATAAAGCCACTACCACACTCTAAACACAAAGATGACTCTGAGAAGCCAAGCCATAAAATGGAGTGCTCAGCTGAAAATGCGGTTGGTAGGACATCCCTCTCTTCAGTGAAAAATTGTAGGCAGCCTTCTAATTGTGGGCCTTTCATTGGAAATCCACCACCTGCCCTTGTTAATGGTGATAACAAAATCAATCCTTGGTGTTTCCCTCAGTCTGGGCACCAGTGGCTGGTTCCTGTCATGTCCCCTTCTGAAGGACTGATATACAAGCCCTATCCTGGACCTGGATTCATGGGATCTGCTTGTGGAGGATGTGGACCTTTCGGACAAGCTCCAATGGCGGCCAGCTTTATGACCTCACCTTTTGGAGTTCCTGCTCCTCATCAAGGAATTGGGGTTCTACCAGGAGCTCCTCCAGTTGGTCACTCTTATTTTCTTCATAATGGGATGCCAATCATGAACCCATCAGTCTCAGGCTCTGCTGTGGAATTCATGAACCAGTTTCCCGGTCCTGATTCCCATGCTCACAGTGGCCAGGTATCTGGTGGTGGAGCCAACTCTAACCTGCAGCGTCAAAGTTCATGTAATTTGCCTAAGAACAAGGATGGTGCTGTTTCTCGTGTCACAAAGTTCCAGACATCTAAAGACACTGTGCTACAAGGGAGTACAGCAAGCGATCCTGGTGAAAACGCACAAAGAGACGGGACCAATAGAGCCGTCGAAGGACAAAATGAACTTCCATCAAGCATTCCAGAGCGAGCCTCTCAGCTTCGTGAGGCAAACCAGACAACAAGAGCAATAAAAGTTGTGCCTCATAATCCAAGATCAGCCACAGAATCAGCTGCTCGTATTTTCCTATCCATACAGACAGAAAGAAAAAAACATCATGCAGGTTAGCTTGTTCAGGTATTACTGGTAAATGATCGGAGACTTATATAGCTAGGTAATTTTCATGTACTGTTTGGTACAGTAATGTAACCTTGTATTATTAATTTTCTATTTTATGAGCCTGGTGTAGTCTACATGTAAGATTACAAGCCAATGTAGGATTTGTTTTGTACTCATTTAAATTTTGGGCAAATGCGAAGACCCTTTCCTAAAGGGGAATAAGATATATCGTATGATACAATACAATTGTACTTGGGCACCATCTTCTTTTAGTGATTCGAGTGATTCGCTGTCTCATTTTGAAGGATAAACATGCATTGTAAGCTAACTGATAGAAAACAAGCTGGTTGCAATAGAAAGCTCATGGACTTAAAATACAATTTAAGACCCCCCCTCTTTCATACGTTCACATGGTATATTCGCTATCTTTCACTACGGTTTCTGTTTCACTTTCATTAAATTAGTTCCCTGCCTTGATCTTGGCTTAGGTTCTTATAAGAACGCTGTTTAGCCTATACCCTTTTGCTCTAAACTCTTGATTTCCACGCTACGATTGTTTTGAGTATTCATCTTTTTGGTCAGGTAGTACAAGTTTCATCTCTAGATCTGTAATTCTATTAGACACTAAAAACCCTGAAGATTTGAGTTTTTGACTTAATTATTCGTTTTTTTTTGGTTGGGGGGGGGGAGGCCTAAGATGCAAGAGCTTTTATTTTTGCTGCATTTGACCGGGAAACAGAGGAATGGGTTTCTGGGTCTGTCCCCAGTCGCTGAATTCGGGTGTTTCAGAGTTGTTTTGAAAGATGCAAACAAGAACTGGGTCGGTTGGGTCATTAGAGGAAGGCAAGGATCCGGTGCTTACAACCAGGACAAGCCAATATAAGGCTTTGCTATGGAGTGCACTTCAGTTATTTGGGTTCTTTAATTCTCTCTGTATTGCTTTTTCGATCCTCACAATATATACGATCCGGCGCTCCGGGATTTATAACGCGGTAACTACTGTGAAGTCTAATTTTGCATTGTGATGAACAGCCAAATAGTTTAGAAAACTGGAGATAACCCCCTACGAGTTTGCTTCATGCAATGAACGATAGAGTTATTACGGAGGGCATCTTTCGTGCCGCGAATAGAGAAGTGTCCATTTAATAGACTCCCGAAGATTGCTTTTATGTTCTTGACCAAGGGGCCCTTGCCACTTGCTCCTCTTTGGGAGAGGTTTTCAAGGGCCATGAAGGGCTTTATTCTGTCTATATCCATTCACTGACGTCCTTCAAGGCTGAGTTCTCTCCTTCAGTATTCTACCGGAGACAAATCTCAAGTCAAGTATGCCACTTAAACTCCCATTCCTTATTTAATATTTGTTCCTCTGTGGCATGGTTTGTGTATTTTTGCTTGATTATGTAAGTAGTGATGAGTTGGTTTCCTTGATTGGTTCTTATTCTACCTAGAAATTCTTCCTGTTTAGCTCTTTGGAATCTGATCATTTTAAGATGGGATTGTGATGACTCCCAGATAAGACCTATAATTACTATGTAAAATGTTGGCTGTTGTATTAGAGGGTTAAGAATATGGGGAAATTTTCTTCTGCCATAGGAACTGTCATCTTCGTTTTGTCTCTTGTTTTGTTGTATTATGCATCTCTCTTTCAGTTACACCTGAGCAATTCCCATCCGTCATTAAATGATCATTTGGCAGTTGTTCTTCAACAGTTAAAATATAGTTTTTCTTTTACACATTTTGTACCCTTTTTCCCCCTTCTTTTGGGTGTGGAGGAGTTCCTGATTTCTTTATTTTCTTCCTCCGCAGGCCGCTGAATGGGGAAGAATGAGCGTGTGTGATGCCGAAAGGAGGCTCCTTGCCAATGCCCTGCTCGACGTATCCAATGAATGGTTTATCCTACTCTCCGAATCTTGCATACCATTATTCAATTCCAGTGTCATCTACCTGTACATAATGACCCCGGGCTGTTCGGTAGAGGACATTACAATTCTAACATGGCTCCCGAGGTGAAATCAGCAAGTGGCGTATGGGGTCGCAGTGGTTTGAAGTTAACCGAAAGCTTGCAATGAGCATAGTGGAAGATGTTACGTTTTATCCCAAGTTTGAACAGTTCTGCCGACCATCATGTTACGTTGACGAGCATTACTTCCCCACCATGTTAACAATCCAGACGCCAAATCTCTTGGCAAATAGAAGCATCACATGGGTTGATTGGTCAAGGGGTGGGCCTCATCCTGCTACATTTGGTTGATCAGACATTACAGAAGAGTTTCTCAGGAGAATCAACAAAGGTCCCCAATGTAGGTATAAGGATCAGCCGAGTTCGACCTGTTTTCTTTTCGCCAGAAAATTCGCACCGAGCGCCATGGAACCTTTATTACGGATAGCACCAAAGGTTTTGGGCTTCTAATGACTGAAACATAGGACCTGCCACTGCCAGATTGGAGGTCGGATCCATGGGATTATGGGTGGTATATCAGGTCCTTTCTTTGATCTCATTTCATACTAGGATGAAATTTAATCCTCTCCAGTGATGCATGATGTGTTTTTTACACTTTGTACATTGCCCTAATTCTTTGGAAATCTCAATCTATTTGTACAGGTAAGTTATAAAAGAAAAAAAAATCAATGTGACTTGGCTTAAATAAAGATTAAATTTTAGTTTTGCAAATTATGTAATTATTTGTATTTGATGAAAAGAATTAGAAAAGATTCTTATAGCAAGGCCAGGTTAAAAAAAAAAAAGGTATAGTGTATACGCCTTTAAAGGTTGGAATTTTGTTTTAAAAAAGGGTAAATTATATCAATGACCACCCAACTACAGCCCGTTTTCATTTTGACCATTATTTTTTAATTCTTGTCAATAAGATCACCTAACTATTTAAATGCATTTAATCAAGCCACTTGCCGTTAAAATTTAACGGAAGTGTTGATGTGACAGTTAATAAAATTGATATAATTACATATTTGGTTATTGTTATTTATATATTCTCTCAATTTGATTCTAATTTTAATAAATAAAAATAAAATTAATCTTTCAATTGGATGTTTGAGCTTGGTCTAGTGGTTGAGTTTAATCCCAAATCACTTGGGTTCGATTCCAAGCATTCCCCTCTTTGGTTCTTTAATTTTCTTTCCACCATAGGATGACATATGTCACTCTCTGATTGATAAAAAATAAATATATTAAATTAAAATAAATTTAATCATTAAATTCAATGTTGACACATGGAACCATCTAATTAGAAAATTAATTTTATTTTAATTTATCAAAATTATGACCATATTGAGAGAATATATAACTAACAATGATTAAATATGTAATTATATCAATTTTATTAATTTTCACATCAGTAATTCCGTTAAATGTTAACAGCAGGTGACCTGATTGAATGCATTTAAATAGTTGTGTAGCTTGATTGACAAGAATTTAAAAATAGTGGTCAAAATGAAAAGAGACTATAGTTGGTGGTCACTGGTATAGTTTGCCCTAAAAAATGTATGCTGGGCCCTCCACGTGTTCTCCCTTAGTTGGCTCAACCTCCGCTTCAAACATGTGATGCTTTGAGGCCCCGCGATGAAAATTCAGCTTTCCGAAAAATTATAAGAGGAATCCGCTTCGACACGTCATTCCTAGTCTGTATCAAGAAAATCCGTTCATTTCATTTTTTTCAAAGTGAATTTCATATTTTCTTTTTAGGTTTAATAAAAAATAATTACTTGAATTTTATCTCAACAAATATTTTAGTGTTTTAAAAAATTTTCGTAAAAAATGTGTGACTGATTTTTTAAAGTTATACATTTAGGTGCCCATCGTTAAAAATTGATATTAAATAACACATGTCAAATTATAATATTTTTTGAGAATTTAGTTAAAAATAAAAAAAAATATATATTTTTTTCAAAAAAAGCACCCAACAGAACCTTCCCCCAACCTTCACCCCCACTCCGTGACGTCTCCCCTCCTCCATTTCCTCCTTTTATGTCTGTCGGCCAACTAACAGTGATTATTATTGTCACCATCATCGTCATCGATTAAACCCCCGATGACCTTTCATTAATAAATTGTGTTGTTTGTCGTGAATAAACATTTGAAGTTTCATCGAATTTTAAACTACCGTCGCTATTTTTTATTGATCCCTACATCCATATGTCACGCCGTCACCACCATTTGAACCACCGTCTAATTCTGCTCAAAATGCATCCTCGTCGTCATTCCTCCTGTGTTCCACCATGGTAACAAGGATGAAATGAGATGTTTTAGTTTTTTTTTAGATTTTTAATAATTTCATTAAAAGTTTGGTGTCTTTTTTTTAAAAAAATAAATTAAGTTTTTAAAAAATTTTATTTAAAAAATTCAAAAATATAACGATAGAAATTTAAAAGTATATATGAAAAAATATTAGACATTAATTTTTAACGAAAATTTCTTTAGATACTAAATTATTTTTCGAGATAAAATTTAAACACTTAATTTTGTATTAAACATTTTTTAATGTAAAAGAAAGCTGTGAATTTTCATTTCTTTCGTGTATATATAAATAAAGAATAAATAATTATTTGAAATTTTATTAAAATAAATAAATTTTATTGGTTGTGATTATGAATAATGTAATGAACGGTCCATCAAATAATTTCTTCTTCTTTTCAATTGTTTTGCGACTGAGTCCATCAATTGCGGCCGTCAATCACGACTTCGCTACCGTAGGTTGTACCTCCTCCGAAATGTCTAAGAAGTAATCAAGTACTGTTCCTATTGACCCAAAAACGACGACGTTTCAGACGTGAATCGTGCCTTGTCATCACCCCAAAAATTAAAAAAATTAGCGCGACTAATGGAAGATGAGTAAAGGATGCTAGTCCCAGATGGAACAGTGTTACGATATCAATCTCCAGGCAGGAAATCTGGGCAGCTGCCCGCCTTTCCCTCTCTCTCTTTCTCCCTCTATATATATTAGACCCCACCCCTCCTATCGCACTCACATTTTCTCCCATCTTTCAAAAAAAAAAACATCCTTTTCTTCCTTCAGACAACGCTCAAGAATTGCAGCAATGGGTCTCTCCAAGGCTTCTCTGATGCTCGTGCTTGTCGCTGTTTGTGTTGTCATGGGTTCAGCCATCGCAGCTGATTCCCCAGCTCCGAGTCCCACCTCGGGAACCCTCTCCATCTCCCCCTCATTCGTTTCCATTTTCTTTGCCGCCGTCATGGCTCTTCTTTTCGGCTCTACTCTCAGGATCTGAACATGTTTAATCCGGCTATAGATGGTGTAGAGACTGTCCTTGATTTTTCATTTGTATAGATCCCATCTTTTCTGGATTTCGAATTTATGTGGAATTTCAGTTCGTGTGTGTGTGTGTGTGTATATATATAAGAGTCGAGATAGATGGGTTGCGATGTGATTTGCTGCACGGAGTATCATGGTGGACGATGATGATGTTTGGACTTATTTCTTTCAGTATTACCATTACGGATTGATATCAATTACATTATTTCATTTGTTTGGTTGTTCCATGCACTTCTTGTGGGTGCTTGTTTGCGTCGATGATTAATAATTAAATTTCATTGCATTTGTTGCATATGTAAACATTTTTCTTATTCTCCATCGACAACGAAGGGAAACCCATTCTTCATTCTTTTCTTTCAGTCAGTTTCTTAACCCATAGATTATTATTCTTATTTTGATATCTAAGGTGGACCATTTCTTCTATCCACAATTTCATTCAGACGACGACATAAATACGAAGTTAATTTGGAGATAAACTCCCCATGTCAATCTCTAGTTTGATCACCGTAGAATTGTTTTGTCCTGTTTAAATCTGTAAGGTCTAAGCTGTTTGTTTCAACAATATTGTTATTGTACTTGTTGAAGAACATGGATTATATACAAGAATAGCCATGCAATTGAAATTTACGAATTTTGATTTGATCTAGTTTTATAAGGTTCATTTTTTAGGGGAAAAATAGATCAATTTTTTTAAAAGATAAGATTTAATTAGATTAAACTCGAGTTTAATGTGTTTTTTTTATTCCGACTCGATCCGGCCAATCCCTAAATGTATAAGATATATTTATTTTATTTTAGGTGAGCTTCCCTGAAGAAATTGTTCAAAGAATTAGGCAACATGTTGGTACAGAGAAGTTCAATGTGTTAAGAAATTGACCCATAATAATGACAACTGACAAGGATGTTATATTCAGGGGGTCTTTATATGGTCAATTTTCAAAACTGCATATTTTAAAATTTATCTATTAAATATAGGATTGTAAACGAATCGAACGTTCAGTGAACCATTCGACGGGAAGTTCATTTATCTATTAAACGAACAAGAATGAACAAGATTTTACGTTCGTTTAATTAAATGAATGAACACGAACAAATGACTCATTCGTTCATTTACGCTAGTGAGCGTTCGATAATTCGTCCGTTTATGTTTATTTGTCTTTGTTTGTTGTTTATATTCAACCCTATCTCCAGACTTCTTTAAAATATTATGACCTAATAAATTTTGACCTTAAACTCATTAATATTTTAAAACCCAATTAATTTTAAACGTAAATAAATAATACAAAAAATTCAAATAAATAAAAATAAATACTAACGTTATTTGGAAAGAAAATTCTCTTCTCAAATATAAATCCAATTAATTTTATGTTTATTCTTTTACGTTCATTCATTTATCATTTTAAAAAATGAACACGAACAAGCTACGTTTCTTAAAGAACGAACACGAACAAGAAATTCCGTCCTCTTAGTTGTTTGTGTTTGTTTGATTCCTGTGCCATGTTATAATGCCATTAAAAAGTTAACAACAGAGTGAGTAAAATAATTCAATCTGTAAAGTTCAGCGAGCAAATTAGAAAAATTAAAAGTTTAGCGAGCAAAATAGGAGAGAGAGTAAAGTAGAGTGAGGAACCGTGTAATTTACCCTAAATATTATAGTTTTGGAAAGCGTTGATGAAAACTCCGTAAGGCAAAATGAAATGATATTAATGATAGCTTGAAGACTGATATAAATGTCTGGAAAGTTTAAAGATAAACTTAAAATAAATCATAGTTTAAAAATAATATAAAATGTTTTGAATTTAAAAAATTAGTTTAGAATAAGGTCAAAGTCTGAAGACTGACATAAACCATTTTAAAATTTTAAAACCGATTAAAAAGAGAGTAGTAGTTTGGACCTCAAACTACAGATGGCAACGAGTCAGTTTAGGACGGGATTTTCGGTTAACCCGATCTAATTCGAGAATTTTGTAACATCGGTTTGATCAGACTTGAAAATATATATACCCCATCCGTTTTTTATTTGATTTGTCCTGATAAAAAATAAAGATTTAATTAAAATAATAATAATTTTTTTTAAAAAATATATTATTATCCTCAGGTTGGGTCTGGTCGAAGTTTTTCACCCTTCTTCCGAACCCGACCTCCTCATTAAAAAAGTTTGACATAAACTTTATTTTTTTTAAATAATCTGATCCTATCGAGTCGAATCAGATCAAAACCCTTCAAATTCAAGTTAAATTATCCTCACTATCTCAAACTTAAAATATGTGTTTATTAGTATATTGGATAATTTCGAAGATCGAATGTAAACCCATAATCTTTAAGCCCATTAACATGCTAATGCCCAATTCATATTCCATATGCACAGCTGAGGTGTCCGTTTCTTCTTGAGCTCTCTCAAGTCTCACACCCCACCCTAGGGGTGTTCATTTGGTTAAAACGGTGGTCGATCGAACCGAATTAACCATAACCAAATTAATCAAATTTTTTTTCTTTAACCGTTAATCGAACCGAATTTTTTTTCGAACATATTAACCGAACCGAATAAATTTCGGTTAATTCGGTTAATTTTGAATTAACCGATTTTTTAAAAAAATTTCTAATTTATATAAAAATTAAATATTTTTTAATTCAAAAAAAGTTTATAATTAATTTAAATAATATATAATTATATAATAAAAATTTTAGATACATTTTTTAATTAATTAATATTGATTTAAGTTTAAAAGTTATTAGATCTTAAATTATTAATTGGGTTTTAAATGGTTTGGGCTTAGCCCATATGTTATATATAATATATATAATATTTTTTAATTAAAAAATAGTTTACAAATAATTTAAATAATATATAATTATAAAATAAAAAATTTATATAATTTTTTAATTAATTAATATTGATTTAAGTTTAAAAGTTATTGGATCTTAAATTATTAATTGGGTTTTAAATGATTTGGGTTGAGCTCATATGTTATATATAATATATTTAAAATTTAAAATTTAATTTCGGTTAATTCGGTTAATTAATCGAATTCGAACCGAATTAACCGTTAACCAAATTCTAAAATTTTTTTAACCGTTAACCGACCGAACTAATTCGGTAACCGAACCGAACTAACCGAATTAATTCAGTTCGGTCGGTTAACTAAATTAGTTCGGTTATTTGAACACCCCTACCCCACCTCGACATAAACTCCAACTTCATAGTTTTTCACCCTTCTTCCGAACCCAACCTCCTCATTAAAAAAGTTTGACATAAACTTTATTTTTTTAAAAATAATCTGACCCTATTAAGTCGAATCGAATCAAAACCCTTCAAATTCAAGTTAAATTATCCTCACTATCTCAAACTTAAAATATGTGTTTATTAGTATATTGGATAATTTCGAAGATCGAATGTAAACCCATAATCTTTACGCCCATTAACATGCTAATGCCCAATTCATATTCCATATGCACAGCTGAGGTGTCCGTTTCTTCTTGAGCTCTCTCAAGTCTCACACCCCACCCCCACATAAACTCCAACTTCATAGTTTTTATTTTTCATTTTCCGCCGACGAACTTCGTAGTTTTTCTATTCGAAAAAAGGCTTATAAAGCAGTTTTTTGGCTGAGATTTTTCATGGAGGAAGGAAAAAGCATATTGGAATCAATCTTCGAAGAGGTTGATTTGGGAGATGTTGAGATGCTTGATGTAGAAGAAGGAGAGCTCGTGGATAATGAACTGGTAGATGATCGAGAAAAAAGGGGCGTTGATGATTTTAATGGTGAAAATCAAGGTTCCCAGAGTAAAAACAAGAAGCGTAAAGGAAACAAGAAGAAGAACAAGAAAAAAAAGGGTGGTTCAGGACCTAAAGCTTTGGATATAAACAGGTTTTGTGCAATTATTCTTTGCATCAACCGAAGTTTTCTATGGGTGAAATTTGTTTTTTGAAACTTTGTTGAATTCGTTTTTTTTGTTCTTCTTGTTTGCAGGTTTGTGTTAGATACTTGTAGACGGTTAAAAGAGAAGAAGTCTTACTTGGTGTATACTGCTGTGGGATGTTTGGGGATTTCTGCATTGAGTGATCTTGTTAGAGAGGTATTTCTAAATTCATATATTTCGAGATTTATATTATATACTTCTAATTATCTGTGTGCAAGATATGAAATCCAATGTTGAATTTACCGTAAATAAGTTGTTTCACAAAGCTAATTATCCGAAACAATGAATGAGCATGTTTGAGATTTATAAGATATGGTTCTCCTAGATGATAGGATAATGGCAAAAGGTTGAAGCCTCTTTCTGAATCAATTCGATTGAGTTCACTTGTATCGATGCGTGATATACGGAACGATGATTAGTATCCAATTGGAGCTGATAAGTAAGGCAAACTTTGTCATGACATAATGCTTGACTTCTTGGCTTAAACATTTTGCTGTTCATATTATGTAAGAATTGCATAGAATAGGTAAGACTTATACATTGGACTTTTTGTTTGATTTTGAGATGATTTTTTGTTCTTTTTGTTAGTATTTTGGCCAATCGAGTAGTTCATTTTCCATGCCTCGTAAAATGATAACGTGTTGAAGTTTTCATCATGGCTGCTGTTGCTTGAGATGTTTATTGAAATAATTGGTAGAAATTCATTGTTTTTCTTCTTTTGTTGTGTAATATCTGTTGCAACTTTCTAGTTTTATTATATGTTTGTAATTGCTTGAAGTTGTAATTTTTGTAGTTTAATCTTTGATCAAACAATATTCTCATCTGTGGTACTGTACTATATCACTCCCTCAGTCCCTCCCTTTGCTCTCATCCCTTTGATGTTTTTCTGTCCACACCCTAGAGCTTTTGCATTCCTTTTCCCTTCCATTTTTCCTCTTGGATGTACGATGAAATCTAGACTTCTCAGGTGGATGCAATTCAATCTTGTGGAGGACAGATGACTGCAGATGGCAGGCGTTACAGGAATGGTGGTGGCATTTTATGGAATATCATAAAAGCGCGAGAACCAGTTGCCTATCGAGAAATAATGAAAAAAGCCAAGGACTTTGAGGTGTGTACTTATTGGCACTTTAATTGCTATTCTTTTTATTTTTGTGAATTCAATATAGACAGTGTGTGGATCAGAACTTTCAAATTTATCCGTCACTTGTCTGTGCAAGTAACGAGGTTAGGAATCAGTCGTCCGGCTGTTTGTATGATTTGCTTATTTTCTTGGATTAACTTACTACATTCTGTGTCACTATTTATATAGGTTCTGATATTATGACTTTGCAATCTAATTGCAGCTGTGATAGGTTATGTTAAAATATTCAAGATGCTTTTGATTTTCATATGATAGCGGCACGAGATGGAATCACGATGTGATTCATAGGCTTTTTTTTTCATGTACCATGTGGTGGTATATTTTTTGTTCTTAAAATACTAATCTGGATAGACGCCTAATTGGTACGTATAATTTTGCAGAAGCAATTCAAGCAACAAAATATCAGACAAGCACCACCACAGAGCAAACAGAGCTCTTCTCAAGAAACTGCCTCTACGCTCGCGAATGAAACTGCAACGAGTGTTCCAGAAGATTCTGGAACAACTACTCATAACCCGGCGGAAGAGTTCAGTGCCGAAGGAGCACGCAAATCTGTTCATGATAGAATTAGGGTCCCTGTTTCATACGAAGACCTTCCAGGAGAGGATATGAAAGACATTTAACGTGATTGTTTTCGGAACATCGAAACATTGCTTGGCATCGATTTTTCATTTATAGATTTTTAGATGCAATGTTTTTTTATATAATTTGGAAAGCTACAGATGAGATCATTGCCATTAATGAAAGAATTATTAGCTGTTGAAACAAAATATCCGTGACCCTTTTTCCTTGGTCTAAGACTCTTCCCAAGGATAAGAAAACAAAGCACCGGTCCATGTTAATCTATGCTTTTTGGAGAATTTCATGTTTTCTGGTTTCTGCCAACACATTTGTGAAAATGGACCACGATGGTTTTGGAGTTTCTATTTCAGATTTTTCTATTTGTAAGCTATTCAAGATCAATCAATTACATGACTCATCATCGAAGGCTGGAAGCTAGCTGTTCCAAATTTGTTTTTTGGGTAAATTACAAGTTTAGTACTTAAACTATCAATTTTAGTATGTTTTAATATCTAAACTTTCATTTTTTTCAAAACTATATCTAAAATTTAGTTTTTGTTTTATTTTAACATCTCGCCATTAAAAAATATAATCTTTTAAAAATTTAACATTAAGTTTTGAAAGACTTGCTAAAACAGGTCAAAACTGATAATTTAGGTACGAAACATATCAAGTATTTTACGACGGGATACTAAAAATGAAATGAAAATTAAAAGTTAGGTATGATTTTGAAAAAATTCAAAGTTTAAGTATTAAAACGAATCAAAACTGATAGTTTAAATACTAAATGCGTAGTTTACCCTTTTTTGTCTACGTAGTGGATACAACATTGCTACAATCCATTGGACCAAAGAGCAACTCAAGCTTTAGAATAGTTAACGCTCGTTAACACTGTGGGAGCTTTGCTTTTGGTTCTTTTGGAGGAAGAGGCAAACCACGGTGCCGCCTCAACCACCGCCCTTGCCGCCGCCTGCTCGTTTTCCACCTCCATCACTATTGTGGCAACTTGTTGAGAACATCCCATACCTAAAAATAAACAGGCCAATAAAATGAAAATCTAAGATTCATTCTTATATTGGAAAAAGGCATTGTTATTTCATTGAAATGGGGTTGGCCTACCCTACCCCGTCTGTTGCGAGGACAATGAACTGATCATTTGGGGTTAAGTGATGATGGAAGACGTCGGGAACTGCAATTATTCCATGGTTCTTGAGTAGGAAATCTCCGAAAGCTTGGGACATGGCTAAGCCTGGAGAATCTTCATGGGGCAGCCATACACGCTGAATATGTGGCTCTTCCTTTAAAGCAAGGAGCCAAGGACCCTTCCTTTGCAATATCTTATTCTCTCTGCTTCACCTGCATCAATCAACGTTATTTCATCAGCCACTCCATCAGCCAAAAGAAAAGAGGTAAACTACACATTTAGTACCTAAACTATCAATTTTAGTATGTTTTAATATCTAAATATTTAATTTTTTCAAAACCATACCTAATGTTTACCATACCTAATGTTTAGTATCCCGTTGTTAACGCATTTAGTATCTAAACTATTAATTTTGATCTATTTTAATACCTAAACTTTCAAAATTTTCAAAGATTAACATTAAATTTTGAACGATGTATTAAAATGAAACAAAAATTAAACTTTAGGTATGATTTTGAAAAAAATCAAAAATTTAAATACAAAAACGGACTAAAATTGATAATTTAAGTACTAAACACGAATTTACCCAAAGAAAAGAAATCATATACTAGTAAAGAATGCTTTTTTTTACCTGTCTGACAACAACAACTGCAGTGGTACCACTGGTGGAACAATCCAAATTCTCTTGAAGCATGATCTCCTTATCCATCACCTTGAAGGCACTGATGCAAGCCTCTTGCCAATTAACAAAACCCTCGCTTTGTATTGATTTGGTGTCTGTTTTTTAACCCCGAGCTTCACAATTCTTCTCATCTGCATCCGATTTAACCTTAATCTTCTCCAGAGCGTTCTTTTGGCTTAACAACAGTGATGGCAACCTATTTCACACCATATTGCTCACCACATGACCATAAAAACCCCACAAAATGCAACACCTTCCATTCCATAATCCTTGAAGAACCAACAAAAACAAAACAAACAAAGACCCAGACCTTTAATCAACAACAAAAAGAAAACCCAGAATTCGTTTACATATAACTATAAACCAGAGAGTTGCAGTGGCTAACCTGAAAAAGGATGGCGGCATCCTGGTTAAGCCCTTTGCTTCCTTGCTTAGTATAGAGAGAGCCAAGCCTTTGAATTCCAAGAGAAGCGTTTTCAGCCAAGAAAACATGGTTGTTCTGATGACAGTCATCGTCCCCATGAATCTCTGAAGATGCAACGGATATGCAGATTCCCATCTCGCCTCCAACAAATAATTTACTTAAATTTAAAGACTCCATCATGCGCATGTTAGCCGGATATTAAATCAATATTGATAAATTATTAAAATAATACCCCATAAACATGTGGCTCCCAATGAGCTGAAGGCACAGAATCTCCAATTCCATTAATAAATTCACTCTTCTTCGAAAAATTAATAAATAAATTGTTGAGTATTATTATAGGCCACCCCAAGATTCACCTAAAAAGGAATATGTGAGGTGTACTTTTTTTTTTGCAAAGATTAATCATATAACAAAATAAATAAATTCAATCAATTATTAATATTAGTATTTATTAATTAATCTTAAAAGGCATAAAAAATGATACTATTAGCAAAATCAATCATTTAGGATCAAAATATCATCTTATCGGTTTAATTATTATTTTACATATCACCTGATTTATAAATTAGTATTTTACAAGTGTTGGTCAAATATGACCAAGAGAAAACAAATAATTATTATAGCTATTAAGAAGGTTTAATCCTACCCTTTGGAGTGTTAAGACAGCGGAACCATGGTTAATCAGAGTATACTAAGCATGCACAAGTGGACAAATGGCTTGGTTTGAGTATGTCAGCCCCTGCTATTGGCTAAATCTTATTATAATGTTAAATAAAGGTTGCTGATTGATGCTCGGATGTAATACTAATACTAATACTAATACTACTACTAATAATAAATAATAATCGGTGGTGAGAAAGGACTGAAATTGATCCACAACATGAATATTCATCATTTAATCAATCAAATTATCATACTATAAGTTGTTTTTGTTTCCAACATTTTGTGCGATGTATTAAAGTGATGATATTTGATATTTCGCGATTGGGAAAATATCTATATGAATCAAATTTAATAAAATAAATTACATTTCATTCATTTGAGGGAAAAAATAACTTCTCATATTTGGAAAGTTAATGTCCACTTTGAACTAGCTCTCGTACTAATTTGGTTCTTTTAAATATGTTTTCTGTTGTTGTGATCAGTGCCAAAGGATCTTTGAATTCTTATAGAATAGATATTAAACGTAAGAAAATTCAAAATCCAAGCCCCTTTCATTCTCCTTCTCTTTATTTTATTTTTATAATTTGTGTCAATTTTATTGATAAATTCAACTTTTTATTATTTAATTTTATTTAACCGGCAGTGACACTGATTTTAATACTGGTTGTCGCTAGTCGGTGTCTTTTTTTTTAATTTTTTTTAATAAGAATATTTATATCTTTGTAACATGTTCTTTATTTTTATGACACATTTTTATCTATCTTTTTGGTAGCTTACGATTTTTGTCCTTTTTTTCGTTTATCCTTTTTCTCATGATTGAATTTGATATCGCCACAACTGATAAGATGACGCTTATTTGTTACCATTATGATCTTCCCTGTTTTGGACCCTCTGATTGATTTGGATATACGTTTTATATTCGTAGATAGTTTTTTCACGTCTGTTGACTCTGATTTGCAATTTTTCGATTACCCTTCAGTAACTTCGTCCCTTTTTATGGTTTGTTTGCCGATATAGTCAGATTTGTTCGTATTTTTTTTCGAGCATTGGTTAGATTTTTTAATCTTTTCTTTTTTGGTTAATCTAGGTGGCTAGATTTTGTGTCGATGGTTATAGGAAAATGTCTTAATTATAATTTATCTTATGTTTACAGTTATACTTGTAGATCTTCATTGTAATTTTAGATATTTTCTATTTTAATAAAATTAGTGGTTTTCTATATAAAAGAAAATCTTTGAATTCTACTAATTATATCATGTTTTTAATTGTTTCACAGATATTAAAGTCCATTTAAATAGAGGAGACAGATAATCTTGCCAACTTGTCATCCCAGAGCCATTGACTTCATTTTAACAATTATACCCACTGTTTTTTCCTTTTTTAAAATACATAACGGAGAGTTGAATCTATCAGATTCTAATTGTTTACAATCAATAATTGATTCCACCAAACCAATATAAAAATTAAATACCAAAAAGAAAAACATAAGATTTGTACTTTTTTGAGTGTTTCTTGAATGGCAGATGTGCTAATGTGCTATCTTTACCAGACTAGAAGAAGACTATAAAGTATGAACACGCGTCAAGGATGAACATTAACCCGACATTTTGATCCCTGCAAGTGCCACGCACTTTTTTATAAGCACGCTTGATTGTTTCTTCAGTCAAATAACAAGTCAGACTTCATTAGTTTGGATAAATCCCATACATCTTATCAGATGAACAAAGACCATAACTTCTATGACCTACTCTTTAGTCTTTAATGGATATCTAATTCTAATCCAATATTGCAATGCGTATGAATATTGAGCCTCTCGAGATAAGACTCTCTAATGGTAGAACTATGGAGAACACCATCATCCATGAACTCGGTGCACATTGAAACCGATGGGATATAAAAGCTTAAATACGCACCTCTCAAGTGGAATGTTCGCTTGGACCCATGGTTTCTGCATTTGGTGCACTGCATGCCTTGTCTGGTATGCATGTCCATGTAAAAGGATAAAGGACAGTTCATGATTAAATTGGTGCTAAATGGGATGCTACTGCAGTTGCTTTCGACACGTTGAGACAGTCCCATAAAAGCTCAAGCTAATGATGAAAATATTGCATCTCATATGAAATCGAGCAGTTTGACAAACGCACTGAAAAGGGTTCCACCATATTTACAGGAAGTTTGCGGAAGATTAAATAGGTTATTGTTCATGGATCGTGATTTCAGCACACATGCAGAGATCATACTGATAAAATTACCCAAGGACTGGAAGCCGCATGAATATCCGGTTGTTGATGCTCTCACCGACTGATGGATGCATGAACATTATCTTCACCATTTGCAGGTTCAGCCGCCTTCTTCACAAGAGGCTTGGGAATATCACAGTCATCTTGAGGGCAACGTTGCTGAGGGTGACACAACAACATGGACATGAAACGGAAGAGGGTACGTGGTAGCCCATGTCCACTCTCGTGGATGTATCCTTCGTACTCACTAACATGTTCAAGTGCATCAACAAGTGCATCGTAGACTGCCTGGGGACAATTATCCGGTCCAGGCTTGTCATGGAGGTACATCACATCCAAAGTGAAGAGCTTCTGGTTTACGGACCATTGATGATGGGGTCGTATTGATGATCTGCAGTAAATAAGAATCTAAAAAGCGGAGACGTGTATCAAAATTTTGAGGAACATCGTGAAAATAGAAACATTAATATGTAAACCACAAATACATATCCAGTCTCGAGGCCAACTTCTGGATTTATCTAACAGTTCATTACTTTATAACAAACCGAAGAGATTTAGCCATTCCTATGAATTCATTCAACAAATGATGACATGAAACTATAAACAAAATCATCTAAACGACTAAGCCAGTTTAAAAGAAAAGCTAATCTGTAACGGAACTTAGGGCGTGTTTAGGATTGGTGTTTAGCCATCCTTGGGTATTTATTGACAGCAAATGCAATACTAAACAAAAGGTTTTTGCCATCCAATCCAAAACACTCTAGAAATACTTTAGGAACCGAATTAAAAAAAACTGGTTGCTAAACGCTACTTTTAAACCGCAACAGTAAACTGACCTAGAAAAGGGGGTGTCGAGTTTAAATCATTTCCCTTACTTGACTAGTGATAAGAATTGATAAGAAAAAGAAAAGAAATGGGTACTGACCACTCTCAAAATGCGGTTCTGGGCACGAGACTTCTTGGCTTCATGTGCTGCTAAGCGGAACAAATTGGTGAGATCTGCTTGACTAGAAGAGACGGTGGTAGCCGAGAGAGCTCGAACCGCAGCAATGGTAGACTCAACATCACTGCTGAACTCTTTTCTAAGCTATGAAAATACAATATACGGAAATTAAATAAAAAATCTAGGTGAAAAATTAAAAAAACCCTAATTTTCAAATCAATGAAGGCCAAGATTATAATCAAAGCTGAAAAAATAGAAAAGAAAAAGATAGGAAAATACCCAAGAGGCGGATTTGGAGAGGGTGGCGAAAGCGAAGCGGTGATCGGGGTTGATGGAGAGCTTGGAGTTGACAAAGACGAGGATGGCTTGCTTTATGGAATCCAATCTGGTGACTCCCGCTGTTTTCATTTCAAGAAGCGACTCTGCGTCCACATCCACGCAAAACAGTATGTCCTCGCTGCTTATCCGCGTCGGATTCAAGGTGTAACGCACTGCTCCGCCCGCCGATGCGTCTCCTTCTACTCCTTCCATTTTCATTTTCCCTCGATTTCCTTCCTTCGGGCGAGAAGAAGACATTCGCATCCAACTAAAGGGAAAAGACGGTGGAAATGAAATTGCCAAACAGACGAGTATCTTGGTTAAATTATTTATTTATTTTATTTAAAAATTAGCTAACCCTAATATCATATATAATAGAGTAAGGATAAAGTAGTAGGCTGTCCCTAACCGGTTAAGAGTAACTTCCGTAAAAGACCTCCGTTATGAATTGACCTCAGCAGGACTCGATCCTACGACCACAAAATTAAGAGTTTGTGTTCTACCAACTGAACTAGACGGGCAAGACATTATTTATTTTATTTAGTATACTAAAATATATTTGTTTCCTTCCCTTGTTGTCGTTTTATTCTTAAAAAAATAATGTCGATTGCATTATATTTTTTTGAGTATATGAATATAAAAAATCAAAATTAATCATTAAAACAATACTCATTTTACGATTACATCAATCCTGATGGGATCGCTTCTAAAATAATAATTCTACTGTCGAGTGTTTACTTAATGGCTTTTCCCAGGTATTGTTATTCATGTTATTAGATTTTTATTGAATTCTACTATCTGGTTTCTACTATCCTATTCATGTTATTAGATTTAGTTAATTCATAATTTGAGGTAAAGTTAAGAGTGCCAGCTTTTCTTTGATCTCCTGCTACAGCTTCACTTTCTCAAAGCAAAATTCCATTTTTCTTAAGGAAAAAAATGATGTTGAAATGAAAATTTCATTTTAATACTCTGTTGTTCCCTTGTGAATTCGTAGGAAATTTGAGAGGAATATACTATTGTAAAGCCAGAATGCAGTGTGGTGGAGCTGCAATGATGGGTTCTTTGAAACAGCCCGTTAGGGTTAATAAACCAGTATTTCCTTTAAAAGGGTCTCGTATTACTGGATTCCCACATCAGATTCAGCTTAACTCGGTGAAACCCTGTAGAGCTCAACTTGAAGGCAGCTTAGTTACTTGGAGGCCTAGCTCCCCGGTCTCTGCCCCTGTGCTTGAAAACAACTTTGTGGACCATGGCCTCAGTGAAGCTGATCCTGAGGTATGCTCAATTATTAGCAAGGAGAAGGAGAGACAATTCAAAAATCCTTGAGCTTATTGCCTCTGAGAACTTTACATCCCGTGCAGTGATGGAGGCAGTCGGGTCATGTCTCACAAACAAGAATTCCGAAGGACTACCTGGTAAAAGGTATATCTAATCGAGCAAGGTATATAGAGATTTAATTCTTTATTTGGTTTTGATTTAATTGGCTTTTGTTTATCGGAGGTACTATGGTGGCAATGAGTACATTGATGAACTTGAAATACTTTGCCAGAAGAGGGCCTTGGCAACATTTAACTTGGATGAAAAGAAGTGGGGCGTTAAAGTTCAACCATTGTCAGGTTCTCCTGCTAATTTTGTGGTTTATAGAGCTATTCTTAATCCGCATGATCGAATAATGGTAAGATTTTTCTCCCTGTTTTAGCTGCTATAATTTATTTTTCCTGCTGGACAGTACCCAAACCAAAGATATCTTATATATGACTGGTATAGGGTCAGGACTTACCTCACGGTGGACATTTGTCACATGGATTTATGACCCCTAAAAGACGGGTATCTGGCACATCAATCTATTTTGAGTCAATGCCTTATCGTCTTGATGAATCCACAGGATATTCCTCATTGTGTGACTTACTGAGTTTTAGTGGTTGGTATGCTCGTCTGGTGGTTGATATCTATTTATTTCGAATCTGAAACAGTTCTTGTTGATTATGACATGCTTGAAAAAACAGATACCCTGTTTCGACCAAAACTCATAATTGCTGGTGCCAGTGCATATCCTAGTGATTTTGACTTTACTCGCATGAGGAAAGTAAGTAGCATGCTTTGATGATTGTGCTATACCATGCCTACCATTGTTTAGCTCTAATTTAAGGAAAACATAATTGTTATATATGTATTGTGTATATTCCTTCTTTTAGCATGTAACTTATCGGAGTTGATATCTGTTGGAAGATTGCAGATGCTGTTGGTGCATTTCTCATGATGGATATGGCTCATATAAGTGGACTTGTTGCTGGACCATATGTGTCTAGTTGGTCCATGGCAACGGCTGAAGCCTTACACAGATGAAGTTCTTGTTGAGCTTGGCCGGAATGGTCTGAAGAGTCTTCTAGTTGTTCCGATAAGGTAAATGGTTCATATCCTTAAAGTAGCTTTGAAATGCTAGATTTTGTGGTGGTAAACCAATTCAGCTCCCATCACAAATCCCAGCTTTGTGAGTGAGCACATAGAGACTGGAAGAGATTGACATTGGATATAAGCACTTGGCTCTCGGATCCGGCATCGAGAACTGGGGTCGGGTGCCCGCTCTAGGTTGCACCTCTTCATCATTGATCTAGCTGATGCTGTAGTTGAAGCTCTACCGTATGCAAAAGCTACTTTTCAAGACTAAGCATGACGATAGTGGAAGGGCATATTCAAGATTTTTATTCACTTTTATTTTCCATTTTCCAGGAGGTAAAAGAATTGTTGAAACAGATGGGTTATTGCAATCTCATTCTGATTTTTCTAACAGAACAGCAAAACCATATGTTTTGTCAAAAACATGGAAGAAACCAAACATACCAAAAAGCTTGCTCTGATTCTTGGGGACTCAATTAAACATAGTAGCCGGTGAAGGTGAACCCTCGACCGACAATCTCCCCAGCACAATACCAAGCAAAGCATTCTAACCCAAATAGAGTAGCAATACCTGCATCCTCGATCTTCAATTCGTTCAAGTTCTTCCAGATATGCTTCACATAATCCATCTCCTTATGGAATGCCTCATAACGACCAGGAATACTGCATTGAATTCAGAACATGTACATATCATTACAAGCGCACAAAACCACAATCAAACAAATCTAACCAGTGGATATGTACGGTGAACTAGTTTATAAAAAAGAGTAGCATATTAGCGGATCAGCATGAACGTTTGATCAATGCAGGGAAACATAGGGCAAACGATCGATGTTCAAGGCATTTAACAACCCATTGACATGCTTAAGAGCCTAACATTGACACAATTATAGGTTACCTGCAAAACCTTTACCTTTTTTACATTTTCAGCCATCATAACCATGTAAATATCATTCCAAACAACGCAAAGATTCCAACAAAAAGGAAAGTAATCACCCAAAATTACAATGTAATAGTTGAATCAAACGGGAATAACCTGGCTAGACGAGTGTAAAACAATTGTTTTGACAAAAGGTTACATGTCTCGACAGTGGGTGGGTCCAGAATGTAGTGCTTATTCTGCTCAAGTAGCCGCTTGTAGTACAGAGGAGCATGCTTTGATACCAATTGGGATGCCTGGGTAGCCTTGGACTGCAACTGAGCTAACTTCAATGTCAAAGCCATTGGCTTCCGGAAAACAAAAACCAAAACATAATGATTCAGTTGTAACATTTTACGATAAAGCATGAACCCTATTAGAAAATATTCGACAACGTTCTAGTGATTTTCTGTCCAGAACCATTGATTGTAAAATTTGGGGATCCTTCGTCATATCATTCCGAAATTACGTGTCTTAAACGCATAATGCCAGGACGTGATGCCCCTGCTAAATATCCAAATTCTAAGAAAATAAATCAATCGATTTCAAAGACGAGAGGAGACGTAATTTCCTAAGCGCCATTAAATCAATTAAAACTGCAATGTGAGTAAAACGAGTAAATATAAAATCTCCATGAAAGATTTAATTAGTAGACCCAATCGTTATATCTATATTGGAAGCAACGATGAATAAGTTACGATAAAAAAATAGTCTACAAAGTCAGAAAAGAAACTTCCATTAGTTGCAGAGGTGAGAAGAAAATAATAGAACCTGTGAAAAGGAAATAGAGGAATGCTTCAGCGAGAGAGAGATCAAAAAGAAAAATGAGTAGTAGGATTTTATAACTTTTTTTTTAAATAATTTATTTATATAAATTCATGGCGAGTTTTTTTTTTTTTTTTTTAATACCATATGTGAAAGACTCAGTCTTCCCAAAGCCGAAGGAAATGATACAACTTTTTACTATTTTAAGTATACGACGGGGATTTAATTCTCGAAAATAATTTAATATACAACTTTTTACCATATGTGAAAGACTCAGTCTCCCCAAAGCCGAAGGAAATGATACACCAGTTTGAGAAGCTGGTGCTGCCTCATAAGTTCCATGAGTGCTCCCAATTCCATTGCCTTCAACAGGATATGTTGGAGGCTGCGAGTAACCGCCACCATAAGAGGGGTTATATGGTGCTCCAAAGGGTGCGGCAGCATATCCTGGCTGAGCCGATGCAGTGCCATAAGGAGATGATTGGGTGCGTTGTGAGCCTGATTCCGGTTGACCTGATGATGGTGGCTGCGAATGATATCCTGGCTGGCCATAGCTTCCTGGGTGGGAGGCAACTGCTGTGCCTGTCCATAGGCAGGATGATTCTTCCTGGGTGGGAGGCAACTGCTGTGCCTATCCATAGGCAGGATGATTAACCAATAACCACTGGTTTCTGCCCCTGTGGTGGTCCATAGAGCTGGTGGTTGACTCCCATAACCAGCCTGGAAAGTTGGGGGCACCCCGTAACCAGCTTGAGTACTTCCTTGAGGGGGATAACTGCCAGGATTTGGGCTAGGCATCTGACTTATATTGTACCCTTGTTGGCCCATTGCAGATGGTTGGGAAGTAGGTGCTTGGCCAGAATCCCCTTGACCGCCGTAGGAAGGAGTTTGACCCTCTTGACTTGGGTTTGGCGTAGTATCATAGCTCCATGCAGAGACATAACCTTGTTGTTCATATGATGATGGCTGCCCATAACCTGATTGTGGAGGTGCATGGAATCCCCCATAGCCATCCTGAGCATAACCTTGTCCAGGTTGACTGTAATGGTAACCACTGCCATCGGCAGGAGCTGCTGAACCACCAGGTGCTTGCTGCTGCTGTGAAGAAGGCTGTTGATAATAGTAATCATAACCACCTGCAGAAGAACTGTGTGTGCTCGGTGGCATAGCTGACTGGTCCCAGCCACCAGAGCCATATCCACCAGACGATGGTTGGGAAGGATATCCCCCATAGGGTGGCTGAGACATGTTATACTGTGGTGATGGGTCAGGATATCCACCAGATTGCATATAACCATAGCCAGGTTGCTGCATTGGAGGATCCCCTTGGCCCCAGCTTGCAGGTGGTCGTGCTTGATAACCTTGCTGTTGATAGCCTCCTGCCATTCCCGGATTTCTCATACGATTCTGCATGAAATTGTTTCCTCAAATAACTTGAGTTCACTTTAAGATGATGCTGGCACGTAAACACATACACCAAAACAGAATATGCACATGTGTACATATGGGATGTACAAAAAAGTAAATAGCAAGTATCAAAATCAGCATAAAACTGCAAAAATAAGCAAAATATGACTACAGTGGATTTAATGGAGTTTGTACAATAGTTTGAAGGGTTTAAATGCCTACATACCATATGGCCGGAGACAATATTGAGTTCTACTCCAGCAGAAGCCCATCCTCTCCCTAATCGAAGTGAATGGAAGCAAAAAGAAAAAAGAGAAGCCCAGAAATACTAACAGAATCTTTCAATATTAAGTAAATGGTATCCCCTATAACAGAGCCTAAAACTTTCCATACCACAAACAAGAAAATGCATTACGGATCAAACATTTATAAGACAAGTATAAGCATTTAGATTGTATAACCTGTATAATTAAAACAGTGGAGTTTACGAATAATGGGACCATACATTGTACAATTCTTACATGATACTAGAGCAGGGTTAATTGGTTTCTGGAAAAATGTAATAAAAATTACAAGTTCTTTTAACCAAACTACTTCAATACAGGAATAAACCAGATAAACAATAAGCCAGAAAGAACAAAATTCCATCAAATACAACACCTCAAAGTTGAGTTTTTCGGGTTTAAAAAACCCAACTTAATAATGAACAAGGTCTAATCCAAAGTGAATAAAATGATCATTAGGATTAAAAGAAAATCTAGCAACAAGCTATGAAACAAATGATATTTACAAATACAGGAAAGTCCCAATACTATCACAGAAGAAAGGAATCTTTAAGCAGTTAGAGAAAGTGTAATTTATAAGTTGAAGAGTTAAGAGAAGAAAATTCAAAAAGTAAAACAAGATGTAAAAGATTGAAGATCCAAACAATAAGATAAGAACCTAGAACTATAGCATCCCTTGTTTACTATTGAAGAAGTGGGAAGATCGACAGAAATAGGAACACATGTGAATAAATACTAAATTAACTTATCATGAAGTGTCATCATGAGAAAAGAATCCAGTATCTAGCAACCTTTATATCAAACAACTTCAAGCCCCTCTTAGTATAAGATCAGCAAATATTAGCGATAGGATACTGCACAATGCAAAGGAAACACCAACAAATATCAATAAATGCTGGTGTTTTTTATTCTCATAAATTGGCTTCATAAAACATAAAACATAGCAAGTAATCAAAGAAACACTAAACAAGGTATCAAAACTTGTTTCTGCAAAAATCCAGGACACTTGTAAACGAAGTTAGTTTTAATAAATGCTGGTGTTACCAACTGAACATAAAATACCGGCAAGAAAAGAAAAACCGGAGAATATAACCATCTAAGCTTGACTGCCGTTTGAGTCCTAATCACAATTTACCTTGATATTAAGTAACCAACAGCAGATGAGACCTTGACAATTTGAACTTGGCACGTAAAACTATAACTCTACCCATAAAATTTAAGAGGGATACCAATCAGTGCAAATCACCATGTTATCCAGAACCTAACATCCCTAGAAACCATAAAATTGTAATACAGAAGTCTTTGAATTTCTTACAAAGTAGAGGATCAGCTCATCTTCCACTAGTCATCTTGACACTTACAAATATTTCTCAATCAACTGTCGTAGAAACAACAAATATCGCCAGCAAAGCTGAATGCAGCTCCCAAGATTTAATAAGTGGAGCAAAGGGAAGAGAAGAATCTAATGTTAAAGTAAAATCCAACCAATATATCAAAGTGGCTGAATAAGTACATCAATGAATGGGGATGCAGAATCACCTAGAATTATGCAGCATAGTACTTGGAAGAAATGTTATAAACTGTAGGGAGAATCGTCTACTTCCAGATAGGTACATAAAAGTATAAGAAAAATGTCAAAATTTGTTACAAGGGGTGAGTTCCAGAACATTTACCAGAGGTGATGACTGCCTACAGCAAAAAAAATAAACAAAATACAGAATATCAATTTAATCCCTACTTTACTCAAACGTACAACGATGATTTTTCCCTGCAATTAACAATATAAGGAATACCACTAAAACATCTGTAAAACCAAGTTCCTTATGCAATATTTATGAGGAAGTTTCAGTAAAAGTGAAATTTCAATGGATCCTATTGGTTCTAATGAAGTACAGACTAGCATGACGATTCCAAAGGTCGCACACAAAAAAAGATCAATACTCAAAAGTAATATTAAATTGTAAGAACAGTTAAATGGATAGAACTAAAGGACTGGCATGCATACATACATGATAAAGGTTAAAAAAAAGCACAAATGATTCAGTTCAGGTAAAATAAGAAGGGCAGAATAATTTAAATTGAGGAAACCATTTCCTCCCAACACCACGTCCAAACATACCTCACTTATGACCTCATCAACCAATTCTCTTGCATTTTTAATCTGTTCGGAAGTCCCATCTATATGTAATGTCCTTTCCGTTGATGGATCACCGGGTGGTAAGTACAGCGGGATCACCTGCACAATAATAACAGATGAAGTGTTGTTATAAACTGTATTTGCAGGTACAGTTACAACAAGGTTCAGAAGGCATAGTGAAGAAACTGCTTAAAAATTACATCAAAGATGGTCCAAAACTATCTGAATATAATTCAGACAAATACATATCAGAAAATATTAAGCGCAAAAAACAATAGACAACTTCCAAGTACTGATGATAATTGTGATTCAAACCTGAATCCGAGCTCCAGTCCTAGCTTGCATATTTTTAATTGTTTCACCACCTTTACCAATCACCAGACCAACCTGATATCATGCAAACATTAGATATCATCAATGAACAAAGTCAAGTTATGCTTTTCACTGGTGTACCTTGTTATTCGGTATCTTCATTTCAAAATGTTCACTCCCAGCATCTCCTGTCAATCTTCGAGAAACTATGACAGAACCTCCTGCTTCAGCCTGGACAAAGCATTAAAGGTTATATTTATTCTCCTTTTATTCTGCATCAGGGAAATATATCAATTTCACATAGATAAAAAATGTAAGATGAATATCCTCAGCAAGGACATCATTTATCAACTGCTCACCTTTGGCTATTTCTTCTGCATTACCCATGAGCTCCACAGGCCTAGTCCCGCAATTAGGATCTGCATTACCTTTGGCTATTTATCATAATTAAAATTTTATTAACTTTAACAATAAAAAAAATATTATAATTGCATGGCATAAGAGATTCTAATTTCTTCTCCATGTCCCTAAACATATTATCACCGGATGAATGATCAATTTTGGGAGGCTTCCCACGAAAGATAAGTTGTTGTAAATGAAGCTTGTTGTTGATGGAAAGTGCGTGTTTTGTGATAGTCTTAAAACCGTGAACCATCTCTTTTTTTAGTGTCGTTTTTTCTGAGAGCATTTAAGAGACTATTTTAGCTATATGCAATCTCCAAATGTCTGCGATGAATTGGAAGAAAAATTTTGAATGAGTTACATTCTATTTTAAAGGTAAGTCTTTGATATTCTTTATCCTTATTGCTCGTAATACATTAATTTATTGCGTTTGGAAAGAGAGAAATGCGAGGTAATTTAAAGGTATAATTAGAGATCAACAAGTAATTTTTAAGTTTTTTTTTGTAGATTATAAACGAATTGTCTGTCCAGCTCAGTTGGTAGAGCACAAAGCTCTTAACCTTTGGGTCGTAAGATCGAGTCTCACGGTGGACAGTTCATAATTCGGAGGTCTTTCACGGAAATTGCTCTCAACCTGGTGTTGGGGACAGTCTATTATCTTCCCTCCCTCTTACCTCATTACATATGGGAATAAGGGTCAACTAATTTTTTTTAGATTATAAAAATCAAACTTGCATATAGGAGTGTAGAGGAGATGGATGATGTAAATAAGACTCTTTACGATGGATGACGTAAATAGGACTCTTTACGATGGGTGAAGTATATTGTGGTAGGGTGTCCTATTTTTTTCTTCTTCTTCTATATATCAGTTGATTGTATCAGTTTTACTGTTTACTTTTATGATACGTACATACTTATAAAAAATATTATTTTTTAAAAAATCTTAAATTTAAGTAGTTATGTCTATAAAATATTATAATCAACTTATATTAATAGAAATTAAAATAATAATAAAGTAAAGCACATTTAACTAGGGATAGACCTAGGCGGAGGCGATGAAGGAGGTCAACCCTTAAAAAGTTAAAATTATCGTATAATTTATATTTTATCTATATATTTTTATTGAAAATTTATTTTTTACCTTTTAGAATTTTATAAGTTCAAGTTCACATCCTTAAAATTTTATAAGTTTAAGTTCATTACCGACATAAAATTTTCCGTTCGTCCCTGCATTTAACGTCAACTAAATTTTTTTTTTCAAGATGTCTGATCTTTCTAAGTAGGTTGAAATACTTCAGAAATATAGTAATTCAAAAAAAAAATCAAACACTGTATTATCTGAATTATCATAATAATCCAAAAAAAATATCCATTCCATATTTCTAGTTAGCCAAGCATTTTCTTTTTTTCTCTTTTCTTTTTTGAAATGCGGTTGGCTCCAATTCAAACGGATAATTTTACCAAAATACCCCCGACCTCCCTCTCCTTTTTCCACTGCCAACGCCATTCGTTCCCCCGAATAACTAGGGTTTCACTCTCACCCCTGCTGCAATTTCACGATTTCCTTACTCCCTTCGTTTTCCCTTCACAATTCTCTCGGCCTCGACACTCCAAGAATATGGTGCAATTTGATTTGAATTCAAATTCTGTCACCGCCATCCACCACTCTAAACCACCGGACTCATTTCAGCTCATGCTATCAGAATCTATACACCGGTTTTTCACCCAACACCATAGCGGTTCGACCGATTTTTCCAATTTCACCTCCATTTTCTCTCGCTTGCTACAGAATCTACCCGATCCGCCGCTCGAATTTGTCTGGTTTTACTCCGCTGTAACTTTCCATTCCACTAACAAATGTAACTCCCCGAGTTCAATCTCCAGCTCCAAAGACCTTTTCCAGCTTCTAGTTTCCTGCTCCACTTCTTGCGGTGCTGTTAAAAGAATCTCCGTGCTCGCTCCCGTTATCTACCAGCTCTACCATTTAGTTTCCGGTCAAAAAGAGTTTAAAAGGGAAGTGGAGAGTTTGTTAGAAGGGATTGTGAGTTACATTAGCATATGTTGCGGTATGGAAGATGATGGCAACGACAATTTGAGTTCGCGTTTTGGTGATTTGTTGCGTGTTTGGATGGTAGATAGAGTTGGGAAGGAAGGTGAGAAGAGAGATGACTTGAAGGTGTTTTTTCCACTCGCCAGTGAAGAAACTCGCAAGGCGATCGGTGCAGGATGCGGGATTCGGTATTTGGCTGGTGCTGTAATGTGTCAGGCTTTTCTGCTGAGATTGTGTTTGAAATTTGGATATGGGATTCCAAAATTGGAGTTGGAGAAGGACGTGCATGATTGCGCCGTTCAAATGATAACTGGGTTTCGAATTTTTCACTTTCTGGGTATTTTTCCTAATGTTCTTCGTTTTTATTTTATTTTCATTTTAAGTGGATGAGTTAAATTTCAAAAATTGTATAATTGAAGCTTTGTCTTCGTAATTATTCTGAAATAGTTTGAATTTCATTTAATTAAATTGGTGCTAAATTTGCCAGTTTGATAGAGATTAATTAGGTTATTTTTCTTAAATCATTTGTTGAGTCACCAATTTTGACTTCTATATCTACTTGTATCATTATGACATTATCGCGATACTACTTACTTTTTCTCTTCCCTTCTTTCTTTATAAAGCAAATATCAAAATCTCATTTTCATTTAGTTAAACGTATGAGTAATTAAGTAGATAGACAACATTGACCCAAACATGGTGGATTTTTGCACGTTTAAGTTACCTAATTTCATTCCTTTTTAGCTGCCAATGCATGTTTGTACGTGAATGTCAGCATGTGCATGCATGTGTTGGAATGCAACGAGCAACAGTAGAACTTTGCAATCAAGAATGAGTGCCAATCATTTTTTTCTGTTCCCTTGTGGAAAAACATTTGATTGACACGTTTGTAAAGCCACTATTGGGAATCTGATGTCTTCTTATGTTTGTCGTGGATTTTTATTCCAAGTCTAGTGATAGCAATGACATGGTATTCCTTTTTGTGACAAGGTTTTCTTTTTATCCTTCCACTGTTTGATGCTGATGTTAGTAGTTCTAATTCATTGTTTTGAAACAGATATCTTTCTCAGGATGCTGTTGGAACCGGTTTTACCTGTCACTTCTTTAGTGGTCAGCTTATTCACTACTTTTCTTTTTTCTTCGATTTTCATTGCATCTTTTCTTGCTGTTCAAAATTAAGCTTTGGACAAAGCCTGTTTCTATTCAACAAAGCAACTTCTTGGTTTCAAATTGAAGAACTAGGCAATTTTCTCCTGTACAATCTTTGAATGAAGATTGAACAGTAGATGATTAACTATGGAGAGTGCAATGGCAATGTGTTGAATAAAACTGGAAAGATCTATAGCTATTTGTATATGCTAGTTACCAATTGTAAGAGGCTCAAACCAAAGTTATGTGCCTAGTAAGTTTTCATCTTTCATGACCAGAACCATCCGACCACCAATATACATTCCCCATTGGCAAGCAACTGCTTTAAACTGACAGTCGTTTCTGGACAATTATCTATTATTTGATTATTGACATCATCACCTAGAATTATTTGTGTCTGAGTGGTTGTTTAGAACAGTATTTTATCTAACAGCGAAAGTAGGTTGTTTTCCATGAACATAATTTCCTTTTTAAAAAAGTTCCCTCAAGATTAGTTTTAAGACCAGGCAAAACCTTCTGAGCAAGTTATCTTTCTGTTTTTTTTTTTTAAATCCTTGGACATTTGAAATGTTAAAACTCTGTTTGCTCTTCGAGCTTCTCTGTTATTTAGCAAGTTTGAAAAATGTTTGATTGTGCTAGCCACTTAGATACTTGAATTAACTTCCATTTTATTATCAGGGCCATGGAAATGAAGTTATTTTAAGAGAGACTTTGTATGATGCTGTTATAAAGATGGACCATACGTTTCTCAGTCCACAAGGAGGAAATCTACTATCTGGCAAACAACTAAAAGATCTTGCTTTGACATGGTCCTTTGTTGTTGACGATGCCATTCGGTCGCTGAGGTATGATTATGAATGTCATGGCTCGGTGCAATTGCTTTTTATTAGAATATTGAATCCAACAAATCTCACGAGCCATGATCTAATGCCACAGGGAGAATGGTAACCAGACCAAATCTATCTCTTACATGAATGCTTTCTCTGAATCTTGGCTACCCCCTCAGTTGATCAAGTGGGTTACCAGTCAGACTGGGATGGGGGACAAAGCAAGGAGCCTGAATTTTTCCACTCCTGTAGCTCTTCTCAGTGAGTTGCTTGCTATCTCTATGCTCTTGTCTTTGTTCTCACTTGTCGGAACTTCAGCACTTGTTTCATTGGATGGTCCAGTTAAGAATGTCAACATGCTATGTGATGATATGAAGATGTTTTGTTCTTACCATTATCCAAAGTGAAGCTTATTTAATCACTAGACCAGCAACCCCTGCATTGGCTGTGTCACTCATGATTTGTAATTCTTCCCTCTTTCTTATACTCTTTTGACTTCGGTTCCTTAAATGTCTAATGAAGTGTTCTCATTTTCAGAGTGGCTACTCATCATTGAGGATCAAGGGGTGAAAATATTTGAATGCGACATTTCCAAGGTTTATGCCAAGGCTGTGCTTTGCAAGTCGAGAGTTGAATATGAGATCCCAGTTGACAAGATAAGTGGCCAATATTTGGGTGAGGATCTTGCCGGTATGTTTCATGAGATGAAAGAAGACAAGAAAGCTGATAGTGATCTAGAGATGATTGATTCAACGGATACGGTTCCCTCGCCTGCTCCTTGCTTGATGAAATCAACTACAGCCGATGGTGTAAGAAAACGCAAAGAAGGGAGCACTGTTGAATGGGAAATACCTGTTAAGTTTATCAAGTATCAATTATGTGAAAACTTGGGAAGGGAGAAGCTTTTGCCTTTGGCTAATGGCGATGGCTTGAGTTGTGGGAGTGAGGTCGACAGTCCGAGTTTGGATGAGTATACGAGAGATATGGAACAATAATTTCTTTTATTAAGCAAGCAACTTGACCACGGTAAGTTTATGCTGACCGGAGCAGACGCGAACACTATTTAACCGCATTTCACAAATACATAACATATTTTGAAGTCGCTTGCATGCCGATCGTCGCATGGAAGCTGCTTGTGACCTCTCTTTCAATTTGCAGATGCAGTTTACTATTCCAGCCTTGTTAATCACATTGGAACCTGGAAGGCTTTTGTGGCTGAAGAATTCGGCATTTTAACCTTGGATGGTGACTTCTGACATTAGCTTGTATTGGCTCCTAATTTCGCACTTGAATTCTTCATATCATGTGGCATTGTAGAAGAGTTATCTGAGTTCATTGTATTATGATAAAGTAATCGTGTAGTAACTGAAATGGAAACAAGTGCCGACCATATGCGGTGTTTTTCAACTTTTGTTTCAAACACTAAGCTGGGCCTGCCAATAGCTTAATCTTGGACTATTTGGTAACTGAACTGAAAAGACATATGAGCTCCAAAGCCTAGCCACCGACACTGAAATATTCGTAGATCTGCCAAGTTAACGAGAGGGATGGATTGTTTTTGCTTTAACATGGCGGGATGGGCCATAAACGAACACTTAATTCGGCACGTGTAATTTATGTCGTCAAAAACTAACACGTGGTTTCTCGTCCAGCGAAGGATCCGTTTTGAAAGGCGAAAAAAATAACACGAAAAGCCAACAACTCTTCCTTTTCGTCAGGAAGTGCCACGTAGTGAAATAAATAATTATATTATTTGTTAATTTAATTGTTTTGAGTTGTTCGAATTTAATTAATATCTTCTATTTGAAATACATCGACAATTTAGAAATCCTGCTATTAATACTGGCTTTAGAGATCCGTGTTGATGAATTGTTTTTATTATTAACCTCATTATGACTAGGATGCATCCCATGTGAATAGAAGTAGACTTGATAATTTATAGGTGAGTTTCTCTTATTTCGTACAAACAACCATGAATATACTAAATACTAAACAGTATTGGTATAATGAGGTATATCTAAATTTGAAACATTACTTTTTAAAAAAATACTAATAAATAAAATATCTTTAGCAAATTTGAATGCGAAAGTTTGGAGAAACTGTCGGCCTCTTAACTGGGGTTAAAGAAACCCGAGTCTAAGGTCAAGGCCCTTGCGAGTTGTGAGTTTTTCAATCGTCGGTGACTCGGTTCGGATTGAAACTTGCAGTTTAAAAATACATTTTCCAATATTTGATACTTAAGTTTAAATTTTATTATATATAAAATTAGCAAACTAATTTAAAGTAATTAAAATAATACTGTTAAAGTTAATTTTTTATTAAACATATGTAATTATAAAGTAATATATATTTTATTTATTTTTAATTATTTGATAATAAACGCTACTAATACTCAAAACTAAGACCTCAAGGATTGACGATTATTCCTTTAATCATTAAGATAAGTTAGTTCATGCGTTGTTAAGTCAAAATCATGTGATTTATTTATTATAAATTTTATATTATGTTCATCAATTCTTGATTGAATTTTATTTTATTTGATCTTTTTATATTATGTATCTTTTTAAATGAATTATAGTTATTTAAATCATGATTATTATAATTATATTTATGATTATTTATATTATATTAGAAAACTCGATAAATAATAATATTCAAAAAAAATTCTTTTATCACATTATTTATTTAAATAAATTTATCAATTATTTAAAAATAATAATTTTACTATTTTTCCCTTTTATATAACTTGACATGTAATTAAATCAATTTTCAAAATTGTGTTCAATCATCTATTGCCAAAAATAAGGATTGAGTTACTATTTGTCCTTGATAAAAAAAGATTGAGTTAGTATAAATTTTATTGAGTGATTCTAGGGTGAGGCAGCCTAACATAAAATTAAGAAAATGTGAAATTTAAAATATATACAAGGTGATTTGTAATGTATTTAAGGTGAGGCAGTCTGATATAAGATTAAGGAAACGGTAAGGTCAACATTTTGTAATCTATACAAGGTGATTTGTACATCTTTTGACATGTGGAAGGAACAAGTGGAAGCATTACTTATACTAGTGTTGTAGATAGAGAAGCAATAGAGAGAGAGAGAGAAAAGATGATGATGTCAATTATTTTATTTAGAACCATAAGGTTTATAGCTAAGGAAATGATCATCCAGCTCAGTTAGTAGAGCACAAGGTTCTTAACCTTGAGGTCGTGGGATTGAGTCCCACGGAGGGCATTTCATAATTCGGAGGTCTCTTACGGAAGCTGCTCTCAACCTGGTGTTGGGGGTAGCCTACTATCTTACCTCCCCCTTACCCCAAACATATGAGAAAAAGGGACATCCATTTTTCATAAGGTTTATAGCTAAGGTGAACTCATCTCATCTGTAAATCATTTGGAATAATTATTTACTAGAGAAACCGATAACAATAATAATGATAATAATAACAATACACAAGGGGTGGGTAGTGAATTTAAGCTTTCCATTTCCTATTTGGTCCTACTTGGACTTGCTTCTTTTATAGTATTTATTATTGCTCGAGAACATAGCAGCAGGCCTCTTGATATTTAAATAACAAGACCAACACATGCAACTCTTTTCTTGACTTCCCTTTTCAAAAGTGAAAGAGAAGTATAGGGATGATTAAATTCAGAATAAAATAAATTTATTATAAATTTGATCGAATTAAATTTTAAAGTTAATTACATGATTGATCACTTATGTTTGTGTTTTGGTCATTTTTCCTCATTGATTTCAAAAAACATAATATATGGTTAAATTTTTATTTAATTAAGATATGATCACTTCTATTTTTATTTAATCAATATGTAGTCACTATGGGTCACCAAAATAATTAAGATATTTTGGTATAATCACATATTTGGTTTCTATTGTTTATATATTTTTCTCAATTTTGTCTTATTTTTAATAAATTTAATCCTCTAATCGAATAATGTCATGTGTCGTGCCATGCATCACCATCGAATGGTGGGTTTAGGTTTATTTTTTTAATTTAATGTATTTATTTTAATTTATTGATATTTATATTGAGATTTAATTAGGAATAAGTTAATGGCTATGGCCTTATTTACAAGCACAATATTAAGAGTTTGTTTGAGTACCAATTAAATTTGAAGACTTATTTTGTTTTTATTTTTATAAATTTAGGATGAATAAAAGGTAGAATTTGTTCAAAGATAATTCTCAATTATTTGATAATGAATGTTCATACGTCTGGCATACGTGATGATCGGACCCAAAATCTCAATAGATAACAACAATTCTACTAACAACTGAAGTTGCTTGATTTGCACGATATTTTTAGATAAAATATAATATTTTTCTATTTATAATACCTTATGATAAATTAAATGTTTAGCAAATTATTGTAAAATTTTAAATTCAAGATGAATGATTAATATTAATTGAAATTATCATAAAATTATAAACATTTTGACATAAGATCAAAACAATGTAACTGAACTTATCACCCAGCAAAAACTAAATTATACAATCTTGCTGTCAGTGGTGAAGAGAACCCATTGCTAGAATCCCAAGCTTCTGCAGATTCAACTTGACGACTGTATCCACAAATATCTTTGTATCTTCCCCGGTGTTACCTTGTGGTATATCCACTATATAAGACTCCAAAACAATGGCGTAAGCCTTCCCTTCCTTTTCAAACTCATTCACTGATGTCACCGACTTGTAGTTTCTCAGCCTGTGTTCGCCTCCGACGACGCTAAAGCTCAACACGTGCTTTTCGTCATCCAAAAGCTCCAGTCTTTCCGTACTCGTCGATGCCGGCGGACCCGAAACCACCGTGACTTCCCTGACGCTTCCGACGCCGCCGTCGCCGCTCCTCATGTTACAACTCTTGATGAAGTGTTTGTATTTCTGGGGGTTCTCGAAGTTCCGGACGAAAGGCCAGACGACATCGGCAGGCGCGTCGATGCGCTGCGTTATAAGCGATGTGCATGTGTTTGGCGTCGGCTCGAGCTTGTGGTATTCTTCAATGAGCGGTGCCAGCGCCGCGTACTCTTCGACGGTTAGACCCGAATACGGCGGTTGGCCGCCTGAGCGATCCATCGGCGGCAGCACCGGTCACGAACTAATGAAGGAAAGTTAAAGGCTTTTTAAGTTCATTAAAGGCAAAGATGCCTGAGAAGGGGTTAATACTTTATAGATTTATTGTTGTCGTTGTTGTTAGACATAAATGCCCTTCCGCAGTGTACTTTAAGACCAAACTTGTCAGTAGCTTGTCGTTTCCTTAAAAGTGTGTTTGCTTCTAAATCAAGAGATCTATTGATTGGATTAGGACCACCTTAGAATGGCTATTTTAGGAAAGGACTTTGCTTTACTAATAAATTAATATCGCGTGGGTTTATATTATGAAATGCGTTAATTGTGCGTGCTAGTCTACATTAGTTAGCTAAACTTAATTTGGCAATGATACATAAGCATCAACATTCTTTTGCTTTGAAGCAAAGTCTAAATTGATAAACAACACAATTTTCTATTGGACAGTCCAAGTACATAACACTGACGTTCTTATTAACATAAGAAATACGAAAGGATCGTTTTCTCTTGTCGGTGTGATGCTTTTATCTTATTCTTTTTTCATCTTTGTTGATCAACGGTAACATCAACTTTAATGTTGGTTGTTAACCATCGATTTTTTATTATCTTTTTCTTTTCTAAATCATATCTCTATTTTTCTTTTATATTTTTAACAAGTTTGTATGTATGACATATTTTTATCTGTCTTTATGACACGTTTTCTTATATTTTTTGTATATTTTTTTTATTGTTTAATCATTTTTTTAATTTATCTTTTTTAATATAACGCTGATTTGATATCTTGTTAATATTTCATGTTTTGGATCTTCAGATTAAATTTGGATATTCGATTTGTGTTCGTTAATAGCTTTTCACGTCGTTCGAGTTTGATTTTTGATTTGTCAGCAGTCTTTCAATAGCTTGATTCTCTTTTGTGATTCGTTTGTCGATGCTATTAGATCTGTTTGTTTTTGTTCGAGTTTCTTGGTTAGATATTTAATCTTTCCTTATATGTTTCTTATGTGATCTTCAATTGTTAGTGTTGTTTCAATAATTATAATTTTTTTTCTAATTATATGCTTAATTTACGATTGTGATTGTAAATCTTTATTGTAATTTGAGATATTTATTATTTTGAATAAAATTTGTTGCTTCTATAAAAAAATATGGATGGATCGAGGAAGTTGATGGGACAATCATTCATCTAAAAATTTAAAATTTTTGTATAATATAAATATTTTCTATTTTCTATTGATAATTTATTTTCACTCTCTTAAAAATTAATAGATTTATTTCTCTAAAATTTATAGATTTATTTATCTGATATAAAATCATACATCAAGTATATGTTAATCAATAATATAACTAATGGAGGTTGGTTCAAGTAGTAACCAACTTGATATCGTTTAAGTAAGGTCTTGAGCACGAGTCTTTGTGTATACAGAAAATCTTCACTGGGAAACTCACCTACTAAAACTAGATGTGCAACGTGGTAGGTCTAGATTAGTCAAGATGAAGCTTTGGGTTAATAATGCTGGCCTCACTAGGGTTTCTCAAATGATGCAGATGGATTTATATTTTCACATGGTTATATACCATTGGTCAATCATATAATAATATATCATTAAAAATAATTTATTTATTTCTTTAAAAATAGTATTTTTTATTATTTAATTCGCTGAATGCAGCAAATACAATTGCATGCATGGCTGTATCCAGAAGTCTGGTATATGACTTTGAAATCAATAATCTACTCCTAACCTATGAAACGAATTAATTAAACATGTTCATTGTTTTAGGACTAGTATCAAGTCTTTATGATGAAACTGTAGGGTCCTTCTTTGGGAAAATGGAAAATTTAAGCAACGACCGTCTAATTTAAAATTAAGGAACAACGGGAGAATGAGCGTAAGTGCGTAACCGAAAGTGTAATAAAAAATTAATATTTTCGGATGAACGTAATCAAAGCTGTTAAATTTTCTAACATTTTCGGTTGAACCGAAAATATTAGGAAAAAATAGCATTTTATATTATGTTCACAAAAAATATTTATGTTTTTATCTTATTTTCGGTTATGTCATTTTTTGCCGTTACTTAACCTTAAATTAGACGATTGTGCAACGTAACTTTTCCAATTTTGACATTGTTTGATAATGGTAATGGATTATAAATTGTTTTTTTATTAGGTATTTCTTATTAATTTTAAATTAGTCTCAAATATATTTTACTGCTAATATTCATGGCCAAAAGTTGTTACTTGTTTATTCGTGAAATTATAAATTTAATTATAAAAATAATTAATTCTACAGCTAAAATAGTTCACAACTAATGTTTTTATATGTAATGATATATTTTTAGACACTGTTTAAATATGCAGTTATGAGAGACAAATTACACTAATAAGAATGATAGTAGTGTGACAAGTGCATATACTATAAACCGTTTCAAAATTATGATTCAGAATTGATTTTAACTTATTTAATTTTTAGGATAAATTATGCTTAGTACTTAAACTATCAGTTTTAGTTTGTTTTAACATTTAAACTTTCATTTTTTTTCAAAATCATACTTAACGTTTAGTTTTCATTTAATTTTAGTACCACACTTTTAAAAATTTAACACGTTTAGTACCTAAACTATCAGTTTTTATCTGTTTTAGTATCTAAACTTAAAAAAACAAAATTTAACTTTAAATTTTGAACGAGTATATTAAAATGAAACAAAAACTAAAGTTTTTAAATGTGGGTACTAAAATGAAATAAAAACTAAACTTTAAGTATGATTTTGGAAAAAAAAACTAAAAGTTTAAATACTAAAACGGATCAAAACTGATAATTTAAATATTAAACACATAATTTACCTTAATTTTTATTGTTTAATCTTACAATAAGTTAGGCTTCGAAGATGAACGTTTCCTTTTTCATATTTCATACCAAAGGAGCCAAGCTCAAGCATTTACTAGGAGGGATGGATCTAGGCGGAAGCGGGTAGGGACAGTCGTCTCCCTTAAAAGATTTAAATTTATGTTTATATATATATATTCTCTGTATTTTTTATTTAAAATCTGTTTTTATCTCCTAAAATTTTATAAAATTATTTTCTTTTTAAATTTTATAAATTCACACTCTAATATAAAATATGCGTCTGTTCTTGTTTACTCGCCCACATGACAAATCAATTATTGATGAAATTGTCTGTTCTTGTTTACTCGCCCACATGACAAATCAATTATTGATGAAATTGTATAGTGATAAAACATAAAAAGATTTGTATTCTATTTTGTGTTCTTAGTTATTTGATCAGTTGTTGACTAATCTGCATGTGAACATGTGAGTATGTGACCTTTGTGTTCTTCTTCTTGTACCCCTTTTGCCAGGGAATTTTCGGAACATGCATACTTCAAGTTTTTGTCGTTTTGGAACAGTCAAATGAAGAAAAATATGATCAACACAATGCAAGATAAAATACTAATAGATTTGAAACTAAGGGGATGCTTGTTTACTTCAGAATAATTAAGTGTTGAATGATTTAAATGCTGAATGATTCAGATGCTCTGGATGAATTAGCTCTGAATGTGACATGTTGTTTGTTTACTGGCTCTGAATCATTCATAATGTACTTCTGTGCTGAATCATTTAGCACTGTTTTGCTGAATCAGTCAGCACTGAATCATTCAGAGGTACGAAACAAACGCGCTGAATGGTTCCATTAAGAGGTAAACAAACAACCCCTAACTCTTTGATGTTTACTTTAAGGCTTAATTATAAAATACATTTCTAAACTATACTTTTTTTAAACAAGTATCCAAACTTTTTTTTTAAATGATTCATGTACTTAATGTTACAGGCGTTATCACTTTAGGTGTTTTGGCCGTAACTGCTATTCATTTTTTACTTTAAGTGACATGTGTCACATTCTAATAATTTTTGATTTTTAAAAAAAAAGATTAAAAAGATTATTATACTTATAGAAGACCCCAATTATTTTAAACTATAAAAAACTCAAATCCCTAAAAATCCCAAATTCATAACCCTAACCCATCAACATCATCCTTGCCAGCTACCACCGCTGATGCAGTCCCTGCGATCTTCATAGTCATACCCCAGCATAATTATCGCCGATTGTCCGTTGAAATCGCGTGGGGCTCGATTTTCGCTTATGATTCTCGGGATACAAAATGTAGATTGGTCGCGATTTCATAGGATTTTTTTATCATCGAGGAGGTGAGGTTGAGTGGAGATTCGTTGACGGCAAAGGTCAGTGTCTGACGTGTGTTTAGGGGTTGAAATGAGGGTTTTTAAAGTTTTGGGGCTATTTCAATTTTTTGTGTTTTTAAATATACTTTTAACTTTCTGATCTTAAATAAAAATTTTAAAATTACCAGAATGTAACATATGTCAATGGAAAATTTTAACGACAGTTATGACCTAAGTACCTACAGTGGTAACATTTGTAATGTTAGGTACTTTGATGATTACAAAAACAAATGGGCACATATTTGAAAGAAAGATATAGTTTGAGCACTTGTTTATAATTAAACCTTTTATCGTGTTTTTGATAATTGAATGTGCTTATTGATGTATCAAATCAATATGATTTAGTATAAATTATCTAGCATATTAATGTATTATGAATAATTTCGTAATAAATTTATTTTAAATTGTATCAATATAAATTACTTATAAAACAATAATTTACTATATTATTTACTTAAAATAATTATAATATTTTTAAATTTCAATGATCAAATACATTTTAAAATTTAGTCAACATCAGTAAAATTTGTTCTAATATTAATCATGTGGATACTAAATGGTTAAAAAATACCACCACACACGTGCTCGGTTATCACGGATCACGAAATTAAATAATTAATTCTCCTATTCTTACTTTAATCGATCTGATTATTTTTTAATTAATTATTGTTATATTATCTAATGATCGATTAATTATGATTGAGTATTATAGACGTTTAAGGTGACACTTTAAATCCAATTTATTTCATTCATAAATGTTCGATTTAAACATTGACTTTATTTAAAGAATCTGAATATGAAATAATTGCATTATTGACAGTAAGATATTTATTTAGACTACCTACACGAAAGATTTGTTTATATTTTATTCCAATAGTATAATGATTGGTCTATAGCCATTTTCTTTTGATAGCAGGTTTTATAATCTATTATATTAATCCTTAAATGTTAAAATACAGAGCAATGAAATTAATTAAGTGGTCTCCATAGTTAAAATCTTAAAAAGGGTAATATATATTTCTTGGAATTTTGAGTTGGAATAACCTTGTTTATAAGGTAATTATATATTGCCAATAATTAAAAAAATGCTATAAAAATAGTCTCCGAACTTTTAAGGTGCTTGCATTTTGATCACCCATCTTTTAAAACTTATAATGCAGTCATTGAACTTTTAGTTCATTTTCAGCAAGGTCTCTGCTGTTACCTTCCATTAATTAGGGCTGACTTGGTCCCGTTAACTTTTTTTTGGTCCTTAGGCTATCTTTTCGAACTTTCGTCTCTCTCGATGTCTTATCTTCAGTTGCATTACTACCTTCTTTCCTTTGTTTACAACACCGGAGTTGAAGATTGGTAGCACAAAGTGAGGTTAGGCGGGCCAAAATGCTACAACGAGTCGATGCGATTCCTATTGATGTTGTGGATCATCATCATCCTGGTCTCGAGAAGCTTTGGTTCATCCGTCATTGTATCCGATCTTTATGCAAGAACTGCCCGAAAGTGACAGTAACCAAATCATTTTGGTCAAGATCTCTGACTTTCTATGCGATTCAGTGGATCATATATTGGTCCAAAAGCCCCAAGTGCATAGGCTATGCTCACAATGTTGTAGGGTACAAAGATTTGTAATTGAGTACATCTGTTTTTTGAAGGTAAACTTTACATTTAATACTTAAATTATTAGTTTTAGATTATTTTAGTACTTAAACTATCAATTTTTTTAAAACCATACCTAACATTTAATTTATGTTTCATTTTAGTACCATGTTGTTAAAAACTTAGCGTGTTTAGTATCTAAACTATTATTTTTGATCAATTTTAGTATCTAAGCTTTCAACTTTTTCCTAAACTTAATGTTAAATTTGAATATGATATTAAAATGAAACAAAAATTAAATTTTAGGTATTGTTTTGAACAGTTTGAAAGTTTAGATACTAAAATGGATACTTTTTTTTGATAATTTAGGTACTAAACATGTAATTTACCCCTTTTTTCTTCTTCAATGAGCTTGTTCTGTCTAAAGATTGTCCCCCCAACTAGGGTTAACTTGTGCAAGTAATTTCTCTTTGTTTAATGAATTTGTTAGCAAGTGTTGCATCTGGAAATCATATGTAAATCCTATGAATTTCGTGTACGACAATTTTTTTAATAAATTGATTATATTAATACAAACGGATTTATATTATGTATACATTTGGTACGATTAGAAGAGTATAATTAGTGAGAATATTTTTTTTCCAGAATCATATACTCATGGAGCATCGATAATGAATAATATTTTATAATAATTTGGTTAATAAAATAATCTTTTTAGAATTGTAATAGTTTAAAAATTATTTTAATATAAATATTTAATTTAAAGTGGTATCAAGTCCAAGCTTCCTTCCAATGCGATTCCACAGGTATATATGCCCTTAGGAAGAGCATTCTCCATCTCTCCTTCCATTAATCTTTCTGAGTTTCTTCTTCAAACTTATTCTCGGAGCATTTGAGTAGCAGCAATGGCGGACAAGCCAAGCCGAGGGTTGATAATATATGGGGACGGGTTGGCTCGCTTAATTCAACCATCACATACCCATCTCCACTCTCTCGCATCTATAGCCAACTGTGGTTTCTTGAGCCTCCCCAATTCTCCACCTTCAGGTTCCCCATTCCTTTTCACTTTTTTTTTCTTTCAATTTTCATTTTCAATTCCCTCTTTGGATAATGGATGATGGAGAGATAATCTCTTCAAGATAAACCCAACACTGAAATGATAGTTTCCTTTGCATTTTTTTAATTTTAATTTTTTTTTTGTTTTTGTTTTTAGATTGCTAGGAAAAATACCAGCTTTTTCTAATGGGTTTTTCTGTACATAATGAAATTGAATATAATTGTTTGGAAATGGATTAGTTATTGAAATTACAAGGGGTTTTCTTAGTTTCTGGTTCTTTTATCTGTTCAAAGACCCATTTTGAAACTGCTCACCTTTCCTTTATTAGTAGTTGAAATTCATGCTTCTTTTCACATTTTGATTGTTGTTGTTCATCCACCATATGGGAATTTACTTGGATTTAGACTGCAGAAAGCGAGGATGATAGGATCGTTAGAGAGTTTGCGGTACTGGTGGATGCCTTTGAGGCATTGAACAAGGTGAGATGCCTATTATTCTAGGTTATTGGAAATTGTTTTTTCATGATAAATTCTTCAATGCTCGGTGGTGTCGTTACTTTCTCAGAACGGGCAATTTGCTAGTGAATCGAAGTCTCAAGAATCATCCTTGATTCCAAGCATATCAGAGAGGTATGATCATGTACTTGCCGGGTTTTAATTTTTGGCGATTCGAATATGCCACTCAACATGCTTCTTTTTCTCGGTTCAGGTTTATGGGAATGAAAGCTGCTGTATTGAGTAACAATTCTAGTTTGAAGTCTTTTGGAGAAAAATTCGGATTCGATGTATTGAACGTGAATGGACTATTAGGAAATAGCAATACTCCCCCCGGATCATCGGTTGATAGTTTGACGTCTGAATTGCTGTCCTTGCTTGGATTCCAAGAAGGGAAGATAATGGAATCCAACCAGTTTGATTTAGTGATTTTTCATGTTGGGTCTGGGGAGAACTTGAATGTCGAAAGCAGCGACGCTGCAGCTAGTGATGTGGAATTCATGAATGCTTTGCTTGGTGCTATCATGAGTATAGCTACGCCTGGAACTGAAGTTGGTTCTCGTCTACTCTTGTCCCTCGTAATGAGCTATGGATACGTGTCAAATGCTGATGATCCCGGTTTGTCAATTTTGAGCACTAAAGATGAGAAGAATCCTCATCTTTCAGTACTTTTCCCTAAACAGAGTTATACCATGAGAGGAGAAAATCCGAGAAATGATGTTCGGTAAGAATAAACTTTGTGAACTCTCATTTTGCGCATTTTGTGTGGATTATTTAACCAATTTATGATCAACAGGCACCACAGTCCCATGCTATTTGCTCAATATCAGTATGCTGTAACCCGCAAGGACATGGTAGAGACTTTTTCTTTTGAAGATTTTAAAGAGGTACAAATTGGCACTGAATTTTTTAAACCTATTCGTTGTTCGTTTGTTCGATTAGGTTATAAATTAATGTTGGCTTTGGCATGTCTCGAAACATGCATCTATCCAATCTTTGTAGGCAAAGTGAAATTGTGCTTAGAAAACATGAAAATAACTTAGGTATAATATGTTATTGATTAGGATTTTCTTATGCATAAGTAATACAAAAAATTATATATATACGGTTTCTCCAATTGAAAATACTTGCTTAGCATTTGGTTCTTATTGCCTATTTCTCGTTGCAGCGTTCCGGAAATCTTTCCATACCGGCCGACAGGATGCTGCATGAGGTAGCATTTAAGCTTTGGAAGGCGCCCAAGTATGGTGCATAAGAGGAACCTGTTCCTGCCGGTCCGTTTACCTTATTTATATCGTAACCTTTCAAAATAAGCTCAAAATAAGAGAAACGTGATAAGCTTATGGTGCATCCTGTACTCTTGAAATCCTTGTTTTCTCTAGTGATCTTATTCTTTGATCTACTCTCAACTTTAGCTAACCACGCCTGTGTTATGATACACATTCTCTCTATTGATCAAAGTCAGTTGATTATCGCATATTTCCATATTTGATGTGGTTCTTATATTAGTGTAAAGCACACTAGAGGTCACTGAACTACACTAAAGTGATTGTTTTGGTCATTTAACTTTTAAAATTACAAAATAGTCATTAAAGTTACTATTACAAAATAATGTATATATTAAAAGATTATTTTATTTATTTTTAAACATTCATTATATACTAAAACGAAAAAAATATAATATTTGTTAATTGTGGGAGTCATGTCTCTTTTATGAATGATCTGTAAATATTACTTTCAGTATTTCATAACATAAGAAATCTAAAGTTGGTTTATAAGAACACAAGTGCCTGTGTACAACAGGGTAACGATAATTACAGAATTTGAATTGCAACGAGCAGGCAAATTTTTGTTATTAAAGCAGTTGATCAAGTATATCAACCAAATGAAAAAAGGTCACAGCTGTAGCTGAGAACATATATGCAAATGGTGGATACATTATGTACATGAGCCAGAAAGAAACAATCGGAATTGTCATGTTCTTTCTCTTCTTTTGATGGACGAGATGTTTTCAACTTGTATTTTTGTGATCATGCATATCAGATCAACAGCACAAAGACACACAGATTCGCCAATTTCGCATTCGCTGCCGCCTCTTCTTCAACCATCTGTGAAACTGGGAGCAGGGTGCAGATGAGGTTGCGATCACCGTATACATTGTCAACACATCCTGGTAAACCAACGGAAAGTGTCGAAAATTTTCAGTATACGTCAGAACTGGTCTATATTTTGGAACTCAATGTCACAGTTCTCTCAAGGGACATGGATGGTTATGAAAATATTGAGGAAAGCAACAACACGGTACAAGATGTTCTCATACAAACCTGTAGTAGATCAGAACTTAGCAGTGCGAAGCCAGGAAGCGGGGAAGGCTGCATATTCCCATGAATATGGCTTCGTCCATGCATCTCCCATGAGCAGAGATGGTGGATGAGGAGCTCCCTGCATGTGCATATTTTAGACATAATGCTTCAATATATGCTGATCATATCTTATTGTTATCTAAGAAAAGAGGGAAGTATGGTGTAAAGAAGAGCCATTGACCTTCAGAACATTGTTGTGGATATCAGCCTTTCCATTCTCAATCTGAGCAATTTCTTCCCTGATGGAGATAAGGGCATCACAGAACCTGTCGAGCTCCGCCTGCACGAGATAGTGAACATGTACGTGAGAGCAAGAGACGGATGAGGAATATTGGATGGTGGTATGCACAAATATACTTGATAAATTATACCTTGCTTTCACTTTCAGTGGGTTCAATCATGAGTGTGCCTGGAACAGGCCATGACATTGTAGGAGCATGGAATCCATAATCCATAAGACGTTTAGCAACATCTTCAGGCTCTATTCCAGCAGGGTTCTGGCAGCAATGGAGGCTTTCAATCAGTCATGCAAACAAACAGAATGCTAAAGAGAGTAAAGATGGAAAAACTATTCTACTTTAACTACCTTAAAGCCTCTCAATTCCGCAATGAAAGTGTTTAAATGATTAGTTCAACCACCTAACGAATTAAATTACCGTTAACCGAGTAAACCGAAGGGTAAACTACAAAATTTCGTCACTCAATTTTGACTGCCATAATGTTCTGATCACTAATTTCTTTTTTAAAAAATAATAATAATTTAATCATCATAAAGATGAAATCAAAATTGAAGGATGAAATTTGTTATTTAATCTAAAAAGAAAATGGTATAATAAAGTTTAGGTTTGAGCTCTTTAAGAAGAGAGGACAGTGAACGTGTGAAGCAGTTGACTCATATTATTTTTTTATTATTAATATGAGATAAATATAAGGTAATATAATCATTTAACATTAAACGTTAATACCTCTAATATTTTTATTATTTAAATTCGAAATCTTAAAAAATAATAATAATTCTTTTATTATTGAAATTCCCTTATTTTCACTGAATCATATATTAGTGTTTCTTTAATAGGGCGTTAAATTTGATGATTTTAGAACGCGTGTAAAAAAGATGCTGAAATCAAAGGTTTAATCGTGAGCTTCCATCGTGTTTCCGTAATCCAATGTTTTTCAGTTTGAATAAGCATTTGTCGGTGGGACTTAACCATGGTTTACAATTTCTACATTAATTAATGTTAACTCTCATCCTCGGTTGTTTTTACAGTCCGTTGCGATAACGACAAACACAAAATCTTATAGGATAAATTACATATTTAGTACTTAAATTGTAAGTTTTGATATGTTTTAATATTTAAATTTTTAGTTTTTTTCAAAATCATATCTAATTGGTTGTTAAAATGAAACAAAAAATAAAGCTTTCAATGGCGGATACTAAAATGAAACAAAAAATAAAATTTTTAATGGCGTATACTAAAATAAAACAAAACCTAAACTTGAGGTATGATTTTGATTTTTTTAAATTTAGGTACTAAAACGAATTAAAACTTGTAGTTTAAGTATTAAAACATAATTTACTCAGTTTTATATTAGAAATGTATTTATAAAATTTTATGGTAAATTAAAAAGTTGTTTGTTAAATTTTATTCTCTCTCTTATTTCGCTCACCGAACTTTTAATTTTTCTATTTTGCTTACTGAACTTTGACATTGCTTTTGTTTCGGTCACCCTTTCATTAAATAATTAACGACGTAATGACATGACACATGTCATCAAAATGACGTCGTTTTAAAAAATTAAATTTATACCAAAACGACATTATTTTGCATCTATATAAAAATATAAATTTTCCCTCTCCTTAAGTTTTTCTTCTTCTTCTTTTTTTTATCTCTTCTATTTTTTCTTAATAGGGTATAACTCCGGCCACCGTTCGTTTGCGTTGACAATGGCCAATAAACCCCAAAATTTTCCACCAAACTCGTTTCTTTTTCTCTTTGACGCAAATCTAGTGTCCATTTAACCTAAATACCACTTAAATTTTATGGATATAACGTTGAATCTTTCGACTTTTTGTTCTTTGGTCTTTACCGTTCGTCGTTGAACCCCTGTTTTCACTCCTTTTGCATCCCCTATTCTTCTATATTCTCAGTTTTCCCCTTGTTTTTCTTTTACTGCATTTTTGCTTTCTCATCAATGAGTTTTTGCTTTAATAGTGCAATGTTTTATTGTAAATTGTCATGAACCATGAGGCAGAAATATAGAGAGATGAGAAGGAATTGGGGAAAATGAAAGAATTAGGGATTTTGGGAAAAAAGGGATTTAATTTGATGGATCAAGTGGGAGCAGGAAACATACCTGAAGAGAAGAATGGGTTGCCTGGATCAGATGAGAGTGGACCAGAGAAAAACGAGCTCAAAGTGAAAAAAATGAGCCCAACAGCCTGCCATGGAATTTTAAAGATAAAATCAGTTAAAGGAATCTAGTTGTTATACAAGGACAATACAACTGACACTAAATCCTTAACAAATTCCTATATACTGGTTGTAAAAACAAAAGAAATTATGAATGCAAATATTATGAAGTTCTTCATTTCATCTTATTCTTCTTTGTTCTCTTAAATCCTTTATGTCTTCCATTCGAAATCATTGCAAATTGGTATCAGAGCAAGGTTATTTTTTATCCGAAAGTATCCAATTTTTTTTCAAACTGGGTAAAACAAAGAAAAATCAACAAATGACTCACAATGATCCACCACCAGTTATTCCTCCTGATACAGCAGAGTCTTCTGATGTCGAAGCAATTCCAACTTGGTGGCTTCATTAGCAAAATGCTTTGGAGCAGATGATGCATGCTTTGGAGATAACAACATCTGAGACTAAAAGCTTGCTCCAGCAACTTTTGGGATTAATGCAGAAGGCTAGAACAGAGTCTGACCATTCTTCTCATGCTCAACAACAACCATTACCAGTAGTTCAGACTAGAACAACAAGTAAGTTGCCCTTGCAAGTTACAGTAATTGATGATCGTGAAAAATACTCCTTTCAACCAGGACAACAAGAGATTTTAGCCCCAAAACCTACTTTTCACCAAGATCTTACTGAAACAAATGATGCTTTTAAGATGAAAGTAGGAGTAAACACAACTGATTCTGCGGAACAATCGACAATGAAAGGCCATCAATTTCTGGAAAAACAGCCAAACAACACTACTACTGGCATGTTTTTTCCAAAGCCCAAAATAGAGCTTCAGTTCTTTGATGGTAGTAATCCTAGAAGTTGGGTCAGGAAATGTGAAAAATATTTTTCTATTTTTGTTGTTCCTGAATTTCAAAAGTTAGAGGTTACTGCGATGTACTTCACTGGTAAGGCAGAAGTATGGTTTGATGCATATGTTATGAAGAAGAGTCGAGTCACCTGGCATGAATTTGTGTCTGATTTATGTCATCGATTATCTGCTAAAGGATATACTGATGTGATAGATGAGTTTAATAAATTAACTCAAATATCTTCTGTAGAAGAATATGAAACTCAAATTGAAGAACTTCAACCCTTCCATATTCAGCTTAACCCTGAATTAGGTGATGAGTATTTTGTTTCAAGTTTTTTGAGTGGACTTAAGGAGGAATTGAAATATAAGGTAAAGGTTTTAGAGCCTAAAACTGTGGCTGAGGCTGCTAGGAAAGCTAAACTTTATGAACTATCCTTGGAAGTGGAAAACAAGAAATTAAAAAGTGTTTCCAGGCCAGTAGTGCAAGGGTATAACACTGCTTACAGAACATCTAATTCATCCCTGAATTCAACATTAAAAGCAAACCAAGGGTTGGCCCAAAACAAACAGTCGTTGTTGGAATACAGAAGAGCTAATAATCTGTGTTACAGGCGTGGGGATAAATTCACTCCAGGTCATCAATGCAAATTGAAACAGTTAAATTCAATGGAAGAGATGGATGAGCAAGAAGAATCAAAAGAATTACAGAAAATACATAATATTTGTGAGAAATTGACAACAGAGGAAAATGATCCTGAGATTTCTATGAATACAATAACTGGTAATTATGGCAGTAGCACATTAAGGATCCAAGGATTCATTAAAGGGAACCCACTCAGTATATTGATTGACAGTGGCAGTACTCATAGTTTTGTCACTAATAGGTGGGCAAAGGAAGGATTGTAAGTGGAAGAAACTAATCCATTGGTAATTACAGTTGCTAATGGTGATAAACTTTACAGTACAACAAAAAGTAAACAACTCAGTTGGGAAATGCAAGACTTCACTTTTATCCATGATTTCAGAGTATTACCTCTTGGAGGTAGTGATATGGTGATTGGAGTTGACTGGATGAAGAAATACTGTCCAATATATGACTCTTAGTTTTAAAATGGGTGATCAAGATATTGTGTTAAAAGGAGGAGTGAACAGTGCTACAATGAAGGTAATTTCAGGCACCAGAATGCAGAAACTAATGAAAAACAATCCATAATTAGTGGGGGAAATTTATATGTTAAATGCAAAGGTTAGTAACACTGATATACCTCCTGAAATTCAAGCAGTATTAGCTGACTTTAAAGATGTGTTTGAAGAACCTACTAGACTGCCTCTAAGAAGGAAGTATGATAATTCTATTACCTTAAAAATAGGAACTGAAGCAGTTAATGTAAGACCTTACAGAATGCCTTACCATCAGAAAACTGAGGTTGAAAAACAAGTTGCTGACATGTTAGTTGCATCAATCATTCAAACCAGTAAAAGCCCTTTTGCCTCACCATGTTTATTAGTCAAAAAGAAAGATGGTAGCTGGAGAATGTGCATTGATTATAGACAGTTAAATGCCCTAACTGTGAAGAACAAGTTTCCTATTCCTGTTGTGGATGATCTCTTGGATGAATTAGCGGGAGCTAAACTTTTTTCTAAGCCGGATTTAAGATCTGGTTACTGACAGATTAGAATTACACATGAGGATATTCCTAAAACAACTTTTAGAACACATCATGGTCATTTTGAGTTTAAGGTGATGCACTTTGGGCTAACTAATGCACCAGCTACCTTCCAAGCTCTTATGAATGATCTATTTGGTGCCTACCTTAGAAAATTTGTTCTAGTTTTTTTTTTATGACATTTTAATTTACAGTTCTGATTTGCTTAGTCATGTGCAGCAATTGAGAACTGTTTTACAGATTCTAAGGACAAATCAGCTTTTTGCTAAGCAGAGTAAATATTTTTTCGAGCAAACAGAAGTGGAATATCTTGGACATACTATTTCTCAACATGGAGTAGCTACAGATTCTTCCAAGATTCAAGCTATTCAAGAGTGGCCTATTCCAAAGAATTTGAACTCTTTGCGTGGTTTTTTGGGTCTCACAGGCTATTATCAAAAGTTTATTAAAGCTTATGGGGATATTAGTAAGCTTATTACTACAATGCTAAAGAAAGATCAGTTTGTGTGGACTGAAGAAGCTAAGCAGGCATTTCTCATCCTTAAGAAGGCTATGTGTTGTGCTCCAGTGTTAGCCTTACCTGATTTCAACAAAAGTTTTTGCTTGGAAACTGATGCTAGTTCCAAAGGTATAGGGGCAGTTCTAACTCAGGAGGGTAGGTCAATTGCTTATCTTAGTAAAGCTTTGGGACCAAAGAAGGTTGACTTTTCCATCTATGAGAAGGAATATTTAGTCATTCTAATGGCTATCTCTAACTGGAGATACTATCTAGAAGGAGGTCCATTTACAATCAAAACATATCATGAGTCTTTGAAGCATTTGCTAGAGCAAAAACTCACTACTACTATTCAAAAGAAGAGTCTTACTAAACTGTTGGGATTAGACTACTCCATACAATTTCGCAAATGGAAACACAATAAAGCTGCTGATGCTTTATCAAGGAGGTTTGAGGAAACTTCTGAATTACATCAGTTATCTACAACAGTAATAATTCCTGCTTAGGTAAATGAAGTTGAAAAAAGTTATGAAGGAGATTCTTTTGCTATGGATTTAATTCCTAAGTTGCTATTTGGTAATATGTCCCTTTGGTCTTACACTAAAGGTGTCTTACGATATAAAGGCAGAGTATATATTGGTGAGACAGGTGGTTTAAGGAATCTATTGAACTATGTTTCGATATAACAATTTAAGGCAAAATGGTTTTTGGACTTGAATTGAATTTACAAAATGTATTTGGACTTAATTGAATTTATTCAAAATTTACAAAAATAATTCAAAGTTCTTTTAATTTAAAATTGAGCACAAAAATGTTTTTATGAAGAGTAATTTACTATTACTATTTGAACAGTAAATCACTGTTTGAACAGTACCCCGAGGCTCAAAAATTCCAGTATGTAAAAGGGGAACCGATTCCCCCCAAGGGGGTACCGATTCCCTCACTGTTCATCAGCCCAACGGTCATAATATTTGAATATTATGAAGGGGTATCGATTCCCTATGAAGGAGTACCGATTCCCCCCATTATGGGCAGCCTATTTTTGTAGAAAAATCATTCCCAAGCGGCTCCAAAACATCCCCAACGGCTAGATATGACTTCAAACACATTCCAAGCTATAAATACAAGCTAAGGACACTTGAAGAAGTAAGAGAACAACTATCCAATTAATCAAACACAAGAGAAGAGTTTTTCATTCTTATTTCATATTTCTCTTGTAAATATTTTGTTCTTGTGAGCTCAATCTTGTAAACACCTACCTTAGAGAGGTTTTCTTGTTTACATTTCTTATCCTTTTGTAAAGGGGAAATGTTCTAGCTAATCCCGTGTAAAAGCTAGGGAAAGGTTATAGTTTAGCCCGAAAAAACTAGGGAGTTTGTAAGGTTACTCTTTATCCTCAAAAGAAAGAACAAATTAGTGAATTTGTTGGAAAATCCTTGGTGAGGAGCTAAGGCAGTGGACGTAGACTTTGATTGAGAAAGTCGAACCATTATAAATCGCTGTGCAATTCTCTATCTTTCAATCTCCTTACTCCCTAAACACAAAACCGTTCCGACCCCTCTTTGCAAATCGTTCCGGTTGTCGTTTCGAGATTCCAAAAATCCTAACAGAATCAACTCCTTGCTATACTTTATGATTCACCACAAGGGGGACACTCTGGGATACAAGCTACTTTCCATCGAATGAAGCTATATTTTTATTGGAAGGGCATGAAAATATTGGTTAAACAATATGTTCAACAATGTGATGTTTGCCAAAGAATTAAAACTGAACATGTCCTACATCCAGGGCTACTACAACCTTTACCTATTCACAACAAGCTTGGGAGTTTATCACTATGGATTTTATAGAAGGTTTGCCTATTTCTAATAAATACAATTCTATTTTGGTGATCATTGATAAATTCACCAAATATGGGCACTTTTTACCCTTGGTTCATCCCTTCACAACTCATGAAGTTGCTAAAGTTTACCTCGATCAGGTCTACAAACTTCATGGTCAACCTAAAGCTGTTCTTTCTGATCGAGACAAAATTTTCACTAGTATATTTTGGAAGGAGCTACTGAAGTTGTTAGGGACTACACCTCTGTTTACAACTGCTTATCATCCTCAAACGAATGGTCAGACAGAGAGGCTTAATCAATGCCTGGAGCAGTACTTACGAGGCCTTTGTTTTTAAAGCCAAATTCTTGGGCTAAGTGGATTTCTCATGTCGAATGATGGTACAACACTAGTTTTCATTCAATTTTGGGTACTACTCCCTTTACTGCTCTATATGGTTATACACCACCTACAATGACTTGGGTGACTGAATCACAAGTGGCTGATGTGCACCAATTTATGCAAGAAAGGGAGAATGTAAACAATATACTACTCGATCAACTTACCAAGGCACAGAATCGAATGAAGCATTATGCAGATAAAAAATACAGTGATTTAGAGTTTAAAGAAGGAGATGAAGTGTACCTTAAACTCCAACCTTATAAACAGACTTCTTTAGCCTTGCGCAAGAATCTGAATTTATCTACTCGTTATTATAGTCCCTACGAAATCACAAAGAGAATTGGGTCAGTCGCTTATCAACTGCAATTACCAACTCATTCTAGGCTACATCCAGTATTTCACGTTAGCCTTTTGAAGAAAAAAATTGGAAACAAGGATGTTGTTTCTACAGACCCACCTGAACTTACATCTGATGGCCAACTGCGGGTTTATCCTGTGATTGTTTTAGATAAGCGTGTTATCAAATGAAACAACAAGGCAGTAACTCAACTGCTCATCCAGTGGTTGAATATAGGGGTGGAAAACGCTACCTGGGAAGATTTCATGGTGCTTCTCTCTCAATTTCCTGATTTCGATCCTTGGGGACAAGCATCGATTGCAGCTGAGGGTATTGTCATGAACCATGAGGCAGAAATGGAGAGGGATGAGAAGGAATTGGGGAAAATGAAATAATTAGGGATTTTGGGGAAAAAGGGATTTAATTTGATGGATCAAGTGGGAGCAAGAAACATACCTGAAGAGAAGAACGAGTTGCCTGGATCAGATGAGAGTGGACCAGAGAAGAACGAGCCCAAAGTGAAGAAAATGAGCCCAACAACCTGCCATGGAATTTTAAAGATAAAATCAATTAAAGGAATCTAGTTGTTATACAAGGACAGTACATCTGTCACTAAATCCTTGACAAATTCCTATATACTGGTTTTAAAAACAAAGGAAATTATGAATGAAAATATTATGAAGTTCTTCCTTTCATCTTATTCTTCTATGTTCTCTTAAATCCTTTTTGTCTTCCATTCGAAATCATTACATAGATATTATGATTATAAATAGAATTTAGCAGGTAAAAATGATGTTTATAGATGGTGTTTTTTTATGGCAAGAAATAATGACAGTGGAGGCTTCGGTTGAAGTAGACAATGGCAGCGGGAGATGGGTGGGGTTGTAATTTGGGATTAGGGTTTAAGAATAAATTTTAAGAATTTTTGTTTTTATTTTATTTTAAATATTACGTATCATAATTAAATATAAATAAAAAAATATAAATCATCATTATATATTAATAAAAAAGTCATGTTATCCGGCTATTACAAGACTAACGGTCGAGTAGGCAAAATAAAAAAAATAAAAGTTAGGCGAGCAAAATAGGAGAGAGAATAAAATTTAGTGATGAATTATATAATTTACACAAAAGTTTTATAAACGCATTTCTAATATAAAATTTTGAGAGACAATAATTACGTCGACCTTTTCGGGCCATCTCTGATTTCAACTGGATCTGCAATCGAAAGCAACAACACTCCTAAGGGATTAATGCATCATGAAATCCAATCAATGAGAAGCCTTGAAAAAGAAACACATCAACAAATTCCAACCTCTGCAAATGTTACATCCATGGGAGACTCTCAAAGAATCATAGAAAGAGGACAACAACACACTACCAAATGAAAACCACTGAATTAAATGCAGTATTTTACATCCAGCCGATGCCCTACCTGCACAAAATGCACGATTGCAGGAAATTTTATTAGTCCTATAGGAATCGGTACACATCGAGCTGATTCATTAGCATGCAAAAACCTCCAAGGATGATCCAAACTTATAGTGCTTAACCATGAGTGTTAACTGCTTCCCATACTAAGTTCCTTGGGACTGAGTTGCTCACTTCCCTTGCCTGCAATGCTGCTGATCGAAGAGTCCCGATAGTCATCGTGTTAGCCTTCCAAAACGATGCCGTACTGTATTGCAACTCGTGTTTCTTGCATAGCCCCTTAACGAATGGCGAGATTTTCCTGAGATGGCACCTAGGTAACCTTGGGAATAAATGGTGCTCGATCTGGAACTGCAGACCACCATGGAACCAGTCCATCCACGGTGAACAAACTATATTGAGTGATCCTTCAGTTTGCTTCTCGAACCAACTGTTTCCGCTCGGTGGTCCGACATAGACATTCGATGAGAAATGGTTTAAACAGAACTGAACATGTTGGATCCCGGTTACAGCAAAACTGGCAGCCACAAACATCAATCTCTCACCCCAATTAGGCAAACAAGAAACAAGTAAGGGAAACCAAGTCCAATAAACAAGGATCCCCAAAATCTCTTGACCCCTATGTGGCACCTGCCTCTTAGACAACAAAAAAATGAAAGATTGTGCAAATAGATTGATCCTAGCAAGACACATTACAGGATAAAATGTCCAGTGCTGGTAGCTAATCAAGATCCTAGAAACAGAATCAAAGTTCATCTTCCTTTCGTAGAAACAAGATGTAAGCGAGTGAAAAAGCTTGGAAGATACCGCAAAGAAGGGCATGTGTTGAAGATCTGGATCGAAATCTAGACTGTTACAAGCAATGTGATGAGCATTGTGGTTCCATTTCCACCAACCAATACTTATCCCTGCAAGACAGTTTCCAGTGATGATCTGAGCAACTCTGTTGAATTTTCTGTTGGACATAACTTGGTAATGCCCAGAATCATGTCCAATCCACCCACTTTGAATCCATGAGAATCCCAATAACAATCCGGAACAGAGATGCACCATGGTGCTTTTACAACATAAAACACCACCAACGCTGGTACAAAACAGCAATGCTATGATGCAAAGCAAAATGCCAGTCCCATGTTTTTTCTTTTCAAAAAGACCCATTTTTGAAAACTCGGCAGCAAGGTTTCTGAAATCTTTGGAAACTTCAGAGACAGAGTAGTCTTTGAGATGGTACCCAGTGAAGAAGTTGTCGAGATATTGCCAAGCTAAGCCAGGATGATAGGCTACAAAGGCATCAGTGGCATCTTGGCCAGCCAGATTCAGCAAGGGAAGTGCTCCCCCAGGGTGGTTTTGACTCCATTCAGTCACATCATAGATCTTTCCCTGTATGGATATCCATAGATCTCCTGTTTTTGTGTGGCTTTCAAGCTCTGCTTGGGAAATATACCTCCTTGAATCGGCCATTGAAGCGAGAAAACAGCAACAAATGAAAGAATCTGACTTCTTAGTGCTTCTATTCCTTCCTAGGATGTCAAAGGGAGAGTCTTTGTAGTTGTGCAATGATTACGGCGTGATAAAGACTAAAGAGAAATGGGGGCTTCTTCTTTCAATGTGAAAAAGCAATCGGCTTTACTTCAGAAACAAAAATATCTTGGGTATAGGATGAAATACGGATTTGAAGGAAATTTTCATACTTTAGTTTAACCAATGGCTCATGCTTAATCGCTGTAATTTTGAATTTTGAATATTAGCTGTAAATTGTAATGTCTCTCGCAAGTGGCATTCATTTACAGACGAAAAAAATTGGGTTTTGGCTCATAAGCCCATAGATGGTAAGGTGGGGTTCCGTTTCTGGATCCAAGTACCAAAAGGCAGGAAAAAAATCGTTTAACACTAGAATAGTTTCAGTAGATAAGAATATCCCATACTAGGAGTTATTAACGAGTTGAGCATTCGTGAACCGTTCGAATTTGATTCGGTTAAAATTTTGTAAATGTTTAATTTAAATTGGTTTGATTCGAACTCGAATTTGACTCGAAACCTTAATAAGCTGAGCTGAGCAAAATTTAACTCGACTCGATAAGTTCACGAGTAGCTGGTTAATTTTTTTAAAATATATTTTTAGTAATTATTTCAAAATTATTTCATTCAAAAATTAAATCCAAATAATAATTATTAATTTATTAATAAATAATAAAAATAATAAATTAACTAATATATTATTTTTAATAAATAATAAAATATTATTAATTAATAATATTATTTTAATATAAAAAACAAACACAACCTTAATTCCTATAGTCTTAGTAAATTTTATTTTTAGTTAAAAAAATAAGGTAAATTTTTTATTGAGTTTAACGAATAACGAGTCGAGCTTAATAAATAACGAGTTAAGCAGTAAATTTTTTTAATGAACACGAATAGAGCACAATTTTAACGAGTAACGAATGGAGTAACAAATTTTTTTAATAAACCCGAGTCAAACACTACCCAACTCGAGATCGATTTGCCCCTATCCCTTTCCTGTCTCTTTTGATTCGTCTCGAACATGGGTTTATAACGAAGCAAAAGTCCCTTTTTTTGTTGGCTTGAACCCGAGACAGAAGCTCCTCTGCTCAACCCATCTCCAGTTTACAGTTTCTATCAAACTTTCTTCTTAACTTCGTTTCCAAGCGTTATCTCTTTCAAGGTAAATATGTTTTTTCTTTTTTATTTTTTCTTTAATATGTTTATTATTCCATTATTGGGTGCTCCAAAATGGGTTGTTGTTCTTAAATGAGAAAGGTCACTACTTTTATACTGTTCGGACTTCAAGATGAATGGTTTTATTGAAGTTGGTTGCTTGAAGGATCCAGCTATGCTGCTAAAATGCTTGATTTTTTGCCCCTTGTAGGAATTAGTGTGGAACACAGATTTTTGAACGAGTTTATAGCTATTGTGGTTTCTAGAATTCCGATTCGAACAGAATAGTAGAACGTTGAATTTCGATTTTTTGCCCCTTGTGGGAATTACTGTTGAACACAGGATTGAAGCAGATTGCCTTTTAGCCTGAAGCAGATTGCCTTTTAGCCTGAAGCACATTGCCTTTTAGCCTGAAGCACATTGCCTTTGGTTCTAGAACTAATTTTGGACCATATTGGTATTTGGCAGGTGCATTTGCATAATTTTTGTTATAATCAAACAGTAAAATGGCACGTATGCTTCCGTCTTCGTAATCAGTAAATATCTCTAGCGGCAACAGACCTTGTGGTCAACCTCTGAATCAAGTTCGAACCGCACTTACCAGTTCTTTTACCATTAAGACTTCCAAGTCGCCTTTCAAAAGGCTTGTTTCAAAAGGTCGAACAAGAAAGAGTTGTGTGGTACTTGCAACCGCTGCACCCGTAAGCAAAGAAGTTTCAGCTAATCCCAGGTCTGGTTCTGATGAGTCCCAGAGTGATGCTTCAAAGCCTCAGCGGGTCATGGTTATCGGCGGAGATGGCTACTGTGGTTGGGCTACTGCCATTCACCTGTCCAACAAAGGTTACGAGGTTGCAATTGTTTATAGCCTTGTCCGACATCTCTTTGACCCCAGCTTGTCCTTGACTCCTTAACTCTCATTTCCTCCATCCATAACTGACTCCGTTGTTGGAAAGCTATCACTGGAAAGACAATTGAACTTTATATCAGTGATATTTGTGACTTTGAGTTCTTTTCTGAAACCTTTAACTCATTTGAACCTGATGCTGTTGTCCATTTTGGAGAGCAGCGGTCTGCCCCTTATTCGATGATCGATCGATCAAGAGCGGTGTTCACTCAGAAGAATAATGTCATTGGAACGCTTAATGTTCTTTGTGCAATAAAGTAATTTAGAGAAGAGTGCCATCTTGTGAAGCTTGGGACAATGGGAGAGTATGGAACTCCAAACATAGATATTGAAGAGGGTTATATCACAATTACTCACAACGGAAGGACTGATACTTTGCCTTACCCGAAGCAAAAGCGAGCTCCTTTTATCATCTCAGTAAGGTACATGATTCAAATAATATAGCCTTCACTTGCAAGGCTCGGGGGATCAGAGCCACTGATCTGAATCAAGGAGTGGTTTATGGGGTAAAGACCGATGAGACTTCAATGCACGAACAGCTGTGTAACAGGCTTGATTATGATGGAGTATTCGGAATTGCATTGAATCGGTTTTGTGTCCAGGCTGCTGTTGGTTACCCTCTTACAGTTTACGGAAAAGGAGGCCAGGTGAGCGTGTCTTTCAAATCTTTACTAAAGCATCGATGGCTGGCACATTCCATTTATTATCTAGTTTTCCTGCTTTCATATACAACCCTTCCTCTCAATGTTTTATTTGTAAATTCAGACTAGGGGTTACCTTGACATACGAGACATGGTCCAATGTGTGGAACTTGCCATTGCAAATCCAGCGAAACCTGGTGAATTTCAGGTCTTCAATCAGTTCACAGAGCAGTTTTCTGTCAATGAGCTGGCTGCCCTTGTAACAAAAGCAGGAAAGAAGCTTGAACTTGATGTGCAAACCATATCTGTGCCGAACCCAAGAGTTGAGGCAGAGGAACATTATTACAACGCAAAGCATACTAAACTCATTGAGCTTGGGCTCAAACCACATCCCCTCTCGGACTCTCTTCTTGACTCGTTGCTCAACTTTGCTATTGAGTTCAAGGATCGAGTCGACACAAAACAGATCATGCCTAGTGTTTCTTGGGGAAAAATTGGGGTGAAGCCACAGACTGTGCCAGCTAATTAGGTGGTTGATGATAAGAGGAAGTTCTTGTTTATCTTGTTGTATCTTTCCACCCTTAGTAGATGGTGCTGCAGCCCTTTCAACTTTTCATGAGAGAGTAATATGTTAAGTCTTACCATGCAAGTTCCCCTAAATGTTCGGGCTCTATTTTCATGTACCAGAGGAACATTGGACATCTTTGTAACCCGACAGTTTATCAGATCCGAGCTTTGATGAAATCAGCTCTTTCTTCATATGATTGTAAATTTCGGGGCATATTTGCCTTTATAAAGTCAAGCACAACTGTAGCTAACTCATCTTGGTGCGAGGTATACTCATGATCAGCTCCTTCAATAATGTGCAGCTTATGATTTCGAATAAACCTGGCAAATTCCAGGGCATCTTTGGCTGGTACAATTTTGTCCATGGATCCATGAATTGTCAGTACCCTGAAAATAATGGCAACCATGGTTAAAAGTTAAAACACAAGTGAGAAATCTATACCGATAATCACATCTTCAGTGGAAATGCAAACTGTTGAACCTGATATAGAGGATGGAGGATCACGATTAAAAGTATATGTATATCCATAACATTGCACTTGATCCAATTGTATCATGAACATCAGAAAGGCAATCAATGCTAGCATTTTTTCTAACCTGCAATTTTGATCGATCCAAAGACATGCTGCATGAGTATCGGTGGTTAACCGGTTCATCAAACTTTTTAGAATTACACGATACTCAAACTGTCCTACAAATTAATGAACAAATGTTTGGTTACAGAAAAACAGTTAACTGGTTTATCACTAAATTGTTGCTTGGAGGATTGATAACAGAACTTCACATTAAAACGTTGGGGAACATGAATCAGAACACAGTAGCTACCTTTTCATTCTTAACATCAATAAACCCATTTTGCTTGATTCTTGGTAAAAAATCTTTACCCAATCGACCCTCCATGCCTTTCTCTAGATGGAACGGGCCGGAAATGTCGATGACGGTGGGCACATCATTGTACTTTGAAGCACAGAGAAGCACCACATTTCCCCCTGCAAGGAACCTTTTCAGCATTATAGAACTTAAAAAACAATTGATAGATGAATCATAACATCAAATTCTCTATTAAAACATAAGAGGACATATGCGAAAGCAACAAAAGTCATCATCCGGCTTTAGAAACCTTTTCCGGCCACAACAGCCGTCATCTACGTAGCCCTAGCCATATGTCGCCGTAGTTGCCGTCGGAATCGCGTGAGATCGCAATTTTCAACCTAGGGTTCGCAAAGAATAAAACGTCGATTGGTCACAATTTTATAGGGATTTTGGTCACCGGGGGAGGGGAGGTCGAGTGGAGCTTCATCAACGGCAAAAGCTGGCAGCCGACGTAGGTTTAGGAGTTTAAATGAAGGTTTTCAAAGTTTTGAATTTATTTCACAATTTGTGTGTTTTTTAATATAGTTTTAATTTTTAATTTATCATAGTGTGACACATATCATTTAACGGAGAAATTAACATCGTTTACGGCCCGAACACCTAAATAGGTAACATTTGTAACGTTAGGCACCTGGATGACTAAAAAAATAGTTTAGGCACTTATTTTGATATATATATATATAAAATTTATTTTCAAAATGAAACATTAAAAATATTAAATCAATCGTGATTTTTTCTTTTGAATCCCATATTGACAAATTAATAAAAACTTTTTTGAAAAGTTCAAAACTTAAAAGTACATATTACAAACCCAAGAAAAATTTAGGAATCTAAATTTATTTTTAAGATGAAAATATTAAGGAAGATAAAATAAAAATATAATTTAAACTAAACATATATATATATATATATATATATATATATATATATATATATATATATATATTAAAATTACCGGGTCGGGTCAGTACTCGATTATAAAAAATATCGGCTCAGACCCGGCCCAACTACCCAAAAATATCACGGTTCGAATAATTTTTTTTTAGAGAATTATCCGATTTTTTAAGTTTGGGCCAACGGGTTGATGGGTCAAGTCAACCGGATCGAATATTTTTGAACACCCTAAGAGTTACAGAGACAAAAGCAACCCTTCCAATCTAGTGACCCATGTTACTAAATTATTAGTGCAGTACAATTCATCTTTATTATTGCTATTAGATTTTTTGCTGACAATATCCAAACTATTGGTTGCATTTGGATCATTTATAAGTCTTGATATAGACAACAATACATGTACGTAAATGTAATGATATAATCTACGTGCATACATAGTCTTAATTTAGTCAAATCCAAAATATGTATTCATCAACGAATATAATTCATATACTTACTAAAATATGTTTTAAAAATATGTAATATGATACATTATCTTTTAGTTTCATGTAATTGTATATATAAATTTTAATTTAATTCAATTTTCAGAAATTTCAAAAATCAACGTATATATCAATCATCTTATATTACATAAAGATCAGACATTTGAACCATAATCAAACTGATAAAAAAATGAAAGAAACTAAAAGAGAACATAAAACAATGAAGGTAACACGGGGGTGAATTATATATATATATATATATATATGCGATGCATTATTTAAGATTATTTATCAAAGGAAATGGTAATGCTGCAGTGATACATGTCTCCAAATTTCTGATCTTTTGATGGTAAACTTAATTAAGAAAACACAACCTAAGCTTGCCATGGCGTTTGACCGTGGTGACTGTGTTGCCCGTATGTTGAAGAAGAATTTATAGGTGCTAAGTTCTGAGGGAAAGCTTTAAGACCCAAGAAATCTCTTGTCAACCCATCGTTCCCTCCTATACTGCTACCACTTGCTTTAACTTCATGATCGGCCGTTCTGACTTGGTATTCTTTTGTTTTTGAGAAATTAGGATCGATGGTTTCTTGGAAACCAATGTCGTTTCGTTTGGCGTTCCATATTGTCCCATTGAGAGACTGTTCAAAAGATGAAGATCCCTCAAGCTCACTTGTAGAACATAAAGAGCTCACCATATCATGGAATTGAGAACTAGGAGCTGCTTTATTCCCAAAATATGTCCATCCACCACTGGTGAACTCACTTCCAATCTCTTCACGTGGGGACAAACCCAGGCCAAAACTGGGCGTAGACGTGGCAAAAGTTGTGGTTCCATACATGTGAACCTGGTGGTAGTGGTGGTCGTGATAAGGTACAGATGATTGTAAGGGTTTGCTCATAGCTACACCCATTTGAGCTGCTTTTTGCAGGAGTGCAGTTGCAGACATGTGTGGAGAAGCTGGTTGAGTCCGGAATGAAGGGAGTGCGATAGAAGAACTAGGGTTTTCGCTAGGGTTTTCGTTCTGTGGCAATGGGTGGCCTAAAAGAAATGGTGATGATGAATGGGAAACAGTCCCAGATGCTACTCTTGCATTGAAAATATGGTCTTGCTCTCTTTTCACATGGAAGGTACAGCTATGGAGTTGAGCTGGTTGGTGTTGCAGATCCATCTCATTTATATTCGAAACAGAAGAGCCAGGCTGCTGTGAGGGGACAAGTACTGGGTTTGCACCTGTAATTACCCTTGCACTCTCCTCAGCCAAAGCATCGCAAAACGCCCTGTGTGTGATGAAACTGTCCCTCCTGTATCCACAAATACAAGCACAACAAACCAAAAAGAGCAATCAAGAAATGAATCTGATACATGTGGTGGTCAGTTAATTAAGCTATGGGATACCTGGAGAAGAGGGTTCCACAGTCACATCTATACTCTCTGGTGCCACAAATTTTGGAATGAGCTTTCCAGTCGGATTGAACAGCGTAACGCTTCGAACACTTTTCACATTTCCATTTCTTCTCGCCATGTTTTCTGCAAAAGTACTTCTTGATCCCCGTGAGGTCCCCAAGAGCCCTAGATGGGTCATGGTGCACACAGGTTGTCTCTGGACACACGTATACCTTCTTCCTCACCACCTCCTTGTTGGTCCTTTGCTTTAGTTTCCATGGCAAGTTATGTCCTCTCCTATGCAGCTGAAGATTCTGGTCTCTTCGAAACCCTTTGTTACAGATATCACACATAAACCTGTTGGTTGCGAGCAGTGACTGGGGAGACAAAGCTATCACTTCTGCATCTGGGTCTGATAATTAACACAAATCCTTTCAAAAAAAAGGGAAATTAAAGAACCAAAAGAAAGTAGTAAATCTGCTGAATTTATTTTGAAAATCTTAATCAACCTGGGTTCCCTGCAAGATTCCTCTTCTTCTTTGGTAAAGGTTCTTGATTTGTTGAAGTCCGATTGGGAATATTCACATCCATCACAAAACCTTTCACCTCTCCCCTTATATGTATCTCTTCACATGTACATCAACTTCATAATAGATGACAGAAAATCCTGAGATCTATATATATTTTGAACCCTACTTTGCTTGAACTTGGAAGATGAATGAAAATGACAGGGGGTACAAAGAAAGAGAGGCAGGTTTCAAAATGGATTAGCTACCAGAACCTTAAAATGAACTAATATGGCTACTCTCCAAATTCAAGTTGCAAAAACCGATATCTTTGCTTGCTTATTGATGCTAACAAAGAGAAGATCAGTGATCAAACGCCACACAAAAACTTACAGACTGAATAAAGAAATTAAAAAGAAAAAACGTGAGATAGAGAGAAAAAGATTCCTGAGAAGCACTCCACTCATCCAAAACCAGAACCCAAAGCCAGCAGGCTTTGTCACTGATGTTGCACTTTCTGTCTTTTGTTTTGTTTTCACCTGTTTTATAAACATGTTATTTACTTGTACATCTATCTGCCTTTTTCACATTCAAAAGTAGACATAAAGTAACCCAAATGGGAAAAAAAAGACAGATTGAGATTGAGACAGATGGATATAAGCAAAGTTGATTACAGGCTTTTTAACATGAAAATGGGTAAAAGAAGTTAGAAATTAAAACCACTTTCTCCCATGAAAAACTTGCATAAACATGATTGAATTCCATTTCCAGTACATAAATTTATAAGCAGCTGCAAAACCGTATTGCTGGTGTGAGAGACAGATACAGCATGAAGAGGATGAAGAGTAATCCCCACGACCGGAAAAAAGTTAAGAAATGTCCAAAGTTCTTAATAAACAGTTCCTTTTCATATATCAATCAAACTTCATTTCAACAAAAAAGAAAAGTTACTGCATCAAATGATTGGCGATAAATAATCCGCAACTAAACTCTAACAAAGCTGGATGAAGCAATCCTGTTACGGATCAACGGCGACCACCGTTGACATCGACGGCCGGCACAGCGCATTACAACTAATCGAGAAATCAAAAGTCTTAGAACGTCGAGCATCAATCAGCAATTCGGAGTATCCTTTTTTGGTGCACCAAATCTCGACAGTAAAAGTGTCCAAACTAATTTTTGTATTTCATTTACTAATTTGATATAAAAAATCATATGTTAACATATTATTAATTATTATATAATTAAAAAGTAATATTAAATATAATAATTAAATAAAATCATATCAATAATAAATATATTTTATATTGTTATTAAATCTTTTTTATAATATTAAGGTGGTGTTAATATGTTTAAAAATTTATATAAAATTATACTTTATTATTTTAGATTGAATATCACTTGATTAAAGATAAAATGTTATATATCAATTTTAAGGCTATACCCTAGCCGCTTCTCTTTCTATTTACTAGTGTCGTTCTTCTCTTATTTTTATATTTGTAGATAAATAATATATTTTATGACATGAAATAAGTATATAATGAATTTTTAAAAATAATTAAACGCATAAATATATATAACGCACGTGAAAGAAAGAAATTAATATATTTTAAAAATATTAATAGTAATATAAATGTGAACATATTTATTAATTATGCCATAAATTAGCTGCTTGAGACGTGATGATCATGGAGGCAGCAAAAGCAAAAATGAGAAAATGTCGACCCACCCCACCCAATAATATTGATATACGTATACATTAATATATATTACAAGACAGAAAATAATGTGACATGTTTTGGAGATACATTGTCTGTATGTGTATGTTCATGTTTCTCCACAGTGGCATTTTGTCTTCACACAAAAAGAAAATAAACAGGGTCCATGCATAAAGTTGTGTTTAATCTGATTTCATTTGTCATTTTCAGCTTTTGCATTGTCTATTTATTAATTTCAACCTGTTTACATGCTTCCAGCTCATTAACAATCTTAAAAAGCATGCTTTTAAGTTTAAGCACAATTAACTAAATATTTAAATTTAGTACAAATATGATATTAAAAGTAATGTAGAATATACTTTACCTCAGGGTTTTCACTTTTTCTCTGTCTCTCTTGGTTTTTCTTTCTTTAGTTTTGTTGGTTTACGGCAATACCAATTTTAATGTTAGTGGTAGAGCATAAGGTTCTTAATCTTGAGGTCGTGAGATCAGTCCACGGAGGACATTTCATAATTCAGAGGTCTTCTACGGAAGCTGCTCTCAATCTGATGTTGGGAACAACATATTATCTTACCTCCCCTTATCCCATTACATATGAGAACAAGGGACATCCATTTTATCGAATGATGGTATTCTTTATTTTTCATCTATTTTTTATGTTGCATCTTTATTTTTCTTTTGTTTTTTAAATTTTTCATAGAACGATTTTCTCTGCCTTTGTGGTACGATTTCTTCTATCTTTTGGTATGTTTTCAATCTTCTCTATCGATCATTTAGTTGTTCTTTTTTATTTTTTATTTTCAGGGTTTGATTTGACATCATCTTAATTGATCAAAATAGCGTTTATTTATTATCATGTTTATTTGTCTTACTTTAGACCATCGAATGAATTTGGATATACAATTTATGTTCAAAGGTATTTTTTTCACGATACTCGGATTTTTATTTGCGTAAAAAAAACTAAATATTTAATACATTCCATTATCATATAATATAACATATTTGGATCAACAACAATGCAATTTATTGGTGAAACAGTGAAGTCTTAATCAAAAAATTATACTTTATGAAATTGTAACTTGTTTTCTTTTCATTGACCTATATGGGCCAATAATGAAGAAGAATAAGAAAGTAGTGTTGAAATAAAGAAGAGAGAAGAAACCAGAGTCAAACCCCAGTGCCATCATTTACCTATATGGGGTACGGTCACAGTGAAAAGTAAGATGTAAGGCTGTGTTGTTTGGCACATTTTCAAGGCCAGGAACAAAAATTCCCATAAGAAAATACGGCCTTTCCCTTTATAAATTTTCTTCTCCTTAATCAGTATATATGTAAGGAGGGTCTGGTGCACTGCTTTTGAGGTAGGGTGTTTGCAATAATGCAAGGGGATATTGACAGAAATTGACCTCTGAGGATATGGGAATCTTTTAAAATGGGACTTGGATTGTTATGGATAGGGTTCAAATCAACCAAGAGCCTCGAGGAAAAAAAACAGTTCCCAGGGGATTACTGAAACTGTAGATGGTGTTCTTGGATCCACAAACCCTGAAATAAATCTCATGGGGTTCTACTAAGGCTTAATCTCAGAATATTGAAATGACTATCCGACAGACAGGATAAATGGATCATGTTCATCTTAACTGATATAAACACTACCGAACAAAACTTGGCTGGGATCCTATGCCGATGTTCATGAGCTAGCTGCAACACCAAGCTGTGGTAGGTTCAGGTAGTGGACCAAGTTAACCACGTGGTTCAAGGCCCACTTATCTCGAGTCTGATCATATGACTCGTCGCTTGTTTGAATGTCTTGAATTCGAGGAAATAATGAGTTGGGGTTAGAAAAATAAATGCGATGGAAACCGAGAAACGAAATGATTACTCCCCGTTTGTTGTCTTGGTCACAGATTTAAATAGCAATTGATTAATGGAATAACAATTATTCTATACCGATAATGACGAATTCCGAAATTGTTATTGCTCTATGGTAATAGTTGCAATGACCGCAGTAACATTCATAATATCAGTTGGAGCAAGCTTCTTCGGCCATGCTAGCTCGCTATGGATTAGAGCTTTCGGTGACATAGACCCTCTTTACGAGAAGAATAAATAACTAGATACAATTGGTAAATTCAAACCTTAAACACTAAAAAAATACTAGCAGAAGAATTTTATCTTGGTTTAATTATCTTGGAGAATGTGACAATTTATACGGAGGTCTTTCATTGGATCCAGGTAGGATGAATGCAACAGGGAAACTTGTACCAAATCTTTACCTGCTTATAGAAATTCTGATAAATTTAAAGGAAATCGTTATAATACAGCAGCCAAACTAGCAGTGTTGGGCTTTAGGTATCAACATATGCTAGGATTCTTGTGTGAATTCTATTATCACCCAAGTTTATGCACCCTCAAGAACCATTTCAAGCATCTAGCTCCCTTTTGTGTATCGTAAAATCTCTGGGATTTTGCAGAAACTGGATTGAATTCGATGGTTCTGCAGAGTATTAGGAAAAATGAAAAATCTTGTTAGATATAATCTGCATTTATAGTTGGTAGAGGCTATGGAGGATTTATCTTCAGGTTCATGGCTGATGAAGAGGCCATTAACCAGCAAGTTTATTGCAGAGATAATGTCTTGCTGCCTCTCTACATAGGATGAATGTTCATCAGGGTCTATATTTTTGGAGGTTTTGATACAATGAAGGAAATTTTGTCTGATAAATCCGAAAGTAAATAAGTCAAGAGCTAAGTACTTCAACAGTAAAATAACTCAGTAGTATTTATCTCTGTCTCTTCTTTTGCTTCCCAAAGTGATGTATGCTTGACTCTAAGCAACAATGAAGGGCAAATAGCTTATTGGTCAAGGTATGATCTGGGGGAGGTCTTTAACTGGAGAGTATTGTGTGCCATTAACAATGGGTCTAAAACCAAAGTATTGGTAACAATGAGGTACGCAAAAAAAAAAATATGAACTGTTAACTTCTTAAATAGGCTATTTTAAGGTCTTTTTCACTTAAGTTATTGTTTGTTTAAAAGCTCATTTTAAGCATTTTAGGATCATGTAGTTGCATATAGTGCATTTGTGGTGGTTGTGCTATTTTATTTCTTAATGGTGCTGTTTGAGGGAAATGTGCAGTTTGTTTGTGGTGTGCAGGGAATAACAAATAAAACGATTCTTTGGGAAGTAATGTCGTAGCATCACACGTTGCTAAAGTAGATTGAAATGCCTTGGCATTTCCGGCGTAGAAAAAGACAAAAAAATATTTCTGCATAAGGACAGCTGTCTCTGCACGTGAAGGACTACTGTAACCGCATGCCAGAGCTGCCAAAGGACCACTGCCACTTTGAGGATAAGGTTCACACCCAACATGTGATTCTAGGGGTATGAGGGGTATTTTGCACCCAACAACCTCATCATTACCCCTAAATATTTTTTATTATATATGACACCTCATGGGGGAAAAAGAGGAGGAGGACACATACAGTAGCAAAAATCACATTTTTAGTTATATAGGTAGTCACTAAGTATTGATAAATTTTTTTGCTGAAGTTTTAAGAGTAACAATATAGTCACTCATTCGTTATTTTTCATAATGATTAACGACAATATAATTGTGACAGATAATATGATATTTTTTAACGAATTCATTTTCATCAATAAGATGGTGTTATCATCATCTTTGTTCAAGCCATGCCCGGCCCTGAGGGTAGGCGAGAGCGGCGACCTCCTAGGACCCACGTTTAAAGGGGTCCATTCTTAAAAATAATTTTAAATTTAATAATTAAAAAAATTAATTTTTTAGACTAAATCTCAAATCCCAAATTTTTTGAGGGGCCTAAGTTTAATATAACACTATTTTTTTT